GATCGGCAGGCCCATAACCCTTCCAATCGACCAAATATTGCAGAGACCCTCGAGAAAACCTGGAGTTAATTATAAAGGAGACTTCGTACACCTTCTGTCCAGAAGCAACCAAAGGAGGGGAAGGGATAGAAGGGCTGGTATAACTGTTACAGATAAGAGGCTTAAGTAGGGATACATGAAATGTATTAGGAATACACAGAGAGGCTGGGAGAGACAGAGAATAAGACACAGGAATAATCCTACGAATAATTGGAAAGGGACCAATAAACCTGTGTGCAAATTTCATGCTAGGGACATTGAATTTAATATTCCTTGTGGAGAGCCATACCCGGTCATCCACCTGGTAAACAGGGTTGGTGGTAAACAAGGTTGGCACCCCGCCTCTTATCAGGTTGCAGCTTGAAATGAGCCGTAGCTGTTTCCAAAGCCGTGTGAACCTTAGTCCAAGTCTCACAAATACATGTGAGATGGTCATCCTGAGTGGGAATAGCAGTGTCAGAGAACACCACAGGGAGGACAGTAGGATGATGACCGTTATTTCTGCCGAATTCTGTCCACGGTAACAAATTAGACCAGTTTTCCTGAGTGCCATTAATAAAACATCTCAAATATTGTTCCAAAAATTAATTGTCTCTCTCAGTGTATGTGTGGGCAGTGTGTGAATGTGCATTGTGTGTGTGTGTGTGTGTGTATGTGGGCAGTGTGTGTATGTGTCAATGTCTCCCCTCTCCTTCCCAGTCTCTCTCTTCCCCCTCTGCCTCTTTCTTCCCCTCCCCTTGTGTGTCTCTCTCATTTCTCCCTCTTTGTCTCTCTCTTCACCCTCTGCCTCTTTCACCCCCTTTCCCTGTGTCTCTCCCTCCTCCCCATCTCTCTCCCTCCCCCCTTTCCCTGTCTCTCCCTCCAACCCATCTCTCCCCCCCTTTCCCTGTGTCTCTCCCCTCTCCCCATCTCTCTTCCTCCCCCCTTTCCCTTTGTCTCTCTCCCTCCAACCCATATCTCCCCGCCTTTCCCTGTCTCTCCCCTCTCCCCATCTCTCTTCCTCCCCCTTTCCCTGTGTGTCTCCCCCTCCAACCCATATCTCCCTCCCTTTCCCTGTGTCTCTCCCCTCTCCCCATCTCTCTCCCTCCCCCCTTTCCCTGTGTCTCTCCCCTATCCTCCCTCCCCCTTTTCCTGTGTCTCTCCCCATCTCTCCTCCCCTTCCCTGTGTCTCTCCCCATCTCTCCCCTCCCAACTTCCCCTATGTCTCTCCCATCTCTCTCCCTCCCCCTTCCCTGTGTCTCTCCCCATCTCTCTCCCTCCCCCTTTCCTCCTCCCTCTGCCTCCGTGTCTCTCCCATCTCTCTCTCCCTCCTGTTTCATGTGTCTCTCCTCACTCCCCATCTCTTTCCACTCCCAACTTTCCTGTGTCCTCTCCCCTCTTCCCCCTTTCCTGTCTCTCCCAATCTCCTCTCCCTCCCCTTTCCCTTTGTCTCTCCCTCTCTCTCTCCCTCCCCTTTCCTGTGTCTCTCCCCTATCCCTCCCTCCCCCCATTTCCTGTGTCTCTCCCATCTTCCTCCCTCCCCCTTTCCTGTGTCTCTCCCCTATCCTCCTCCCCTCTCTCTATTCCCCTCACACCTCCCCCCCCAATTTACCTTAGAGAAGGCAAGGGGGCCGGCCGTGTTCCAGACTGGAGCCGCCGGGCCGGGTGGCAGCTTGGCCTTTCCGGCGGTACTCCAGTCACTGATGGCTGAAGGAGGAGGAGCCTGTCTACCATGCTCCCTGGAACCACGAGGGAGCATGGTAGACAAGCTCCTCCTCGTTCAGCCATCAGTGACTGGAGTGCCACCGGACCGGCCTCGAACGCGGCCGGCCCCCTCTCAGTGTGCCACCGGACCGGCCGCCCGGTGGCACCCATGTGTCAGCGCAGCCCCCAGGTGCCACGGCCCACCGGGAAATTTCCCGGTATACCGGTGGGCCAGTCCGGCCCTGTTTGTATTTGTATAGATAATAGATACTCTACTTTAGGTAGTGGATATAGAGGCTGCAATATGTGTTTGTAAGTAAGATAGTGGCTGCAGTGTGTGTTTGTAGGATAGTTGCTGTAGTGTGGGTGTGGGGAAATAGTGTAGAAAGTGATAGAGGCTGTAGTGGGCTCAGAAGGACATAGGGGCTGTAGTGGGGGCCAGGAGGGATGGGGGATGTAGTCGGTCAAATGGGTACAGGGTGAGGTGGATGTTCTATGGCTGTGCTAGGTGCAGGGGTCATAAGGGCTGTGATGGGTGCATAGAGGCTAAGGTGGTTACATAGAAGTATAGAGGCTAAGACTAGTGTAGGGAGGAATGGGGGCTGAGGTGTGTGCGGGAAGGCAAAGAGACTGTGGTGGGTGCAGAAAGGCATAGGGGCTGTGGGTACAGGGAGAGATAGAGGTTGAGGTGGGTGCAGGGAGACATCGTGGTTGTGGTGGGTGCAAAGATGCAAATCCCCCCCCCCTGGATTTTCCAGCTTGTGCTGCTATTTTTCGTTTGTGTGAGAATACACTGCAATACCGGCGCAAGCCAGTAGGTGGCGCTGTGAATGGAGAAAGGAACTCACAGCTTATCCCTGCACCAACCTTTAAGATTGACACAGGATATAGAATGTAACAATCAGTATTCAAGAACTTTGATGCCAAACAAAGGTTATTTCCACCAGGATTCTAGGGTGAACAACGAAGAGGTGAATCTAGCAATGCTAGAGTTGGAGGAGATAAAAGCAAAAGTAAAAGTGTTAAAAGAAGAGTTAGAAAAACTCAGAACTGACACGATGGTAGCAGATGTTATGACTTAGCCTGCAACAAAGTCCAAGTTAGAAACGTTTTTGAGTTATATATTTGGAATGTAAGTCATGTAATATATGAATATGCAAAATGACAAACTTGAGAGCAAGTGGAGTTGTATAAACTAGAAGTGCTCTCATAGTGCTGTAACCTATGCTATACATTGAATGGTTAAAATGAGTGTAAATAAAGTTTGTTGTTACTCCTTACTTTTCCTCCTGAAACAGGAAGACAATAAAGACACAGAAGCAAGAAGTACCTGTGTGTTTTTTCCCTCCATCTTTATATAAGGTTATCCTACCCTAATAATCAAAATGGCAACATAGCAGAGACAAGTTAATCCTCTAACAAAAACATTGACATCCCTGAAGAATGCAGGGTTAAACGGAGGGGCACATGACACCCAGACCACTCATTGAGATGAAGTGATCCGGGTGCCTATAGTGTTTAAGAAACACTCCACACAAGCATTTCATCTTGCTGATGTGCTTTACGTGTCTGGAGACTGTCACATTTGTGAAAGGTAATAGACGTGACAATTTCAATAGAAATCAGCACTTTAAAAGTTGGGGTTACAAACACCAGAGGAAGGCTTTCTTCCGCTAGCTTCACAGAGCCCCTGCCTTCCCTCCTTCTATATTACAGGTCATTGGAAAGCCACAACTGCATGAACGCACATGTTTTACACTTCCAGCACAGAGACTTCTCGTCCCTGTTTGTAGAAACGAGATCTACAGTTTTTGAAAGCTGTTTTTAAATATATCTCCAATGGGAAGATGCATAAATAAATGTATGATTGCATGTTTTCACTAGGCATATAGGTAAACAGCAATAAACAAAACAAAAAAAAAGCAATAGAGTTTTTTTAAAATGTGTATATATAGTCTGAATGCATTTAATAAAAAAGAAGACAATTATTGTTGTAGAAACACAGAGCACAAATACTAGATTTTGTTTTTATTCTGGAGTTAAACAGTTGCTTTGGTATGTAAGCAGTAACATGATCTCCCAAATCGGCTATCAGATTCTGCAACAGGAAGGACTGTAAGACCCAGTTTGGGCTCTGGTCACATGCACAATAGCGCAGGAATCACGTGATGCGAGTCACCTGACCCTGGCTCCATCATGGCGCCTGCTGTAGGGGCATAGTTGGGGCAGCGATTTGGAAACACAAAGTTCCGCCTTTAGAACGTAACAATCATCCTGTCCCGATTGACGTTCCATAGCCAGTTCGGTGGTGAATGCCTTTTGTTTTGGGGAAGTTAGCAGGCTAAACGGCTTACTGATCGTGGCCATGAACGGTCCTTTTAACGGGGCGTCAGAGGAGCAGGTCTGGGAGCGCCCATGGTCCCTGGATGAAATCAGTAGGAACAGCCAGAATTGGTCCCTGGGGGCAGATGCAGGGGTGAGATGTCCTGTGTTTACTGTGTGTGTGCCTGTCCCCCTCCTGGTAGTTTTCTTATACAAAGTCTGGCTTAATATCATGGGTTATGTCAGATCACCTGATGTTTTATATCATACATAAATCATTGTTAATGCTAAGGGGGATCAGTCAGTGCCATAACAATCATGGGTTATGTCAGATCACCTGATGTTTTATATCATACATAAATCATTGTTTATGCTCGGGGGGATCAGTCAGTGCCATAAAAATCATGTTGATGACATTGTCTGTCTCTGTGTGACTATTATTATTTAGAATAATGACTATGCTGGTCAAGTTGTGGGGTTACTGTTATATATAACAGATCTACAGGATATGTAGTGCAGTTGTTTAGTTTGCAGTTAACACAATTGATAAAAAATTTAAAATAAAGCGCCTACATTTTAATCTCATTGGTTGTGAATTTGTTTGCACCGTTCTTTCATCACTTTTATTGTATAATTATTTTCACTGCTGATGTTCCTTTTATTCATTTGATGTGTTCTTTCGCTTTTTGGTTTATTACTATTACCCAGGCATGATGCAGTATATTCAGAAATGGGAGAATTACATAATCCAGTGTATTTACACTCATTCTTACTTCCTAGTATACATTTTTGTCAGTAGAGGCTGTGATCCAATTTAAAAGAAAGACACGACCAAGTTCCCACTCATAACAGAATAGAATGTTTTTTGTCAAATTATCATTTTGCTGCCCCACATTTTACCTGTTTGTGTTTTGTTTTATTCTATCCACAGTACATCGATTATCTATGAGTTAGAGGCAATCTGCTCTGTTTTTTACAGAAATAACTTTAACAGGTTGCTTTTAATTTGTCTGTATGACATTTCATATCAATATTTAAGTTGCAATACTTTTTGACAAATTCTGCAAAGGAAATTCCATTCTCTTTATTGTGTATTGACAGATCCTGATTGAGGCTAATGGGAGTTGTAGTTCGTTAATAACTGTCAATTTCCTAAAACGTTGTTTTCTATTTATTTTTACTCTTGATCTACATTTCAAAAGAAATGTACATGAAGTATTTCCGTGCTCTAAAATTAAATGGTTAAAAGACTTTCATGTTCTCATTATTTGTGTTTTTTTGGCATCGGCCTTCAGATGAAATGTGCTTACTAGTGATGTCCCGAACGGTTCGCCGTGGACGGCGAACATATGCGCTGTTCGGTCCGCCCCCTATTCGTCATCATTGAGTAAACTTTGACCCTGTACCTCACAGTCAGCAGACCCTCCCTCCCACCTCCTGGACAGCTCACTAAGAATGCAGCTTCACAATGAATGTAAAATGGATGCTGTCCAGGAGGTGGGAGGGTCTGCTGCTGATTGGCTGGAATGTGTCTGCTGACTGTGAGGTATAGGGTCAAAGTTTACTCAATGATGACATAGGGGGCGGACCGAACAGCGCATATGAACCGTCCGCAGTGAACCGTTCGGTACATCACTAGTGCTTACTACTACTTGGAGTAGAACATTTGATCAAAAATACGTGGCATTTCCTGGAAATATTTGGGAGGAGTGGAAATCATTGTTTTTGTTTTTTTTCTTTGTTTTGTTTTTTAGCATCGATATTAACTTTGCCACGGAAATATTTGGTTATTGAGGTATTAAAGGACCACTATAGCGCCAGGAAAACATACTCGTTTTCCTGGCACTATAGGGCCCTGATGGTGCCCCCACCCTCAGGGTCCCCCTCCCGCCCAGCACTGGAAGGGGGAAAAGAGTTAAATCTTACCTTTTTCCAGCGCAGGGCGGGGAGCTCTCCTCCTCCGATCCTCCTCTTCTCCTCCCCGTCGGCTGAATGCGCACGCGCGGCAAGAGCTGCGCGCGCATTCAGCCGGTCACATAGGAAAGCATTCATAATGCTTTCCTATGGACGCTTGCGTGCTCTCACTGTGATTTTCAAAATGGGTTAACCCTACTTGATTTGAGACCCAGACCACTTCATTAAGCTGAAGTGGTCTGGGTGCCTAGAGTGGTCCTTTAAGCATTATCTCTTTTTTTAAAAGCACTTTAGGCACCATAACAACCCATGTTGTTATAAGTTGTTATAGTGCATGGAGATAGAGTCCGTCTTACTTTAAGGGGCTGAACGGTAATGAATGCTTTAATTCTAAAGTCTTAAAGCCAGTGTCCTGCACTTTCTCTCAGTGTATGGTGTATGAGGCTTTAAAGCGGCACTGTCATGGCCGAATCCTGTTTGTTTTTTGTTTTTTTTAACCCCCCTCCCGACTCCACTACATCTAATTGATCCCTTAGTCTGCCCCTAAGCTCCCCATATTACCTATTTTTTATTCTTTATTTTCTGCACGACCTATATTCAGGGCACCGCCATCTTTTGTGTGGGTAGAGGAAGTCCCTGTGGGACACGTCATCTGACCACTCTAGATAGCACTGTGAGATTCCCGCAAATGACCAGTTAAACACTTGGGCATGCGAACGGGAATTTCATCCATTCATTCGTCAGAAAGACGAATGAATAGAAAAATCAGACTAACAAACAAACACTGTGTATCAGTGTTCGCTCAGTTTATTACAAGGAGGAAGCTACCGGTGCGCAGCTCCCTCCTTGTAATATGTCAAAATAGAAGCGGCAGGGAGCAGTGCTCCCCGCCACTTCCTAAGCCCCCCATGTCCTCCCTCACTCTATGGGGGTCAATATGAATAAACTACAATGGGGGGGACCTACTGTCTTTCCGATCCCTGGGCGGCGGGTGGGGGCAATAAAGATAATGGGGGGGACGGGACCTATTGTCCTCCCCACCCCTGAGCAGTGGGTGGGGGCCATAAATTACAATGGGGGGACCTACTGTCCACCCCCAGCCCCCACCCTTGAGCGGTGGGTGGGGGCCATAAAGATAATGAGGGTGGGAACCTACTTCCCCCCCTTCCGGCCCTAAAACAAATTTCCCCCCCATCAAAGGTGACTAGGGATCCCCAAGCCCCTAGTCACCCACCCCACCAAATAAAAAATTACCCCCTACCTACCCCCTCACCCTAAAAAATAGTGAGGGGGGAATAAAATAACTAACCTGTAAAGAAAATTAAACTTACCATTCAACGTCTTTTTTTTTTCTCAAATCTTCATTTTTCAGCCCCAAAGAAGGCAAAATAAAAAGCCATCATACCCGTCGAAATGAAAATAAAATAAAAAACCCGAGCGCAAAAAAAAAGAAGAAAAAAACAGACGCTCTACAGGGCGGGGGAAGACTTATAAAGCCTTGCCCCGCCCTGCAATTAGGCTAAGAACACTCTGATTGGTTGGTTTAAGCCAATGTGAGAGTGCTCTTTGTCATTTTGCACACCGTGGGAAAATTCCAAAGAACTTTCCCACGCTGTGTAAAATGACACAGAGCACTGTGATTGGATGGCTTGAAATACATCCAATAACAGTGCTCTGTGTCATTTTACACAGTGTGGGACAATTCCAATAAACTTTCCCAAGCTGTGTAAAGTGACTCAGAGCACTCTGATTGGTTGGTTTAAACCAACCAATCATTGTGCTCTGAGCCTAATTGCAGGGCGTGGTAAGGCCTTGACCCGCCCTGTGGAGCTCAGTATGCGGCGTGCCCTCGAAGGGTGAAGATTTTTTTTTGGGAGTTCGACGATATTTATGACTTTTTATTTGGCCTTTTTGGGGGCTGAAGAAAGAAGCAATTAGAAAAAAGAAGACATCTAATGGTAAGTTTATATATTTTTTTTCTTTACAGGTGTTTAGCTTCATTGTCCCCCCTCACTATTATTAGGATGAGGGGGGTAGGTAGGGATTTATTTTATTGGGCGAATGGGTGTGACTAGGGGCTCGGGGACTCCTAGTCACTGAAAGGGGGGGGGGATTTTAAACTTGGCCCCCACCAGCCGGTCAGGGTGGGGAAACAATATGTTTCCCCCCCTCCTTGTTGTTAATGGCCCCCACCTGCCGCTCTGGGGTGGGGGCCAGAGGGGGAACAATAGGTTCCCCCCTCTTATTGTTGTTTATGGCCCCCACCTGCCCCTCAGGGGTGGGGGTCAGGAGGGGAATTTATTTTATTGGGGGAATGGGGTGACTAGGGGCTCGGGGACCCCTAGTCACTGAAAGGGGGGGATTTTAAACTTGGCCCCCACCAGCTGGTCAGGGTGAGGAAACAATAGGTTTCCCCCCCTCCTTTGTTAATGGGCCCCCACCTGCCGCTCTGGGGTGGGGGAACAATAGGTTCCCCCCTCTTATTGTTGTTTATGGCCTCCACCTGCCACTCAGGGGTGGGGGTCAGGAGGGGAACAATAGGTTCCCCCCCTCTTATTGTTTTTAAAGGCCCCCACCTGCCACTTGGGGGGGGGGGCAATAGGTTCCCCCTCTTATTGTTTTTAAAGGCCCCCACCTGCTGCTCAGGGGAGGAGGCAATATGTCTCCTCCCTCTTATAGTTAAGGGCCGCCACCCGCCGCTCAGGGGTGGGGACCAGGGGGGTAGGCAATAGGTCTCCCCCCATCTTACTTTCAAGGGCCCCCACCTGCCACTCAGGGGTTGGGCCCAAGGGGTGAGGCAATAGTCCCTCCCCCGCTCTTATTGCTAACGGCCCCCGTCGCCGCTCAGGGGTGGGGGCCAAGGGGGGGAGGACTCGGCACAGGTGGGGGCTGGGGGGACAATTGTGTGTGGGGTTTTTTTTTTTTTTTAACAGTGAGCAGCCACAGGCTGCTAACGCGAGTAGGGACATATTATTTACTAATACTAAGTAATCTTTACTTAGTATTAGTAAAGTTGGCTGAAAGACAAATTTAGGTCTTTCAGCTTTTTGGAAGATAACTCCCTAATACTGTGGGAATTAGGCAGTTATCTACTAAGCAGCTGCAAGTGGCAGCTGTGGCACAAATTGAATCGGAGTTTCATTCATTCGAATGAAATTCTGATATGAACAAAGTGCCGAATTAAGTTCTAAAACAAACGAACATACTGTTCTCAATCAGTTAGAACACAATTCAGCAGTTTCGTCTAAAATGACAGGAAGCATCGCGAGATCAGAGGAAACTTAAAAATTATGGGAAAATTGCTCTGACCAGTGGAAATGAAGCACACTTTGCTCCTCTGCTGGTCAAGCGGAGGAAACCTCCATAAGACAAAGAGTCCCTACTTTGTCTTATGATTTTAAAGAAAACTAAAGAAGACAGGAAGAAAAGAAGAACAGATCCTGAGAGAGGGGGAGAAGAGGAAGAGATTGAGGAAAGGTAAGTTCGGCATGACAGTGCCGCTTTAATCAGGCAGCCTCAGACTGCACGCCCCCAATAAAAGGCTGAGGGAGCCATTAGCTAGGTCCACGTTGAGAAAAGTGAAGTATGGGTTTTTAAACTCCGGGTTTTTTTTTTTTTTTTTCAGTACTGTTTAGTGTCTTAGAAATTGGGTCTGCATCCTGCTTTGAGTGTCACTTAAATCTTGATCAAGCTTCCAACTTACAATTGGTTTCAGACCACTTGCTGAAACTCTAAAAAATATTAATATATTATTCTAATCAAATCTTTTTCTCTTGCGTTTTTTTGTTACATCATTCTGTGATTTTTGTTGTACATTACATAATAATTCCCCCTGAAAAAAAATGTTCTCTCTTTCTTTTAGCTCTTGAATTTTCTTAGAGAATTCTCCCAGCAGATTATATCGAAGACACATGACATAGAGAAACAGCTGGATGGATTGATTCGCGAAACAAAAGCTGTCGACTGCAGGCTACACAATGTCTTCAATGATTTTCTCATGCTGTCAAACACTCAATTCATTGAAAATGTAAGTTGTTTTTTTTTCTTCTCTTCTTTTCTTATAGAGGCCAATTCAGTATTGTGCTCAAGTGCAGTGAGCCAAATGTTACAAAAACTGTGTAAAATGACTAATATGGTTAGCCTAGAAGAGGGGTATCTGAAAGATCTCAAGATAAAGAACTACAACTCCCGTGATGCTCTGAATTCCTTTAACCCCTAAAGGACCAAACTTCTGGAATAAAAGGGAATCATGACATGTCAGACATGTCATGTGTCCTTAAGGGGTTAAAATGATAACGCACCTTGTAAGCTGTAGTTTTAAAACATCTGATGATCTACTTTTTGGCACCCATGGCTTAGAAACTATTCCTATATATTGACCAGTAATAAAAGGGCACCAAATAGAACAGTGTTTGCAGTATCTTGAACGCAAGTTTTAAGCACCTGGCAATGTGTTTTCATATTAAAGTTTACCTGTACTTTGCATAAATTCATTCCTCTTGTGATTCCTTTTAATATACATTGTGCTAGCAAAATCACTAGCTAATGTATAGATTTTGCTACAAACCATAATTAAAATTGTGATTCCTGTGCTAATTGTGCTACAGGCTCTTGCTCAGCTTTAAGCCTCTAAAATGTGGCAACATCATTTATATAGATAATCACAAACTTCTAGCTGCTCAATGTTAGTTATGCTTGTATAAAAAACAATATTAGTTTATTTTGAATCACTAACATAATCTAAAACAGACCAAGAAAACAATGTGCTTATAGTCCCAGAAACTAATATTAAGTAAGCTGTTACATCATAAGCTCTTGTCAATCTTAATTCAGCGTGATTTCTAAAAATATTAACTGTCTACATGTTTCGTAGCCAAAAATGTCCAATGTACTTTTTTAGAGTCTGTTCGCATAACGCCCATATAATTGCCATATCTTTTTATTAGGGATTTTGCGGGGTTATTTTTCAAAGTATTCTGTTCTAAAAAGTGGTGAGGCTGTGTGATTTAATTTTAATTTTCTTGCTTACTTAGAGAGTGTATGATGAAGAGATCGAAGAGCACATTGCAAAGCCAGATTCCGGAGACAAGCCTGAACAGGTAAGCGAAGTCTTCCATTATAGCAATATGATATGAATACATAATTATGGTCATATTTATGGTCATATTAGAACAGCAGCCAGTACCAATAATGGCCAACCTTTTTTACTATTTAATTTACACTACTTTCCTTAATGTAAGCGCTGAAATCCGTTCTGGCATATAAATGTATATTGCGTGGGCACATTTCTTTTATTAACTATTTATTAATTTACTTTGTTTTATTTATTAATCTTGTTCGTTTAATTTTTTTAAGGAAAAATCAAGGGAGCAGATTGAAGCAGAGCTCATTCCAAAAATACAAGAAGCTGTCAACTATGGGTTGCAAGTGTTAGAAAGTGCATTTGAACAACTTGATATCAAAGCAGGGAACTCGGACTCTGAAGATGAGGAAGTTAACGGAAGAGTTGAACTTATTCTCGAACCAAAGGTAAAAATATATAAGTGCCTCTGTATACATTTTTTTTTTTTTTTTTTTACATTTGTGCTTCAAATCTACTTGCTTCCAGTAGTCCATATCTGAAATTTTGGGAAATTAAAATTTAAAAGCAGGATATCCAGACTGTACTTAGAAGCACAACATTTAATTTTATTTAGTGACTTTGCCTCTTATATTTTGTTTTATTATATGCAAATATTAATACATTGATTTCCTTTTAGGACCTCTATATAGACAGACCTCTGCCTCATTTAATCGGTTCCCAGCTATTCATGCAACAAGATGATGTGGGTCTGGGGGACATTTCCAGCGAAGGTGTGTTCTGTTTTACTAAAATCCTATTTGGGACGGCCTATTGGTTGGTTATCTATGTTTACATGTATAGTGACTCCCCACTACATCCGCTATGACCAGTGTCTTTTTTTTTTTTTTTTTATTCATTATTTCTCTTGTGCATATAAGGACAGTTAACATTTTGTCTTGCGATGCCATAACCGCATTAGCAGACTGATTAAGAACAATGTATTTGACATGGCATGCGATTAGACAGCACATTTTTATGTTAATATCGGGTTAGAACTGTAACGATTATTGCAAGATTAAGAAATACAAGGTTAATCCAGAGGGTTGATTAGGGTACGTTTAAGAAAGGCACACATTTGTTTAGTAAAGTAGCTTGGACTCATATTGATCATTCGCGTTCTATGGTTACAAGTATATATGTTGTGTGGTCAATATTTGTGATTCCGCTGTGTGCATCTGTGTATGTAAGCATTGTATAGTGTTGCAGAGGGTTAACAAGCTAGACATAAATACAGGCATAGTAGGGCTAAGCATTCAGTTTGACCTGTAAGCGAGGCACAGGTGATAGGCATGTCTGATCGTTCTGAGCCTTATTTTGCAGTAAGTTGGGCCACATTTACAAAGACATTTTCTGTTGTTGTGTGTCTCTACCCACATCTAGCGGGTAAAAGGTGTCGCTTATCTGGTGTTTTACGTAGGCTGTGAAGAGAGAGTCTCTGCTTTGTGTGCAGGGTCTGAGGCTTTGTGCCTCACAATGTGGCCGTCCGGATTGCCTCAGCCGATGCCCATCCTGGAGGCCATGCTTGCGTGCCCGGAGGTTTTTTTTAGGCGTTGGTGTGGTGGGCGCTGTCCATGGGAGCAGGTGTATTCCGTGGCACTTCTATGTAGGGGCTCAGTCCCTGCTGTGGGCGGCGGCATGGGTCTACTCACAGCTTGCTGGTAGGCGATTGACTCCATAGAGGGTAGCTGATTGTCGTGTAGGGCTCCAGGTCTTGGGTCTGGCGAGGTGTTTGCGTGTTGGTCTAGTGAAGCGCCCCAGTTCCTGCTTGTATGGGGACGGGTGTTAGTGCCCGCATGCCCAGTAGTCGCTTCCTGCTTTGCAGGTCGATTGCCATTACCCCGCCAGTTAGCTGTTTTGGGGGTCCGCGGTAGCGTTCCATATTGGCGGCGCCTGGTGGGTGGGCGGATCCATTAGGCCACCGCTTTCATCGCTTGATATTGTGTCGCTGCTTGGTTATGGAGTATTGCCCAGAAGCTTTCACAAAGCAGGTCCATGGCTGCTGTGGGCTGAAGCGGCAGCTGGATGCTTGTGCCCTTTGGCTGGGGCCTGTGCTGGGCCGCCATCTTGGCTGTGCCGCAACGGTGCCTTACCCCTAGAAGCCACGTGGCCCTCTGGTCCGTCCTCGAGTGCGCTTAGTGTGGCTGGGGAAGACTGGGCAGCCCAGTAGAAGACGCATCCAAGATGGTGGCGGACAGAGAAGCCTCCAGCATCATGACGGACACGGAGCTCCGACTAGCCGCGATCTTCAACTCCTTTTGGTAGAAGCTGGAGGCACGTATGCGACCTCCCCTCCCGGACACCCAGACAGAAGGCAAGCTACAATGCCCGGTCCAGTTGGCCGCACAACGGCAAGCTAACAACCCCACAGGCTCCATGCACCCGATGGGCCGGCGCCTAAGGGGAGCTATCTTGAGGAAAAACCTTCCCTATAATAACAGCGGCAGCCTAAAACAGACCCAGAGGACCGAGAGAGTGAACAGAACGGTGTACTCAAGCCCCCCTTACCGACAAGCTGCAGACAGCAACAGACATCGCAAGTACAACGTGACACCCGACCGGAAGCGGGGACGGCGAGTAACGAAACCCACAATGGTGGCAACACCGAGCCGGACCAACAACGGCACACAAACAAAAAAAGGGGCGCCTCCCGAGCACAAACAGCGGATGAGACCAAGAAACACAGGGGCTCCCAAACGTGCATGCAAAATACCTCTAGCGGGTGTTGGCTGACCGGGACACTTGTCACCACAGATGAGACAAGCTCCCCACACGTCCCACTGTCTCTATCGCTCTGTGACCTATTGTTACTGCATGACTTTAAGATACTCTTACACTATCATTCCCTGAGCTAGTCACAGTCACAGTAGTGTCTATAATTCGGTAACTCAGGTTCACAATGCGTTTTACCCGTAGTTTAACACTCATCTAATGTTTAACGGTGAATAAGCCTACAAAAGTCAGGGTTAGTTTATGAAGCAGATTTTTGTCTTAATTGCAGCCTAGCCTTAATGTCTAACCCATAGCCCTGATCACATATATTCAGCATGTTACTAACACATTTGTTTACCTAACTAAACATGATGGAGTGCTAACGACATAACTGTCTAGGTATGCGCACACAGTGAACTCCCTATTAATGTTGATGCTTTGCGTAGCTTAAAATATGAATATTCAATTGTATAATCAGCGTAAAGTTTAAACGTGGACAATCTCTACATAAATAATTAAAAAAGGTGCACGGATTTATGTAATCCCCATTGTTAAAGTGTTGATACTCAGCGTGAGGAATGCTATTGGGGCACCACACGCCTGCTGTTATGGTTTTTCTTGCACTGCAAAAATAAAGAATTAAAAAAAATATATATATAATGCACACATGAACATTAGATTGCTTCATTAGCACAATAGAATCTGGTGCACATGGCGTTGCATTCGGAGGCTCAGTGCTACGTCCATACATTTTGTAAGTATGGTCACGACAAACTGAAAATATTTAGCGATGTCTGGAGCCACAGAAAGTCAGTTTCCAAAGGGGAATCTTCTGGGTTTTATGTATATCTTTAATTACCTACACAATGCAAAACAATATGACCTGACATTTTTTTTAATTTTTTTTTTCTGTTTTAATGATTACTCTCTCAAAACTCTTGATTTCTTCAAATTGAACTCAAGCTGAAGTATCCAGAATTGAGTTAAAGCCAGGTTTTCACCTTTGTTTCCTCTGGAACGCAGAGGCAAACTTCAAATTTATTGACCAGCCTGTACATTTCCTAATTCAAGGCAAATGATCGTGTGTACCCCAATTGCACACACGCTCCGGTTAACGCCAAAAACCGTGATGTGAATTAACAAACAGAAAGTAACGTGATGCACTGCAATCTCAAAATGTCACACAGTTGACCTATATCTCGAGATTGCAGTGCACCACACTGCTTTTTTTTTTATTTTATTTTTTAACATTTCTTAATAATTTTGCTTGCTGGTTTTGTTAAAATAAATATGCATTTGTGTAATAGTATTTATTTTTAAGTGCTCACTGTCCTGTCAAACACCAATGGACAAATGTTTGCCGTGTGTTCTGCTTTGGTTAAAGGACAACTGCCATCACGTTTTCACTTCTTGTCTATTACATTTAATGAAACTTAAGGGTTACTTCAAGCAACATGACCACTTTAGTGATTTTAAGTGCTGGTGGTGACTAAAGTTTGGATATGCAGCTTTTTGCTATGAAACACTGCAAATACAAAGTATAACCCTTCTATCAGAAGCATCATTAGCCAGCCGGAACAAGAGTTCTGTGTGGTTAATGCTACTTCTGAGCGGATTTGAGGTTCTGAGACAAGACAGTCATTTTCAGCATGGTTTCTCACTTCATGCCACCCTGAAAAAGGATGAAAAAAGGATGGGCTGTATATCAGTACATCGTTAGAAGAATCTCGGGAAGGCAGGCGAAACCCATCACGGAGGACGTTATTGAGAGGCAGACCCAAGAGTGTCACGTGATCGGGGAAGTGCTGATAGCTGGAAGTGACTGCGTGCTGGTGGTGTTTTTTGATTTATATATGCTTACTGAGTTGTGGGTTAATTGCTGGCATACCCACCACCAAAGTGAGAGTTTTTTTTAACCTTTTTTATGTTTAATTGTTTTAGATACTATTTAATTGGGGTCCTTGCCTCTTTATTCCTCTTGTACTGCACAAAATACCATACATACATCTGACTGAATGGAGACACCTTTCCTGATATAAGCTGTGGGAAGTATCCCTCTCCAGTGGAGCTATTTAAACCATGAGCCAGGAGTGATAGGGCTCTGTTACATGTGAGTGCTCTCCCAGACACACACATATTATTAGATGTAATGAACGTTGAAAAATCCAAGAAGCAAAATTTTGATGACAGTTGTCCTTTAACCTATTTTTTATAAGGGAAAGCAAATTGTTCTTCATGTTTGATCTCTAGATGGGATATGTATACAGGGAGTGCAGAATTATTAGGCAAGTTGTATTTTTGAGGATTAATTTTATTATTGAACAACAACCATGTTCTCAATGAACCCAAAAAACTCATTAATATCAAGCTGAATATTTTTGGAAGTAGTTTTTAGTTTGTTTTTAGTTATAGCTATGTTAGGGGGATATCTGTGTGTGCAGGTGACTATTACTGTGCATAATTATTAGGCAACTTAACAAAAAACAAATATATACCCATTTCAATTATTTATTATTACCAGTGAAACCAATATAACATCTCAACATTCACAAATATACATTTCTGACATTCAAAAACAAAACAAAAACAAATCAGTGACCAATATAGCCACCTTTCTTTGCAAGGACACTCAAAAGCCTGCCATCCATGGATTCTGTCAGTGTTTTGATCTGTTCACCATCAACATTGCGTGCAGCAGCAACCACAGCCTCCCAGACACTGTTCAGAGAGGTGTACTGTTTTCCCTCCTTGTAAATCTCACATTTGATGATGGACCACAGGTTCTCAATGGGGTTCAGATCAGGTGAACAAGGAGGCCATGTCATTAGATTTCCTTTTTTATACCCTTTCTTGCCAGCCACGCTGTGGAGTACTTGGACGCGTGTGATGGAGCATTGTCCTGCATGAAAATCATGTTTTTCTTGAAGGATGCAGACTTCTTCCTGTACCACTGCTTGAAGAAGGTGTCTTCCAGGAACTGGCAGTAGGACTGGGAGTTGAGCTTGACTCCATCCTCAACCCGAAAAGGCCCCACAAGCTCATCTTTGATGATACCAGCCCAAACCAGTACTCCACCTCCACCTTGCTGGCGTCTGAGTCGGACTGGAGCTCTCTGCCCTTTACCAATCCAGCCACGGGCCCATCCATCTGGCCCATCAAGACTCACTCTCATTTCATCAGTCCATAAAACCTTAGAAAAATCAGTCTTGAGATATTTCTTGGCCCAGTCTTGACGTTTCAGCTTGTGTGTCTTGTTCAGTGGTGGTCGTCTTTCAGCCTTTCTTACCTTGGCCATGTCTCTGAGTATTGCACACCTTGTGCTTTTGGGCACTCCAGTGATGTTGCAGCTCTGAAATATGGCCAAACTGGTGGCAAGTGGCATCGTGGCAGCTGCACGCTTGACTTTTCTCAGTTCATGGGCAGTTATTTTGGGCCTTGGTTTTTCCACACGCTTCTTGCGACCCTGTTGACTATTTTGAATGAAACGCTTGATTGTTCGATGATCACGCTTCAGAAGCTTTGCAATTTTAAGAGTGCTGCATCCCTCTGCAAGATATCTCACTATTTTTGACTTTTCTGAGCCTGTCAAGTCCTTCTTTTGACCCATTTTGCCAAAGGAAAGGAAGTTGCCTAATAATTATGCACACCTGATATAGGGTGTTGATGTCATTAGACCACACCCCTTCTCATTACAGAGATGCACATCACCTAATATGCTTAATTGGTAGTAGGCTTTCGAGCCTATACAGCTTGGAGTAAGACAACATGCATAAAGAGGATGATGTGGTCAAAATACTCATTTGCCTAATAATTCTGCACTCCCTGTATATGGAGTTTAAATGTAATTCTAATTACTGTTTGTTGTTGTTGAAGCAGAAGGCTCTGTAGACAATGACAGGGGAAGCATAATTGACAGTGAAGAAGAAGAGGAAGACGAAGAAAAAGACAATGAGGTAAGAGTTCCTTTTACCAGTCATGTTCACCAAGTACATCTGAGTCTTATACTGCTAAAATTTTCTTACAGAGCCACTAAACATTTTTTAATTTTAATTGTGGCTAATATAGAAGAAAAAAGAGGCGGCACTTTTACAGGGGCAGCATTATGCTGGTCCCCTGTACATGTTAACGAGTCCGCAACAAGCGTTTATCTATGGACCGCAGAGGCAGCTCTTAAGGTGAGTAAGCCGGCCGCTTAAGACCTGTCATTGACTGGGGCTCTACAGCCACCTACTATGCCTTTGTGTGCGTGACCTAGGGGCCCGGTAGCGTGCCCTGTATGCCGATTTGTGCAGTGCCCCGCCACTCAGTCTGCCCTTGGGGGGAGAGAGAGCCCAGTGCCTCAGGTCTGCAGTTTCACTGGGTGCAGAGTTGCAGACTATGTGGTTGAGGCCTTGCAAGTCCGGACAATCAAATTGGCTGCATTACCATGGCAACGCTCTGACACTTTAAATACTGGAGTTTGCAAGACCTCTACCACATGTACTTAAACTCTGCACCTGCCAAAGCTGCAGACCACATAACAAGGCCACTGGGCCACCAGGGAGGGAGACCACTGGACCACCAGGGAATTGATCACCAGATAAAAAAAGATATTTCAGTGGGTGGAAGACGGTCATTAAGACACACACGGTTACCCCCTCACACGCATATACTGTCACACTCCCATTAATTCCTCCTAATCCTGTCACTCTCCCCCTCCCCCTCCAACCATACCACGCTTACCTGCCCTCGCTCTGCCACATGCACAGTATCATATTAACCCCCTCATCCTGTCATTCTCACCCCTTCTGACTATATCACTCACCTGCACTCGCTCAGCCATACTCGCCATATCATATTAACCTACTTAATCCTGTCACACTCGCCTTCTCTTGCACTGTCACACTTCTCTTCTATCACTCTGTCAATGAAATGGTCAATTTATCTTTATGAACTACTTCATTTGGATATGGGGGTGACAGTCGCCTTAAACGCTTGTTTCACCTTGCTTTTGTATAATTGTTTTTTCCTTACGAAGAATCTTCTATTCATATTTTTTAATTGTCCTCGTTATTATAGGAATCAGATGATGATGATTTTGGAAATTCTGAAGATGATAAGAAGCTGGTAAGACTCTGTTATATGTTATTTTAAATATGTCTTATCCTTAAATGTTTTACTACAAACTGGGTTACGTTTGTGCCCTCTGAAGGTCAAATACCTAATGACATCCATATTTTAAGGTGAATGATGAATATGTACCTGGAAAATTTATGTAATCTGTCACATAAGAATTTTTTTTATATATATATATATATATAATTTTTTATTTTTTTTTTTGTTTTTTGTTTTTTTTAAGTTCACATGCACAAGTTGATGCCTGAGCATTCAAAGCAGAACATGTTTTGGGCCAGGGATAAATTATAATATTTTGCTAGCCGCATGGACTTTTTCTACCTATTAAAGCTACTTGAATGCATTGGTAACCCAGGGTTGAGAAAGTTGGGTTTTTAAAGTGAAGAACTCCATCCAGAGTAGAAGAGATAACAGTATTGGGTGAGAGAGAGGAATATGCTGGGAGTGGCAGAAGGGATGAAATTTTGGTTTTTGTTGAAAGAATAAGGAAAATTATGTTTCTGCTTAGAGTATGAGTGCTGAATTAGTAAGGGAAATTAGGATAGAAGTAGTGGTCAGCAGATGGATTATGGAGGCTAGAATGTTTGGCCGCCGGGCAACCTGAAAACCGGATGAGGTCAAGATTGCCTCCATGAATGGGTGGCAGTGGGGGGAAATTATGTTAGAGAGGCCAACGAAGGAGGTGCATTGGAGGATACAGATTCAGCAAAAGCGATTTCAAATTCCAAGGGGGCTGTTGAGTGGGATGAAGGTGGATAGAAAACAGATAAATGAGAAGAAGCACGGAAGGGATGATATATAGATATAGATAGTATTTTTAGGTAGACTTGAAAAAAATAGGAGAATTTTCGTTTTAAATAATGAAAGGTGAAGAGGAGGAGGGTGGTTGCATTAGCTGCAGGAATATAATCGGAGGATGTAAGGGTGCCCATTCCAATTCGGGACCCATTGTGTTGAAAAAAGCTGTGTTAACAGCAGCAAGTGTAGAAGTATTTTATAGGAAGAAATCATTTTTTAAATCGGGCCATGAAATCCAGCTGGTGGAATTGGTCTATTGCAAAGGGATCTTGCTCTCAAAAGAGAGAAGGGCATTTAAAAGATTACATCAACCAAACTGTGTTCAAGAAAGCATTGTCTCCTCATTTCCCCATAGCGAGCCCTGCACACATCAATTAAGTGGTCACGGTGCTTTATATAACTGCGATTTGTATAAGGATATGGGTAAAAAATTGGTTGAGGGCCGCTTTGAGCAGGAAGACCTGATTCGTATAGTTAGTGGGTAAATGAAGCTACTGTAATTAGCATGACAACTTTAGACGACATAAGTACCGGGATGGGGAATTTAATAGGGAGCATGACGGATTGAAAGACCTGTATATTGGAAATAGAGTTAAAGATCTATTGTGTTTAAAGTAGGAGGAATTGCCCAGTGTGTCTTTGGTGAATGAGTGTATGAGAGGTGGTAATTAGAAAGAAATGTCAGTGTTTCCTATGTGAGCTTTTCTTAATGCTTTATGCTAAAATAATGTAGCCTTTATGGTATATCAATATTAAATAACAAATGTAAATGTTTGAGTGTTGAACACTTTGAAAACAAAAGGCTTTAGACCTCTTTACAAATTCTGAATTTGTGATGTTTTTATGTTTACTCTAAATTCTAAAGCGCTCGGCCTTAAGTGATGAAGATGACGATGATAATGGCTCAGATCTGTTTGGTGATTCAGAAAAAGAGGAAGAGGACACTGAAAAATCTGTAAGAATGAATGTTATGCCACAAAGCATTATTTTATTTATTTTTCAGGTTCTGGTGAATATTCTTAAATGTTTCTTAGAATGTAACAATGTGTATTTTGTTAATTTAAAAACAAAAGTTGATGCAAGTTTAATATTCATCATTGATTTAATACTCCGTCTACATATTTTGTTATCAATGGATTGGAAAAATTGAGCATTTTAACAAATTCTAAGTTTTATTAGGTGCCATGTTATGTGTGCTATCAGAATAGTGTGTGGTTTCCTGTACAAATTGTTCTCTCTGCTCTCTGCTCTCTGCAAAATGAAATTTGAGTTTTTCATAAAAATAAAATCTGGGTTACTGCTTTAAAGATGCACTCCCAGCAATTCTACGGCGCGTATTAGATCATCATGCAAAAATCATCCTGATTTTATGTTGAGTTTTTTTGCGTTTTAATTTGTTTTTGCATGATGCTAAATGAAGAGCTCGCAATTTCAAGTCCTGAGCTGCTATCCACGTCTAAACATAACCCCCACCACTTAATCAGTTTTCACTCACGAACATCAAATGGGGATTTTGAGTCTTTTAGATACCTATTTGTTTTGCAGAAAGGCTTTTTAGCTTGTGTTCTTCCAACTGGAAGGGATTGAAGCTAAGAAACAATGCAGCTATTTGTACGTTTTACACAAATACCTGTTCTTTTTGTAATGTACGTTCATGGAGACCCTCTAATTTAAAGTAAATAATTAAGTGAATGCAAGCTTCTGACACCTTTATTTCACTTCTATGAACGTTATTCCTGCTTAGCATGCTAAAATAATCGCCAGTGACCGCTTCACAGGCCTTTATCAAATGTAATTGCGAGGTCACTTCTTATGATGATGGTAACTTGCAGAGGACTTAAAATGGCTGGCCCTTTTAAACAAGAGTAAGCCAGGAGACGCACCAGAAAGGGGCATTTTCTTAAATGTATGCATTGCGAAAGAATACCTTCAGACTATAGTAAATGTAATCTTTCATTTTAAATAATTATTTCCAAAAAAGGCTGTTTTCCTTTAAGATGTGACTGTGCATAATGTATGTTGTGTGTGTGTGTGTGTGTGTGTATGTATATATATATATATCCGCGTGCTTCTGTGTATGTGCGTCAGGGTGTGTGTCAGGGTGTGGGCATGTGTGTATGTGTCGGTGTATTTATATGCATCTGTGTGTTAATGTGCATGAATATCTGTGTAAGTATGTATGTATGTATGTGGTAGTTTATGTACATACATCCAAGCAGTCAAACACCAGCACAACATACAAACACACTCCTGCAATCTAACTCAAATATTACATACACACACACACACACACACACAACTGCATTCAAACTAAAAAATATAATTTCAAACACAAATGCACATCCGCATTTAAAAATGAACTACTTTCAGACACACCCCTGCAATCAAGCCCAAACATTACATACAAACGCACCCCTTCAAACACCAACACTGTACATTACACTATAGCGCCAGTAAATGATGCAGCGCTGTACAGATACGCAACCTAGAAATTTTGACTTGGGGTGCCCTTGGAAAAATACTGAAATATTAAGGGCGCGTTGAACCTAAAAAGTTTGGGAACCACTGCTCTATATCATAATATACATTGAGTAACCTGTTTTTACTTGCAGTTAAAGACTAGGACTAAATCTTTTGCTGATGAACTAGCTGAAAGGATTCAAGCAGATGTTCCGAAAAAGTCAACACCAGACCAGTCATGTGAGTCCTGGCACCCTCACATGGGTCTATTAACTAAATTGTGAATTGAATTGTAAAAATAAAAACCTCCAAGTTTGTTTTTGGCCTAAAATGTGCAATTACCTTACCAATTCTATGGAATTTCCAGTTATGACAAATTCCTTATTTTGACTGCGGTAACCTCTACAGCACCAATCCTGTTACTTTGTTTTCTGCTCGAACAAGTGGGTTTTTTTTGTTTTGTTTTTTTAACTTTTTTTATTTTTTTTTATTTTAAGATCCCATTAGCGTCCACAGAAAAAGCTTCCTTAAATAGGATATTATTTGAATTCTTTCTTCAGTGAAATATTCATAAACACTACCAAATGATTGTTCTGTTTTTGCAGAGATTAATTTGTGGGACTGTCAGCCTTATTTAATTCCTGCGCTCCCTCATTTTTTAAAAGTTTTTTTTTAAAAATGGCAGTAATAACTGAAGTGATGAAAAGTTAACTCGCGTTTTATACGATTACAAACCTGGCACAACTGGGGGGTGGGGGGGGGGATCCAGTAAGGTTCATACAGATTTTGAGAATATAAATATGACATTATAATGGGAAAATGGCCTTTACATTTTAAATAGAACTTTAAATAGAGCTATTTGTATTACTGTATTTATTTTTGACAACAAGAGGTCAGGATCCTAATGGTTTTAGGTATTGCTGGATTTTTATTCGTTTTATTCTTTTTGTTATTCTGATGATTTGTGTTTATTTAATTTTTAGCTATATCATCATTAGAAGTTAAATCCAGGAAAGAGAAAGAAAAGAGCAAAGTCAGAAAATTGCCTTCAGATGGTAAGACCTTTTTGAATATCCATATTGAATGTGAACTATATCCAATTTGATTGGTTGCCTGTTCCATTACACAAAAGTGTAGATTTTGAGAGAGCCTGGGTAATAGTGAGGGTGACAAAGGAGAAGAATTATCAAAGTATTCTGTTCTAAAACATGACCTTCTTCCATTTGCATGCACATTAAGTCGGAGAGTGTTTGAAAACAGAAATGGGTATATTCACTAAAGTGTCTGTTTAAAATTATTTTCAAATTTAAAGGAAAACTATAGTCACCAAACAAGTTAAGTTTTTGTGTATAGATAATGCTGTCTCACTCACTCAATGCTGCTCCATTCTCTGCCATTTAGGAGTTAAATCACTCTGTTTCTGTTTATGCAGTCCTAGCCACCCATCACCACTCCTCCCCCCCAAGGTCTGACTGACACAGCCTCCATTAAAACAAAATGGTTTCACTTTACATCGGATGTAACTTACAGATTCTAGGGTCTAGCAAGCTATTAACCGAGCAGGAGATAAAAAAGAAATCTAGTGTAAACATTAGATGACTCTTTACAGGAAGTGTTTATGAAGGCTGTGCAAGTCACATGCAGGGAGGTGTGGCTAGGGCTGCATAAACAATGTGATTTATCTCTTAAATGGCACAGAATTGAACAGTTAGACTGCAAGGACATGATCTATACACCAAAACTGCTTCATTAAGCGAACGTTGTTTTGATGACTATAGTGTCCCTGGGCAAAAATATCCAAACTGGAACTATTTTCTAAGCCAGCCATGCTATTATTTTGGCTACTCTGGCCTTAAATTTGAAATTCACTTTAACCTTGTTAGTCTCTATGGTCTTCCCTGCTTTACTCCTGTCACAGAAACAGATAAGACCATAGAGACTGTCCTTGTTTTTTTTGTTTTGTTTTGTTTTACAAATACTTTTATTTAAAACTATGTATTTCCTTTTACTACTTAATGGAAATATTTAAAAAAAATATATGTTCGAGGTGACTGTTGAAGCACAAGGACTTTGTTTGAATGTCTGCTCTGTACATCATAGTGTAGAAAGCAAATTGTACTAAAGATTTTACTAAACTGTTATTTGTAATGAAAACTAGGGTATTGAAATCCAGACAACTATTTTATAATTTGTACGTTTGTTCTCCTCAATCAAGATGAAGATGATGACCTTTTTAAACCACCCAAACTGACCGATGAGGATTTCTTACCATTTGGAAGCAAGGGTCATCTTTTCAGTGGTGGAGAAGGGCTTTTTGATGATGATGAAGAGGTTGGTATAAAGAGTTGGGGTGGGGGGTGGAGTTCTTTAAAGCTTCTGTGGCTTATCATTTGTTTTTTTTTTTTTTTTTTTAAATGTATGGCATTAAAAACGAATTTCTTAATATCTACCTTCTTTTCTTATTTCCACACAGGGTGATCTTTTTGCAGAAGCTCCAAAAAGAGAAGTCAAACAAACTGATGCAACTCCTGTAGTGAATACAGGTAAGAATTTTCTTTTCTGTTTCTTTTTCTTTTCTTTTAGTAACAATGTATTTTTATGATTATTTTTGTTTTCGATCACCAATATATTTATTATATTTTGTGTGTCTGTGTGTATATATTTATCCTCTCCCTTCCCCTTCCCCCTCTCCATTTTTTGTTTCTTTATACCACAGAAACTTTGTCATCGAATACCAAAAGGAAGCCACCTGTCGGAGGAATCTCTCTTTTCCCAGGTATGAAATAATTCTTTGTGAGGAACGAATGAAAGGTCTACAACATATTCTGGTTTCTGGAGATTTATTTGTGGTTTTGTTATTTATTTTTACTATTGTTATTCCTTTTATTTCCACTACGTTTAAAGGGTAACTGGCAGCATCACAAATGTGTTTGTGGGATGTGAAAAAAAAAATATTAGGAGTAAAACAGCTTTGTCCTTTGTACCTGGAAGCTACCACAGAGGAAGAGGAGACCTGAAACAATGTTTTTGTTTCTCCTTTTCATTTGCAGTGTTTGCCCTTTCTTTGAATAAACTGGATTATTGAGTAATTTTCTAACTCTTTAACATGCATTTTAAAAGAAAATAAAGCATCTTGTGAAATGGGTTTAAGCAAGTAATAGGTGATTTCCAGTATTTTAATCTATAGTGTAATTTTCAGGGGAGTAACAATTCCCCTTTATATGGGGATGGTTGGGAAGTCCACCCTGGATTGTCCCTTTGAACAATTTGTGTGCGTCATATTCCCGGTAATAAATATGTTGGTGCCTAATAGGTGGAATGTTGGTACCCTTTGACCTGAGAAATGCCATTAATATTGCAGGTGGAGAGGATGTGATTGGCGCTTCCCTTTTGGCTAACAAGGAGAAGACCAAGCATCCCACTCCTACCACAGATACAGATCCAAAGCTGACCACAAGCACAGTGTTGTTTGATGATGAGCTATTTGGATACAGTGATGTACAATCAACCGCTAAATCAGGTTAGTATGTGTTTATATACTTTGTGTGTGTACAGGAATTGGGAAATAGAGTAGCTTGGCAAATACTTTGTATAGGACTGTGAGATGCATCCCATCTCAGCTGTACTGTATAGATAATGCAACGAAATATACAACAGCCAATCCAAAATTATAAAAGATGTAAAAAAACACACTTGCTATGTGTGAATAGTAAATGCCCTGTAAGCAGATAGTATTGACGAGTCTCCCAGATCAGGGGTGTTTTTTTTTTGTTTGTTTGTTTTTACAATCTGTTAATTTATTTATTTTTGAGAATGTTTGTTTTTTATTTATCTTTTTTTGTTTAACTATTCCTTCCTTTACTCTTCACCTCTTTCCATTCAGAACTTGTTTTTTTGTTTGTTTTTTTTTGTTTTTGTTTTTTGTTTTTTTTTACTCCACAATTACTTCTCGAAATCAACAAAATTTCAAAATTTTGGAGTTCTAACTTAAGGATAACGCATTTGAGCATGTTCACTTCCTATTTATTAAAGACTAAATTATTATCTTTAATTCATTGTTATTCTCATACCTACAGAGGTACTGGTAGTCCTCACTTAGCAAATTACCTGTTTACCGGCTGCTTGGACATACGACCAGCTCTCTAGCGCAGGGAATCCCCCAAATCTGTGTCGCAGGAATTCCCTCAAATAAAGATTTGAGTGATTTGGTCTATGTTTGGGGGAATTCCCATAAACATTGACCTGCTTTCTAGCGCAAGCGAGACCTGGTTGTCAGGCTGGTGTGAGTCCAATTAGCTTTACGACCTAGTTGTAGGAACGGAACTCTGTAGGTAAGTGAGGAGTGCCTGTATATGCAGTATTTCTTTTGCTAGTTGTACATGTTCAATGATTGTAAATAATGCATCCTTAACATTAACATATCTTTATATTGTATATTTTTTATTTTTCTTCTGATATATACATTTATTAAAAAAAAATTAAATATACATGTTGCTTCATCAACCTTGAGTCTTGCCAATTCAAGAAAGTAGCTTGGCCTCTCTGTCTCTTCTATGGAGTCTGAACAAAGGTTTGTGTGGAAGAGGGACTAGTTCACTCCACGTTCTAATCAGTGCAGAGATTCCTGCTACTTCTACTTTAGTTATCCCCTTTATTATTATGGAAGCTGTTATCTAAAATGCAACTTTCTGAAACCAACCGTTGTTGCGTTTTCTGACGACACACACAATTTTGTTGGGCTTCAATGTTTTGATAGGGAGAGGGACAATACAAATGCTGTAACATGTCCATGTACAAAATCAGTACAGTGTACAGGAACCATAAAAAGAAAGTATTTCAGGATTGGGGGATATATGACACATTTTAAGAGAACAAAATAAACTGTACAAAAGTGAGCATATTACTAATACAGCATATTATTCAGGCCTAATGCTATCACATGCATGAAAGATTTTGGGCGTCTTAAGTGTTCCTTGAACTGACAGCTTAATGGATTACCCTGTTTGAAGAAAGTTACAGAAGCCATGGAATGAAATAAAATTTACCATTCAAGTTTAGCCAAGATTTTTTTTTTTCTGTTTTCATGGACCGTTGGGTTTACCTGATTTTATATATATTTTTTTTCAAAATTAAATATTTTCTTTTCTTACTTTTAGTAAAAGCTAAACCGCCATCTGACCTGTTTGCTGATGAAAAAGATGACTTATTCAAGGACAAGCCATCCCTTCCTCCAGCAATTAACAATGCAAAGGAAACCAGCAGAACAACAACACAAAAGGTCACTGACAAAAAGGTACATGGGTAATGGAGGAAAAAGCTAACCACTGTGAAGCTCGCTATAACAAACGTATTTGGTGGGGAGGTGAAAATGTATGTTTTTTCTTGAAGAAAACAAACCGTATTGCCACTACAGGTACACTCTTCCTTTGTATGACCTTGCAGTTTGCAAAGATTGTGAACCTAGTGTATTGCTTTAATTCTGGTGCTAGGTGTTAAAGACTTGCTATGAAACCTGCTGGGCCTTAAAACTTTGAAAGGTTAAACACATTACACCTACCATTTTTCATGCAATGCTCTTCATCTCTGTACATCTACATGTAATTAAAGGGAAGGGATTCAATAGTGTTAGGAATACAAATCTGTAATACTAACACTGTAGAGCCCTCTGGCAGCTAAAGGGTTAAATATTTAGTCACTTGCACGATTCCAGCGCTGATGTCCCTCAGCCTCCTTTTGACTTGGGGCTAATGCCCGAGCGCCAGATCGCTTAAGGCCCTCTCCATAGGAAAGCACTCTCCATCTGGGATAAAATGAAGTGGTCTGGGTGACTATAGTGTCCCTTTAAGCAGCAAATCACGTCACATACTGGGATATATAAATATATTTATATAAGTGTATATATATATATATATATATATATATATATATATATACATGTACACACTGTTGTAACCACAGTATTCTGAAGTACTATGGAAGCCAGATATACAGGTCTTTTAAGCTATCATTTGCTACACCGGCTTGTTCGCTCAAATGTGATTATTTTCAATTTTGAATACGTACACACACACACATGGTAATTTCAAATATAAGGTCAAAATAGCCTAAATGAAAAACTTCGCTATATGCTCTATGCTTTAATTTCAGCTGCTCTGCCCTTAAATTTTGAGTTATCACTTTAGTAAATAACCCTAACTTTATGCATATGTGTTGGAAATTGATATTTCCTAAACACTTGGCTATTAACCACATTTAAATTATTTTAATAGTAGAGTAAAATCATACACCACTATTGTGTCTAAACATACGTTGTATTTCGTACCCATGGTATATCATTACAAAAGTGTAAATGAACAAATCAAGAAGGAAAAACGGTAAGAGAGCAGAATATGCACATGGGAAATTAAGCTTGCTGAAATGCTTTATGTGTCTTGAAAGGAAAGGGGTTTTGTTTTTTGTTCTCGGTCTGAAGAAATGTTTAATTTTCAGAGTCTGCACAGATGTTCAAACGGCAACTAGCAAAAAAAAAAAAACATTCGATGATACCATTTTTCATTTGTAGGGTAATAGCTGCTTGATCCAAGGATAAATCTGACTGCCATTCTGGGGTCAATAAGGTTTTTTTTCCTAGTTTGTTGCAAAGTTGGAAGTGCTTCAAACTGGGGTTTTTGCCTTCTGTTGGATCAACAGCAAAAAACAGATGTGATGAATGTGTGAACTTGATGAACATATGTCTCTTTTCAGCCAATGTAACTATTTATAAAAGTGCTGATTTCAATAGAAACCGCACTTTTATTATTGGAAGTAGAAACATCTCCCTGGCCGTCAATCAGACAGACAGCCAGGTTTTCTTCCACTTCAAATAGTTTTGCAGAGCTAAAAGAAGGAGCAGGCATGCTGGAGCGCGCCTGCCTGCCTCTCTTCTCAATGAAGTGTATTAAAGCTTAATCAGAAGAATAGCACATGCGCTCGTGGTTCTAGCACAGAGACTTCTAAACAAGAATCCTTTGATTGGCTTATTCCCCAGAACAGACTGAAAGTCTCGGAGTGTTCCTTTAATACGGTGTGTTAATTGTGCTTCAGAGTAAATATATTTTGTGAGTTTTTATTATGTTGCCTCTAAAGCTATTGTTGCAAATGTCTTTTTATTAGAGTCAAGTCCCTGTAGAAAAAGCTAAGCCAACCGAACCCTCAACGAAAAAACAAGCTAGTGGTCTCTTTTCTGATGAGGATGATTCAGAGGTATGTTCCTATCTGTGTGAATGATTGCATGACCGTTCAAATCTCCTCTTGTGTACTATATCAGAAGTGTCTAATTAAAATGTTTGTTTTTAACTAAAATTTCTAAACAGCCATAAGTATAGCAGATAACCGAGGGAGGTTTCTCCAATAGGGACTGGATTTTGTTTTTCCTTATTTTATTTTTTTGTATTTTATTATGCAGTTGACTGCTTTCCATTTATACAATATTTATCTGAAAGGATACTATTATCTACAGAGGTACATGCTGTGATTAAATGTACATTCTGGATCCGTAAAGCACTTAAGTGTGCTGAATTGCTTTATAGGTGAACAGTCTGTCTTCAGTGGAGCTAAATTCAAGAGGCAGGTAGTTGCCCAGAGCACCTGCCTTGCAAAGACTTCTCACTGATCTGCATTAGGAAGTCTGGGATTGGACAGCCACAGATAGTCTATGTTGGGTTAGAAGGGGAGGGCTTGCTAACAAGAGAACAGCAGGCTTTACATGTGCACTCAATGAAAAAAAACATTTTCTTTGGGGTATATCTACTAAGCAGTGAGGTGTTTTTTTTGTTTGTTTTTTGTTTTGTTTTTTTGTTTTTTGTTTTTATGGGCAGTGAAGTGCTTCTTTAAATGTTATCCCTTTTTGGTGGATGTAGTTTTTCTTTCCATGAAATGTTGAACCTCAGAAAGGGAGATGCCTTCCTTTACAAAATGTATATTGTCCACCTAGTGTCTGTACCGTGCCCATTGGGAAGCCATTGAAAGTGAACACCTAGCAGAGAAGTTCTAAGGGATTTGTAATAGTGCCACTGCTTCAAGAGAAATCTTTATTGAAATGCCTTGTTTGTGACTTCTGTAACACTAGTTTAACGCATAATATTGTAAAAATGAAAGGAATCGTTCGATATCATGCTCTGTAGTGCAAAAACTGTTTAGTACACAGGTTTTACAGCAGTGCGCAATGTAACCGAGTTATTGACAAGATAACTACGTATTGGCATAGAAGGATAGAGGATCCTGCATTTGAGAGTTTAAAATCAAGATAGAGATATAAGTGATGGATACTGACAGGAAGGGAGTAATTTGTAAGAGAAAATTCAGGTTCTGAAAGACCGTTTGTGGTGAGAAATGATGGCTAAGGTGTGGCGATGCCAAGGCTGTATGTGTCATGTTACATTGATTCCTTTCTGGTTTAAAAGAAGCCCATCCTACTTTCTTTTTATCTTTTTTTTTTTTCTCTCTTTTTTGTAAATCAGTTTATTGACTTTGTAACAAGTACGCATGTTATACATAAACGAACAGTGCCGAGATAGGCATGTAGTGTTGTGTATGGGTTTCACTCTCTGATAACCTAGCCTATGTGGAATCCATGTAGGGTGTGAGTTCCCTTAGAAAGCCTATAGAGGTATATGAGACTCTCACTCTAGGAGTGGATCCCAAGGGGGTCTCTCCTTACAAGAATTGCGTGAGATCATGGGCATTCAGGAGAGCAGAGCTCGAAAACTGTCAGACACTGAGGATACAAGCCAATGTGTCCAGATCGTTGCATATTAATTTATCTGTCAGTTGCACTAAAAATCAGTTCTTCCATGGAGTGCAGTTCCTCCATTTATGAGTACCATATCTGCTTAGGTGGCAGCGCTGATCGCATCCATTTCACTGGGATTAGGCTCTTGGCTTCGCTAAAAATGCAAATTGTGTCATTTTGTATGCAACTGTGGGGGTATTCGTGTAGCGGAGTAGAAACGAGGCAGGCTGAAAAGGGGGTTTTATCTCAGAAGTAGTTGATCATAGTGTGTAACTTTTCACAGAGCAGCAATCTCACCAAACGTGTAGGTTCGAGCCTTTGTGACAGTGCCAGCCAAGCCCCGAAGGGGAAGTGTCAATGGCCTTCAGTTTCTGCGTGTCTTGCTGCACTAGATCTCTTATCTTCTGCCACTGTGGCACCAAAAGTGTTGTTTCCAATGCGGCCTCCCAATGACCAAAGAATAAGGGTTCATGGTTTATTTTATAGAGTGGTATATAGGTGTAAAATCACATACTCTAGAGGCTCGGGTTCCAGACAAATCGATTCGAGTGGAGTGAAATCAAGGAACACCTGATGATGTTGTTGGATGCCCTTTAAATAAATCTGGAGTTTATAATATCTACATGAAGGATGGTTCATGTCTGGTTGTTGGTAAGGTCTGGTAATGTTTCAAGTTTTCAACTTTTTGCTACATGTGTAGCCTGAGGGAGAAGGGACCTCAGAGCCTTTGAGTCAATATTTGGCGGGAATGCGAGGTGAAATGTCAGTGGTAGTAGCTGGAAATTAAGTAAATTCCAACCGTTGTGCCAAGTCTGTAGGGTATCCCTGACCAGGTGTGCGACCTTGCCAGTTTCCTGTTATGTTCCATTCTCACCCATAACAGGGTTTGGAGGGGACTCCCTATCTGAGTTTCTTCTATTGCTTTCTAGAGCAGGCATAGGCAACCTTCGACACTCCTGATGGTTTGGACTACACCTCTCCAAGGACGTATCTTACGCGAGGCAAACAAGGCATCTGCATTGGGCGGCACTTTGCAGGGGGTGGCAAAAAAAGCCGCCCCCAAACGCCCAGGCAGATGACATGTTTGCCTCGTTTCCTGGGGGGCTCAAGAGCTGGCCGGCTGGCCGAGGCGGGCAGCGAGGGAGCATGCTCACCTCAGCGCCGCTTAATGAAGCCGGGAGCCGGAATATGACGTCACTCTAGCTCCCGGCATCACTAAGCGGCGCGTGAGGGAGCTGAGCAGGGAGATTAAAGCTCCCTCGCCACCTACTCAGCCTGTCTGCCCCCTGCCTGCCTGCCCAGCAGCCCCACTGGACTGCAGGTAAGCCATACACTCCAGCTCTCCCAGGGAGGCTGGGTGGATTTAAAATAAAATTTACAAAAATAATAAATTGTGAGTGTTGGTGGAAATGTGAGTGAATGTGTGTGTGTGTCTGTCAGTGTGTTTCCGAGTAATAGTGTGTGTCTGTCTATCAGTGTGGCAAATCAGTGAGTGTGTGTGTATGTCATTGTTTGTCAGTGTATATGAAAGTGTGTGTCTGTCAATAAGTGTATGCATCTGTCAGTGACAGTCAGTCAAAGTGCGGCCTTGACAGGAAGGGGTAGGAAAAATTTTAATTTTGGGGAAGGGGGTTGCCCGAGCACCGTCCTGCCTAGGGCAGCACAAATCCTAAATACACCACTGCACTTCTCATGATGTTTTGCCAGCATTATGGGTGTAAGTGCATTATGGGGGATATAGTCCACAACATCTGGAGTGCCAAAGGTTGCCTATCCCTGTTCTAGAGTCTGTCTATGCCTATTGTAGCCCACTCCACCACCCGAAGTAGATGTGTTGCTTGGTAGTATAATTTAAAGTCAAGCAACGCCAGGTCCCCTTTCAGTTTTAGCAAGGTGAGCGTTTGAAATCAAAGGCGTGACTTTGCCATTCTCTAAACGTACCTGATGAGAAAAGACCTAAGTGTTTTGGAAAATGTGTTGGGCAGTGAAATGGGGACAATTTAGAACATCCTTGGCAGCAAGTTCATTTTAATGAATGCTATCCTACACAGAGATGTTTGGAAGATCCTAGTTCTCTACATTCTGCTGAAATCTGGTAATCATTGGTAGGAAATTCTTATGATACCAAGAGGTCTTGATTTTTTTGTAATTTTTTTTTTTTTGAAGGTGGTACTGGAATGGATCGCATAATATTATCTCCACTTGTTACGTACTAGATCCTATTTAATGAAGAAGAAAAAAACGAAATAAATTTGCTTTTGATTTCAGGCGGACTTATTTTCCCCAAGCCAAAGTACTGGAAAACCCAAAACAACATTACCAGCAACAAGGCCAAGCAAAGCTCTATCTCTGTTTGATGACGACGATGAGGAGGTATGGAGGTATCCATCTTCTTTAACCTCCTGCAGTATTCATGCTATGAGATGTTTCTGTTTCTTGTTGCATCTAATCCTAGTGTTGATATGCGCAATATACAACACTATCTGGAACTTCATGCCAAGCCAGGCCATCTATATTTTTATTTTTTTAACTTTTAGTATCAGACATCATGTGTTTTATGTGAGTATTTTTGACCTGGAGGTATTCTTATGTATATTTCCAGGTAATATTTTAAGAATAGTTTTTGTGTTCATGTGAAAATTATATTTTGGAGATTGCTACATTACGAGTCGATTCTGTAAACTGCTACCAGCTTTCCATTTTTGTTTCTCGTTCAGACATGCCCTGGTATTCAGAATCATGTTAATTCTACGTGTGATATGTTTACTACTTATGCATTCCCGATTGCTCTTATATCTAGTGATTGTATGTTCCGTTCTTCGTTTGTCTAGGATTTGTTTGGTTCTATAACAGAAAAGAAGCCCTTGCCTGTTGCGGTGAAACCAAGCAAGCCATCGCTGTTACCTGCAGAAACCAAGATTCAGAAATCAGGACTTTTTAGCAGTGATGAAGAGGTAAAAGTTTACAACATCTTTACATCTGCTTTTTTTTTTTTTACCAGTCTCGTCATTCCCATACTTGGGTTGTAAGGTTCTTCTATATTTTGTCACAAAGTGTTAGTTGTTTTTTAGGTGTAGTATCACTTTTTGATTTTATTTTGCTTGTTTTTTTCCCCATTAGCCCAGACCACGTTCCCTCTGTAGCAGGGAGAGAGTAGTTTAATTTTTTGCAGTACAAGATGATCTTATATGGTGGGGCACCTTTATGTATGTATTCAACATTTGATGAATTGTTATATACTCAGGGCTAATGTGAATCTCTCATCTGCAAATATGTAGATAACTTGGTTGCATTATGTAAGAAATTAATTGTAACCTATACATTGCACAAACATGTGTAACTTTAATTATGTGTGTCTATCTGTAAATGTCTTTGTTGCCTTTGTAGTAGGCTGCTTGTGCGTCACAATAAAGCCTACTGATTTGTCACTGGAGGCAATTGGTGCTGCAGAGTGCATTGTATTCTGTAAATTGAAAGTCCAGATAATTATTTTTTAAATGTACTTCAATAAGGCAAGATAAATAAAACAAATATAGCATTTCTGAAGCTGTAACATCATACATGAGAAATTTAAATATACTAATAAAACTGGATCTTTTATAAACTGTGTGCATAAAAAAAAATTGATTGTGTTGGGATAGGTTCGAAAATGTGCTTCTCTGACAAAGCTGCTGCTTTGAAAGAATTATGTTTCCTCCTGTGAACTTTTGTTTTGTTTTTTTGCTTTTTACATTCTCTAATCTCACATAGGAGGCTGCATTGCACAGCTGCACACTGTGTTGAAATATGTTCCAAAATTAACACTTCTTTTCAAAAAGTGTTTAGATTCTTGAGTCAAAACAGGAAAGGTGTAGCTTGGTCTGTAGAAATAAAGTAATTTAACTCCTAAATAGCAGTGAAACTGTAGGGGCATGATCTACATAATAAAACTACTTTGTTAAGCTTGAAGTGATCCTATAGTGCCAGGAAAACAAACCCAATTTGCTGGCACTATAGGCTCTTGGAGGGCCCCCCTCCCTCTGCGGTGAAGGGGTTAAAAGCCATTCAGCCACTTACCTTAATCCAGCTCTGGGCTCCCTCGGCACTGGTGACCTCTCCTCCCCCGCCGACGTCAGCTCCCTAGTGGAGCCGAAATGCACATGCATGGCCCAAAGCACGCGCATTCAAACCTGCCCATAGGAAACCATTGCTCAATGCTTTCCTATGGGGATCTTATCTGACGGACTCCACGAGGACGTCCAGCGTCCGATAAGGACTATTTACTCAGTGTAAATTGCGGAAGCGGCCTCTAGTGGCTGTCAAGGAGATATAGATATATATAGATATATATATATATAGGGAAAAAACCTTTATAATAAACAAATAAAAACGCTAACTTTGGCCAGCATTTGTGACTAATTGGCTACTACAAAAGACTGGAAATACCTCATGTGGAATACTCTGGGTTAACTACATTTGAAAATGTTATGCCATGATGGGGTTATTTCACATTCCTGGGCTACCATATGGTCTCAAAAGGCAGCACAGACCCAGCAAACCAATCTGGCAAACTGAATTGGGCAAGCCCTATATTGACCCTGTAACTTTCCAAAACACCATAAAACCTGTACCTGGGAGTATTGTTGTATTCAGGAGACTTCGCTGAACACAAATGAGTGTTTAAAACCGTAAAACCTATCACGACGATGAAATCACCAGTAAAAGTGCAGTTTTCGTTTAAAAAAAAAAACACAGATATGAATGCTAAATTTGGCAAGTGTTTGTGGTTAAATGGCTACTACAAAAGACTGGACATACCCCATTTTGAATACCGTAGGTTGTCTACTTTTACAAATGGTATGCCATGATGGTGTTAATTTTCATTCCTAGGCTGCTGTATGGTCTCAAAGGCAACATAGGCCCAGCAAACCAATCTGGCAAATTTCAATGTGCAAACATGGAAAAGGGGAAAGCCCTACATTTGAACCCTGTAAGTTTGCAAAAACCCATAAAACATGTACATTGGGGGCCCTGTTGTACTTGGGAGATGTTGCTGAACACATATTGGGGTGTTCTTTGTCAGGAAGACATAACAGGAACTGAGTATCCTTGCCTAAATTACAATCTGACAGAAAAATAACACAAAAGAGTGACTACCCAAAAGTTTGACAAAGACTGGTGGTAGATTTAGTGCATGGAAAATGTTAAAATACTACCATTTGAAAAAAATAAAAATGGTTTGGAAATAGCAAAGTGCTGCTTGTACTTATAGCCCTATAATTTTCCAAAAAGAAAGCTAAGGACATGTTAACATTGGTAATTTCTAAATTCAGGACAAAATGTAGAAACTATTTAGCATGGGTGTTTTTTTGGCGGTTGTAGATGTGGAACAGGTTTTGGGGGTCAAAGTTAGAAAAAAAAATTATTTATTTTTTTCATTATTTTATAAAAAGAAATTATAGTAAATTATATGATATGATGAAAATAATGGTATCTTTAGAAAGACCATTTAATGGCAAGAAAAACGGTATATAATATGTGTGGGTACAGTAAATGAGTAAGAGGAAAATTACAGCTAAACACAAACACCGCAGAAATGTAAAAAGAGCCCTGGTACTTAAATGACCACTATAGGCACCCAGACCACTTCAGCTTAATGAGGTGGTCTGTGTGCCTGGTCCATCTAGGGTTAACCCTTTTTTCTATAAACATAGCAGTTTCAGAGAAACTGCTATGTTTATGTTAGGGTTAATCCAGCCTCTAGTGGCTGTCTCATTTACAGCCGCTAGAGGGCTTCCACGTTTCTCACTGTGAAAATCACAGTGAGAAGACGCCAGCGTCCATAGGAAAGCATTGTGAATGCTTTCCTATGGACTGGCTGAATGCGCGCGCAGCTTCTGCCGCGCATGCGCATTCAGCTGAAGAGGCAGAGAGGAGGAGGAGAGCTCCCCGCCCGGCTCTGGAGAAAGAGGTAAGTTTAACCCCTTCCTCTCCATCCAGCCCGGCGGTAGGGGGACCCTGAGGGTGGGGTCACCCTTAGGGCACTATAGTGCCAGGAAAACGAGTATGTTTTCCTGGCACTATAGTGGTCCTTTAACTGTAAGAAAATTGAAGAACGGTCTGGTCACTAAGGGGTTAAATGTACCCTTTGTTGTTCTCCACAGTACTAGAATAAAAATAAATGTAAATTGTCACTTCCACAAGCAGTCTAGGTACTCTCTACATCAACCCAAATACGGCAACCTTGTTTGTGTAGCACTTGGCAAACTACACCCTTAAACCACAGAACTGTTCGATTTTTATGTGCTTATGAGGAAAATACTACCAGCTGTAACCGTATTAATTAAATATAAATATAGATTTTTTTTTTTTATTATATGTATTGTGTGCTGCATAAAAAAGTTTTTTGTTTTTTTAAATCTTCACTGTTTGGGGTTTATACCCTTTGAATACAACTTATTCTTCATATTGTTTTATGCCTGTAGGATCCTGTTGGCATCTTAAATCAGAAAAAAACAGTTGAGCAAATTCGCCCGACAACTGATGCCCCCCCTGTAGCAAAAGAAAAAGAGACAAAGGTTAAAAAGACCAGCTTATTCGACGATGAAGAGGATGACCTTTTTGCAGTTACAAAGGATAGGTGAATAAGCATAAATATTATTTGATGTAACTGTGAAAGTATTTAGTGGACGACGCTGGGTATAATTTCAAATGACTGACATTACAGTTCAATTGGGCATCCGAAGGACAGTAAGGTTTTAAAAAAAAAAAAGTTGCCATAGCAACTAAACCTTACGTGCCGGTTTCATACACTGTCCATAGTGAACATCTCCTACTACCTGTGTTTTTTTAACTGCTACTTAGACATGTTTTGTGCACCTGCCTATGGGTCACTTTGCAGGAAATCATTTTTCGTGTCTACATTTTTGGGTGCAGTCACTCTTGTTTTTGAAAGTTCAGAATTGTTTCTGAGCAGCAGAGGCAGTAAATATTTTGGGTGTCAAATAGTCTGAACCCAAAGACTCCTAGTACCATAATGACTATAGGAAGCTATAAAGATCATGTTTTGACAGCATAGACAGATGTTGTTTAACTCTTTGTATCAAATTAAAGTTCTTTATTATAAACTTACATTGAACATATAGTTTGTTCAATAATACTAGATTAGAAATTAGTAACCTGTTAAATGAGCTAAACATTTAAAAAATGTTTCTATATTTGTACATGTTCCGTAATGTTCGATTGTGTTGTACTTTTCTGTTTTTGCATGCATGAATGCTTGACTGCTATTTTAGAGATAACATTTTATAATTGTTTTTTTTGTTGTTGTTTTTTTTTACCTCCCAGTCAGATGAAACCTCATCGAGTTTCTCTCTTGTTTGAGGAGGAAAATGATCACGAAGGATCTTTGTTTGCTGCTCCAAAAGTGGACCCTATAATTCCAGCAGTCCAAGATTCGGTATGTTACTTATTTATAGTCGCTTAGATAAACTCTGAAACTGAAAAAAATATATATTTAGGTGGTTTGTTTCTTTTGGAGAATTTATTTTAAAACCTGGGGAAAAAATAGCAAATGTCCAGCCTGTCATAAAGAGACATCCAAGGAGCATGCACCACTACAACTTATTGCGGTGTTTTTGTTAAATTCCATGTCCCGTGTCCCTTTAATGGGCACACATGGTGGTTTTAGAGATTGGAAGCTGCTGTAAACAAATATTTCTCCCTGCGCTTCTTTTTAGTCATCTCTACAAAAGTTGTATTTGGGGTTCTTTTTTTTTTTTTTAGCACTTTAGTTGTAGCCTTGTTCTTTTGTATGTTTGAGTTTTATTTTTTATAAAAGCCATATGCATAAAATCTTTACATGCTATCAAGTTCTTCCACTTCACTACAACGGAATACTTTTCAAAAAACTTTTTAACTATTACTTCCTTTTCACATCACCCACACACTGGAGAATCTGTTGTGTTTTCGCAGACTAGGTTATGTACTCGTAAGACTTACCAATTTACTAAGGAGACATGTTCTCGCAATTGCTTCTGTTCGAATGTAGCATGTACCCGTTTACACCCGCGTAGGGTTCTGGTTGAGCCTTCATAATTAGAACTTCATCCGACTTGGATTCGCACAAAGTGCACAGTCGTTCCCGTTTAGCAGTGCTACCTAAGCCGTTTGTATTCTGCTCAGATTTTATATTTAGTACATGATCGTACCAGGTATTAGCTTGCATAGACATAGTGGATATCATACAACTCTCAAAGACAGGCATTCTAAAGAAACCACACATGCATGCAGTTTGTCGAATCCTTTCCCTTGGAAATCAACCATGTGTAGCTTGCTAGTATGCACTTTGGGGCTTAGTCACCCACACAATCACAGCTGTTGAAATTTCATTTTTTAGTTGTTGGCTCATCATTCATCTACATTTTCACTGCCACAAGTCATTAACCCAAGTAATATATATATATATATATATATATAGCATTAAAAAACACATGGTAGATCTACCGTGGATTATTATCAACATAACTACACTATGGATTTCCTTTCAGTTTAGCAAGAATTTGTTGCTTGAATGGCTTGCACATGATGGTGAATTTTTGTTGTTCCTACATGAGTGGTCCACTTTGAGTAGTTATTTAAAGGGACACACTAAGCACAAAAACCAGTTTTAACTTTAAAAAAAATCTTTTAAGTCATTTCAGTTAAGTGGTCTAGTTGCAGTGGCCCTTTTATTTTAATCCTGGAATGTAAAACATTGTAGTTTTGTAGAAACTTCAATGTTTACATTGTAGGGTAAAAAAAGCCTCCAATGGGAACACCTCCAGCCATTAAAGGCACTTCCACCTGCTCTGACTGAGTAAAATTTAGTCTCATGGAACTGCAGCAGCTGTGAATACGATGTTTTCCTGTGAAAATCATTGGATGCACGTATGGCTCTTACACGAATACCAATTCATAACAGCAATGAGCGCTGTAATAGGTTTAAAGCAGTCAGCTGAGAATTTCAGCCCATCACATTCATCCACTGTTGGTCAGGCCATTACTCCCTCATTAGCACAAGCAGCACCGAGGGTAACTGGCTGCTGAAGAAGTTCGTTTAGCATTAAAACATTTTAAATGGTTTAATGCTAAATGGAAAGGCAGTGCTAGGGGACTACAGACACTGTAACCATTTCAATCAAATGAAGCAGTTACATTACCTACAGTATCCCTTTTAATTTTGGTTATTCATATTTGCTAATGGCAGACCTCTTTCCCATGATATACTTTTCTATATACATACATACATGCATACAGAGAGAGAGAGATAATCATTTAGTACACATGGCTCAGGATACACTACTAGATAAGTATCATAGCTTTGTGCATTTAAAAAAATCCAAGTCATGTTATAGTTGTCAAATCTCTTGTTCTGTTGTAAAAGCATGTGTAAAAACCAGCTCACCAAGTAAGTCTGGTGCTGTAAGGGCAGGAGTTGAGATGTGCATTTTTCTTTGTTTCTAGTGAATTCCCCCCTGGGTGTTTGTAGAAGGAGTCATATTGTACATGTGCTAGGAACTAGATGAACGGAGTACTTTCTCAAGTCTTTTATATTTTTTTTTTTTTCTCCTCTAAGGAACCTCCAAAAATGTCTGTGCCAGCAAAATCGGATATAGAAAAGGAATCCTTGTTTCGTAACTCTAAGAAAAAATCTGAAACAAACGCTTCTAGCAACGAGAACGAGGAGCCCCCATCCAGGAATGAAAAGGTAAGTTAGAAGCAAGTTAGCATGCCGATCGAACGAATGTGCATTTGTTGCTGCGAGCTGATTTCCTGTTAAAAAAAAACTGCAAACTGTAACATTGCCCGTTTTGATATCTTTTCTTATATACTACAGTATAAGTATCTATCTATACTTTGACTGAGGTTAGAACAGTTCCTCTGATCTGGGAGGTGGGAAACAACAAACATTACATTATTTACTACATTGTAAAACCGTTATGGTGTTTTGGGGGTATATAATTGTTAAAGGGAAACTAAATAGGCACTATAATAATGAAAGCTAATTGTTCCTGGAGTCCTCCAAATCTGACTCTGTACCTAGTGGAGGTAAGAATAAGGCATAGAATACACAATTCCTTCTAGCTCAGGGGTTCCAAACCCAGTCCTCAAGTACCCCCTACCAGCCCAGGATTTAGGGATTACCCTGTTGTGTTTAAAGTGTTTTTTGTTTTTGTTTTTCTCTAAAAACGCATTAAACACAGCTAGGTAATCCTTAAATCCTGGACGGTTAGGGAGTACTTGAGGACTGGGTTGGGAACCACTGTTCTAGCCATACCAATTCCTGACATAAATAAGCTGCTGTGACAGGCTGAAAGAGGGCAGCTGGCATTCTCAGCCTCTCACATCTAATCAGGCAATTACTTCCTCATTAGTCAGAACACCATAAAGGGGATGGTCTGCTGGGGACTCAGTGTGTACTGGGCAGCTGACAGTCATCGGAATGTTGCAGAGGCAGTCTCTGGAAGGATATTGCTGGCTGTTTTGTGTTTAAAATATGCACCAATAACCATTTACATGCCGCAATTGTCGTGTAACAGCGCACTTGAATGCCACCAACATTTGTTTAGGCTAGTTGTCATCCAATCACCGTGACCTTGTGCCACAGTGATCAGATGCCTTGGACATCTCAGGGTAGGTTTTCAGAGTACCTCACTAGTGATGTTACTGCAGCTGGTTCCCCTATTTACCACTATAACATTTAAAAACATAGAATGTAGCAGGGCTGACCGTACAGAAATCTTAGCTATAATATTATATGGTTAGTAAGAGTTCGTCAATTTAAAATATATACATAATTGAGAATACAATAAAAATAGGGATTGTATTAGAAGCAATAAAGTTTTGAATTTAAAACATTTAATTAAATAAAAATATAAATATAGACCTATAAAAACATAATCTATTATAATAATTAACAGCAGAGTTTATAAGATTGCATTATATGCTTGCAATATCTGTAAAATAGAATAACTGACCCTCTTGAAGAAGACAACCTCTCAGTTTTGGCAAGATGGAGCAAATGTTCTCTTCTGTCTTTAATATTAAATATTCACAAATATTTGTACCTTGGATTTTCAGTTGGGTCATGTTAGGACCTACCATAACTTGGCAACGGTGCAAGACCGTGATCATTGAATGATATAGCCTTGACCTGGTCATTTCACATGGGAGCATTTTAATCCGTATATTGTCATGACCTAGACATCTTCTCTATGTTTCTGACTAAAACATGGCATAGGCAAGGCCTTGACTTGTACATTTACCTAGGACAAAATTACATCCTAAAGTCTAAACACCATATTCACTGCATATGGGTAAGAGGTCATTTATTAAAGAAACATTGTATGAGGATCAATATGTTCCATTTCTAACGTCTTGTCCCTTTGCAAAATCTCTTAAACACAAAGTACACAGTTTAAAAAAATACATCTTTTCATTCTAAGGACTTGTAATATATGCATATTCCCATAACAGCGAGGACTCTGGCAGTACAAGAGTCACACCGGTATTGGAACATAATATTAATATGTACAAAAAAAGGCCTCTTTTCCAGACAATATTGGAAAACAAAGAATTTTCGAATTAACGTCTAAATGGCAGGTCATTTAAAGCTATGAAAACTGACATTTATTTCGTTTTATTATTACAGGTGAGGCATGGAATCAAATTAGAAGATGGTGAAAATGCTGATCTTTTCCCTGCCTCCCCACCACCAGATATATATGCCAAGCCCAAGAGCAAAACCGTCCTTAGCCTGTTTGAGGATGAAGATGAAGATAATTTTGAAGATCCGATAACTATTAATGTTAAACAGAAGAGTTCTGAAAAGGTACATGGGGAGTTTTAGATGAACAACTGGGAAGCGGCTAGAATCTTTATTACACCTCTCTGGACAAGAGGACACTCTTAGGGCAAACAGATGCTCAAAGTGTCAGCAAAAACTTTGATTTGGCTTCTTTACTTGAGGCAAAGAATATTCATAAATCCCTTTTTTTATAAATCCATTTTAGAATCACCACCAGACTTACTTTTTTTCCTAGCCCAAAGACTCATTACAGCAGCCTGATCCTCCTCCGGTTAAGTCATTAAAATTGATGACTATTGTCCAAACATTTGCTTCACATTATGGATACATGATACATGGCGCATATGTAGCTAGTGCTCCAATCCTCTAATTCAAGGCGTTTACAACATCCGAAGTCGGCATACTTTGCATGATGATTCTGGACTTTAATGTGATATAGATACAGTAACTGAATCTGTTAACGTCTACGGGGCAGCGGTAGGCAAACCTTTGCACTCTGGAAATTGTGGATTACATCGCCCATAATGCTGGTAAAGCATGAAATGTGATGTAGTTCACAACATGTGGCGTGTTGAAAGGTTGCCTACCTCTCCCCTAGTGGCTATCTAAATGATGGAAATTATTAGTAGTGGAAATTGCAAAATGTAAATACTGCTGTATCTCAGAGTTGGCGCTCTTTGCCACACCAAACCTGCATGAACAACATATACACCTCAAAATTTCTTCGTTAAAATTAAATAATTTTTACACTAGGACTGTCCCTTTAAAGAGCAAAAAAAAAATGTAATCACTTGAAAGTCATTTTAGAAATGAGCTAGTTACTTATGTTGAGTGTGTTGGTTAATGTTATTTTGGCTGTAGAATTAATTTTGAAATTATTTTTGTATCACTTATTTCTTTAAGTTTAATATGTATGAAGCGTTTTAATTTACCGTGTAGAAGACTAATGTGAGCGTGGTTGTACCTGTGACCTCATGTGATATTTGTACATACTCTGGCTGTTCTATACATCACTCAGTATGTCCCATTCGTTGTTCAGGTTTCCTCTGAAAAGAGCGCACAAGGAAAGAGCACCAGGGTTTTCCAAGATGAAGAATTACTATTTAGCCAGGAATTACAGCGAGACAACGACCCTGATGTGGATCTCTTTGCTAGTGCAAAAAAACCAACGGTGAGTTGTTTTAATACTTTTTCTTTTGTTAGTTGGGGAGATGTTTTGGGATCACTGTGTATGTAGTATGTGTGTGTGTGTGTGTGTGTATGTATGTATGTATGTATGTATGTGTATGTGTGTATATATATATATATATATATATATATATAAAGACAAAAATGCTTGGCACTGGATCTTGAGGAAGACCCTGAGGGGTCGAAACGTCGATCGTATCATGTAATCCTTTTTAATAAATACTGCATTTTTTGTTTATACAAGTCCTTAGAGTGCATCTCTTATTTTCTGCATATATATATATATATATATATATTATATATATATAATATATATATATATAATCTCAAAATCCAATTAGGTTATGGTGGGGAAAAATTGTGATTGAAAACTTCTTACACCTGAATTCTGTGGATAATTAATACAATGTTAAACAAAAATCTGCACACCAGTCAAGCCATAAGACTTTCTTTTCCCACAGAAATCACAAAATTGCAGCGATGTTACAACCGCAAAGGATTCTGGGTGGGCATATGCAAATTAGTTTAACAACAAAACTGCTATCCATGAGTGGTTCACTGGTTTTGCATCTTTTCCTATACTGTGTTTCAAGCTGTTGTATACAGAAAACACAGATTAAAAGGAATCCATGTTTAAAATGGAATGAGGCAAAAATGTGATTCTTTGTTAAACTAATTTGCATATGCCCACCCAGGATCCTTTGCAGTTGTAACATCGCTGCATATATATAGTGAGTAAAGGGTGCACTCACAGAACTTATAGATAAGCTCAGTGTGGCGAAACCGACCTCGCCACTGGGCATTGGAGAAGACTAATTGCCAGCCTCCTGCCATGTGACTATTGCCCCTGGGATGTATTGCCCTTTAAAGACATTATTTGGCTTATTGGATTTTGAAACACACTTTCTGCCCCTTTGAATACATGAGAAGGTGTGCCCCTCCCCCATTTTCTGTCTATTGTTCTCAAGCAGGGCGTTGTCACAGGGACACTGCCAGACCAGTTGGAACTTGTTGCTATGGTTTAACCCCATGGTGATTTGACTGTGTTTGTGGTTTCTGAGCGCTGTTCGGATATAGTGAGCGCTCAGATCCAAGCTATCTGGGGATAGGTTGAATGTGGGGGTTCTGTTAAGTGTAATAGGCATTATGTATTTTTATGTGTTTTTACTGTTGTTGTGAATAGAGATATTTTCTGTATGCTGGAGGTAACTGGCTTACCACACCCAAGCCATGCTTGCCGACGGTCAAGGGACTTTCAACTAACTTTTGACCCACTGGACCAATTTGTATGATTTTGACGTATTTTTGTGTTTGGAGTATGCTGATTCTGAAAATGTAATTCACATTTTATGTGAAAGTGATGTATACTTTTAGATTTATGAATATTGTGTATTTTCCTGCCTGTGATAATTACATTAGACCCATTGTGTTCAGTAATTATATCACAGGCAGAGGGGAGGATTTTGTGTGGGAGTGTCTGAAAGTATTGTACGTATTGATTGGTTGTTCTGCAAAACCCTGAGGGCAGTACTGTGTGTGTGAAATGTGCATAAAAGCAGAGTGTTTGATTAAAAGCTTCAGTTCTACTTCACAAAAAAAAAAATGTGCTTGTCCTGTGAGTGCACCCTTTATTTTTATATTATCAACGCAGGGTGCACCCAGGCATATTGAAATATATTTTTGTACTGCAAGGAGAGTGCCAAGCGTATTCATATTGTGTGTGTGTGTGTGTACGTAACACGTTTTCCCGTATTATCAAGGCAACATTTTTGAGTTTCTGCGTAGAAAAGCAGCAAGGGACCAAATGTTGTTTCATTTCTTTACATCATCATTTTAGATGTACACTAACCTCCATATGGGTTTTGATCCCAATAACCACAAAAGCTTATACACCTGTTCAGTATATGTAATAATGTGTCCTATGCTTTAAATTTGTACAGTCCCATTTGCTATTCACAGTATTGTCTGTGTGAACGAAAAATGAACTAGAATTTATAACCACTTATTTCATGAACATAAATCTGTATCATCACCACTTACAGTTAAACAAACTCCATTGGGGTTCGAAGAATTGGGTATGTTGATCTTACCCAAGAAGAAAACACTTTGGCATTTTTAAATACTCGGCAGCCTTCCTTGTTCCAGTTCATTAAAAAAATGCATCTTTTCTTATAATGAACAAAAAGTGAGCCTTGCTACAAAGAAGTATGTGGCAAACATGTCAGAACAAACAAAATGTCCAGTATACTTGCATAGACAAATGTATTGTACAAAACCAAATAAACTTAAAATTGTATCCATAAATTAAATAGATTGTCTGTTATAGGTGATTGCATTCTATACCTATTAAATTACAAAACCATTTAAATCTTGAAGCTACCAACTTTTTTCCATTTGTGTTTCAGTCTGAAAAACCCAGCCAAGCAAAACCCCAAGCCGGGACTGGATTATTCGGTGATGAGGAAGATGATGACCTTTTTAGTAGCAATAAAGCCAAAAAGCCACCGGTACTTGTGCTTGTTCATATTTCTTAATTTTCTTATGTTGTATATATTATCTAATTTAAAAGCCATGTATCTACCAATATTTCTTGTATCACTGCATCTGTTAACTTCTGTTGGCTCTGCTGAGCTTAGCCTACAGTGGGATTAGGCAGATGGCACGAGAAAGGGGTAAAGGAGCAAACGATGTGAAAAGTGAGGTAGAAAATACGTCCCTGCATTCACAAAAAATACATGTGTGTGTGTGTGTGTGTGTATATATATATATATATATATATATATATATATATATGTGTGTGTATATATATACACATACATACAACAATTGTCACTCATTCTGACACTACACATAGATAACCAATGTATTCACACACAATGACCTTCTGCTCTGCAAATCAAAAATAAAATGCATCGCATTTGTGGTGGCAACAAACTATTAATCCTGACTAATAGCCTAGGACCTTTGACCTTTCTATGATGTTACAGTCAAAGACAAGTATACAGAATAGGTTGTGCTAACACCAACACTTTATTAGTATCTTACCTGAAATAAAATAGTCTGTTAAACTTTTAGCTCCGTTTTATCACGAATAAATCTGTATATAATGTATGTGTGTATGTGTGTGTGCTTCCCAATACAACAAACGCCAAATTCAGTGAAACAAACTGTGTAGTAACCAAAAGCAAGCAAAAGTGAGTTCTGCTTGCCTGAACTTGTCCCTTCCGGTTGTCGCCATCTGCATTCGGCTGGTCCTCTTTAGAAGCGCCATGAGCTGACGTCACTGCTGTACTCTTGAACGTGTGCGAGAGTACAGCATTGAGGTCTACTAAGGAGACTGTGGGATCCTCCATATACGAAGCCAATTGGCTGCAGCTATCACTGGTGTAAGCTGCGGGATTGACACTTCTAGATAACCGTAGCCTCGTCCAGTGTCTAGTAATGTCAGGCGTAGAAAATATACTGAGATAAAGTAATGTCTTAGTATATCTCTTGACTGGATTGCAATTTCAATAGGGAAGGGTGACACTGCCACTTTAACACAAGGCTGTTAGGCACCTAAATAACTCCTGCAGTCATACTGTTAGTATAGCTATGTTTTATAATCATGTCACTTGTCATTTCCTTTAGCTTTTATTCTCATGACTTCAAAATTCTCTTACACTTACTTGGTACTGTGTTTTGTTTTAATTTTTAATATCATGTTGTCTCTCTTGCATCTAAAGCCTATGGAGTTTGTTTCCATGTATATTACTTTTAGTCATAATCTAAATATTATTTATATTACAGAAAGTTCAAGAAAAGAAAACTGTGATTAAAAGAGAAACCGCTGATGAATCTAAGGAAACTAACAGTGTGCCAGAGTTCAAAGACCAGCTTCCTCTGAGGAAAGGTGATACAGAGGTTAGTACCGTTTTCTGAATGTACTAGTACAAATAAAACAAAATATATTTAAAAAAATACTTAGTGTAAATTACTTGTGAGATATCCGATTTAAAAAAATGTATTTATTTGTTCTGATGCTTTTGTGGTCACTACTTAATTTTTGATAAGTTGATGAATGTAGCTTTACATGTCGTTTATTATCAAGCATAAGGACATCAATCACTCTAAACTCACCCATCAGAAGTTGGCGCTTCTATATTATTATTATTATTATATAGCGCCAACAAATTCCGTAGCGCTTTACAATGAGTGGACTAACAAACGTGTAATTGGATAGTGGAATGGGCCAACATCTTAGTCGCATCTGGCGTTAAGTAGGGGCGGATGCGCGCAATGTTTCTGAGATGGAAATGACAAGATTTGGCGATAGATTGAACATGAAGCTTGAAGGAGAGATCGGAGTCAAAGAGAACATCTAGGCAGCGAGCCTGCGTGGTGGAGCTGATCTAATGTTTAATGTGGTGGAGAATGATCTAATGTTTAAACTTTCTTTGTAGCACAGTCAGTTTAATTAGGAATGTCTTCTTTCCTGCTATGTTAATCACCTTCTAGACCCTACAAGAGAGTCATGTGTGTGATTAAAGTTCAATTTACACAGCAAGAGATAACCAGTTCTAAAGTAAGTTAACTTATGATTGAAAATTAAAAAAATAATTCATGCAGGGCGTGGCTGTGGCAGAATAAACAGAAGCAAAATTGATTTAACTCCAAAATGGCAGAGAATTGAGCAGGGAGACCGAAGGAGCATGACCTATATACTAAAACTTCTTCAATAAGCTAAAGTTTTTCCAATGCCTATAGTATCCCTTTAAAAGTTAGCTTTTATTAGTTTTGTTGAAATTCAACCACCAGATGTCAGTCTTATTAGCACACCTAATAGTCATACAAATGACAAAAAAGCAAGCTTTCAAAAACAAAATGAAAGTGAATTTTCCATATGGACAGCGGCAGTACTACAGCAGGTATTTTCCTTTCATAATCCTTCTTGACAGGCAACGTAAGTGTAAAACTTTTAATATGTATGGTAAGTACCACCATTAAAGGGACTCTCCAGTGCCAGGAAAACAAACCCTTTTTCCTGCAGTGCCCCTCTCCATCCCACCCCCTATCCCCTGTTGCGGTTAAAACCCCTTCAGTGACTTTCTTGAATCCAGTGCTGGGTCAGGCTCTGCCCATGCTCCTCCCCCCCTCCCCACCGGGGGGGAAGACCTAATGAGCATGTGCGGCAGTGGCCACGTGCACGCATTAGACCTCCCAATAGGAAAGCATTATTCAATTCTTTCCTATGGGGATTCCGGTGATGCTGGAGGTCCTCATGCATAGCGTTTAAAACTTTTCGTGTTTTAAGAACCCGGAAGTCCCTCTAGTGGGTGTCTGATAGACAGGCAATAGAGGAGGACTTAACCCTGCAAGTTAATCATTGCAGTTTATAAAAACTGCAATAATTACACTTGCAGGGTTAAGGGTGATGGGAGTTGGCACCCAGACCACTCCAATGGGCAGAAGTGGTCTGGGTGCCTGGAGTGTTGCTTTAACTCCTCCCCTCTGGGGTATAAAACTATAGCCACAAGAAAGAACCCCAGTTTTCTGCCAGTCCCTCTAGGAAACAGGTCTTAGGTTGCATTTATCCCTTTGTTCTTTTTTTCCCCTGTAGTAGATGAGTCTGCATGGTTGCAGACTAGGGCAGCTGTAGACAGGTGAGATGCCTATTGAGGCTCTCTGGTCTGACAAACTGTGTGGTTGTGGAGCCTCAGATGTTGCTGAACCTCTTTGGACCACACGCTGGAATTACAGCAACGGCATGCGTTCCATGGATCTTATCTTGCTACCCTCACTTCCGCCAGAAACAAAAGGAGGAGCCAGCTAAAGGCTGCGGGGCTATTAGGAGTGTAATGCACACCGGGGTTGTTTGTGTTCCATCACTGATACCCTTGTGTGCGCGCACACATGCACAAATGGGGGGGGGCCTTCCTCACTGCAAAATCAGAAATGTAAAAAAGCCCTGGTGAGGGTCTAGATTGGCAAATGCAATTCTACACGTGGCAGTGCTATCACCTTTTCGCCCTGTGCACTGCAGACGCATTTTTAAGGTAAGAAATATTAAATTTCTTTACTTACAAGGTCCTTTGGAGATTATCTTCCCAAGTTTGTAGGTACTCCTTTTTCTGTTTTGTTCCCGACATGTCGAACACACCTGAGGTGCAAGAATTCCCTGTGAAGCATGAGAGATCCAAAGCTGTTGCCAAAACAAAACATCTTAATTGCTCTGTTTAATGTTTCATTGCCAGGTGCATACGAAAAGAAAAATTGTAACGCATGTATGAAAGAAACTGCGGAGTCATCAAAATGTACAGAAATGTCTTTCTTCATTAACTGGTTTCAGCAAAACTTATAAATCTGCATTTCAGGACATTAAAACAGCCACTCTACAAAATATTTCTGTTATTACTAATAATTCTTGTGGGAATTCCCATGAAAAAAGAACCAGGTCTCCAGATAATTCTGATTCAGAGGAGTCTGAAACCAGCTCATCTTCATATTCTTCAGATTTTTCAGATTGCTCTGAGTATATTATGGTTTTTGATGTATATTTCATTGGCAAACTGATCAAAGAGGTTATGAAAATGGATGAAGGTATTTCTCCTCATTAGAAAAAAAAAAACTTTTCCACCCATCTTAGATTTCAATAATTAATGGCTAGATAAAGAAAAAGGCATTTTTAACCAAACATTTTAAAGCCATCTTTGCTTTTTTTTAGAATTCGTCCCTAAGGTGGATGTTCCCATAGCACAACTAACGTGTGTGTGTGTGTGTGTGTGTGTGTGTGTGTGTGTGTGTGTGTGAGAGAGAGAGGTGGGGAGGACTACCATTCCAATTGGTGAAATGTCCAGTTTACGAGATCCTATGGACAAGAAGTCCGAAACTTAATTGAGAAACATTTTCAAGGCCTTTGCTGCTCAGAGTAAAACCCCAGTTAAAAACATGGACATACTATCAGTGGGTAGAAAAGCCGTGTGGAAAAAATCTTGGCCAGATGACGCCCCCTCCAAATATGCGCTGCATAATATCCCCTTCGAACAAGGCTGGCTTTTTGGTTCATCTTTAGACAATTTATTGAAGTCTGTGGCAGAAGATAGGGAAAAGGCCTTATTGGAAAAAAATTTGTTTTTAGGAAGTAATTGGTACGGAAAATGTTATCTGGCCCCAACATAAGGCATATATTTTAAGACAATAACAGAGAAAGGGGGAAAAAATTTAGATCTCATCTTACCGAGAAATTCTGACACCAGGCAAGTAGGAGGAATATTGTCCCCATTTGCAAGTAGATGGTGAGATGCGTATAAGAAACTATTAAGAGGATTCATTATAGAATTCAACCATGTTTCTCCCCAATCTTTCATTTGTTTAACTGTTTAATCAAAAGATATAAGGTAAGCTCTTTGTTATACAGTCTCACATCTCATAAAAAGAACGTTCTAGAAAAGGTTCCCAAAAAAGGCGTTCCAGGGAACATATTCAAGATTGTTTCTGTCGAAAAACCTGATGGCTGTTTTCATCCAATTCTAGATCTGAAAAAAGTGAATTAATAAATCTCAAAGAAAAAGTTCAGGATGGAAATGATTCAGTAAGCTTTCATCTGATCAGAGAAGGAGACATCCTGGCTTCCCTAGACTTGAAAGATGCTTATCTCCATGTCCCCATAGCAATCTGAAGCAGAACGTTTTTAGGATTTGCCATAAGAGAAAGAAACGAGATTCTACATTTTCAATTCAAAGCATTGCCATTCAGCCTCTCATCTTCTCCAAGGGTATTCACCAAGATTCTCATTTGTCCTTACTGATATTCTAAGAGAAAAAGGACAACAAGAAATTGTCCTGGCTTCGTTTTGTCAATATGCTGTTCATCCTCAAGAAAACACTCTTCATAAATTAGATGTAAAATGTACTCTACAACTTTATTTGAAAAGAATTAGCTTTTTCAGAAGTTCTTTTTGTTCTTTTTAAAGGTATGAATAAAGAGAAAGCAGTCTCCAAGGCTTCTATAGCCAGATAGATGAAATAAACCATTATAAAAGCTAATCAGGTTTTTGGAGTGACTCATCCCCTCTACATTAAAGCTTACTCCAAGAGAGCCATCTCTGCGTCATTGTCATCTCACGCTTCAGAAATTCAAATTTGCAAAGCAACAAAACGTTAGAGATCCATGCCTCTGAAGATGCTTAATGTGCAGTAACCCACCATTCAGTACAGATTGCTATGTCCCTGTTGTAGTGCTGACGCTGTCTGTATGGGAAAATAGGATCAGTGTCAGTACAAGTGAATGAATATAATTTCCAATGAGTATGTGGCTTGATTTGCTGGGGTTCTATGTTGGTTTTATTTCCAAAAGGGGAGGTGTTAAGTTTGGTGCTTACCATATTTATTAAAAGTTTTAGACTTCTGCAGCCGGTGCTGGAATGAAAATCCCTGCTGTAGTACTACTGCTGATCATATGGAAAATTTAATTTACGATGAGTAAAAATTCAGTTTTCTCCCAATTTAAGACATAATCCAACCGTATGGCTATAAAAGCACGAAGTCAAAATTCCAAATCAGTAATAGTTCTCTTCAGTAAATCTTCCTAAAATAAAGGGTAATATACTCACTCAAACGTGAATGAATAGCTAGGATCCAATAGATTAGGAGGCTGAAGGAGATCTATAGTGACAGGCAAAACAAAAAAACTTTGGTATAATCTGGAGAGTCCACCATTGATCTTCATAAACTATAAGAGTCTACAGTTTCAACCACAAGTTTCTTATGGAACTTTATTCAATAATTTAAATACGAGCCTTTTTAACATCACCTCTAGCTCTCATTTTTATAAGAAACTGACTCTGCAACACCATCAAGTAATAAGGAATTTATTTAGTAACCACACATGCTTTTGCCAAGCCAGTAGGCCAATTAGAGAACACTTTTGACATACGAGCATTTGTAACATGGAGTCTTGTATAGAATATATTACATATAGATTTTTTTATTATTTTATTTTAACCCTCTTTCATTTTGTATAGCAACCTACCGATCGTGTGCCAATTAAAACAAAAAGCCCGTCCTCTCGGATTGGAAAATTACAAGTAACTATACGCTTAACGATTTTCACTTAAACTGTCTATTTCTTCCTTCTCAAATGGCTGTCAGGTTTGTGGGTGGGATTTTTGTTTTGTTGTTTACTGTAATTTCGTTTTGTATTTACTGCTTAATAAAAAGCATCTGTCACCCACTGTGCTTGGCCCTGGGCTGTTATGGATTTACTGCACCATTTCCTCTGTACAGCATGTAATCCCTTTCTGGAACAATTTCTCTGCTTTCTCTTTTCTATCAAAGGAGCAGCATCAACACTGGAGTCTAATGTAAATGGTTAAACCCACTATTTATTTCTATTTTTTTTCCCCTCAGGCAAACTTGCATATTAACCCTGCCAGCATGTTACCGGGTGCAGTTCCCAAGCTTACTGGTGCAAGACACGTGATCCCAGAACAACTGGTTTCTGCTCCTGATGTGACAGATACCAGAAGCATGCCCCCAGCAAGCAACACTGTGATTGGGGCAGTGAGTTTTGAAAACCCAGCACAAATAGACACTCTTCATAATGCTAATAAGGTAATAAAGATTTACTTTTTAAAAAGAAAACCCATTTATGTGCATTTCAATCGTTTCGTTAGGAAATGGATGCTTTATAGAGTCAAATTTTTTATATCATTGCTTTTCACAATCAATTTACACTAAATGTGATCCTAACAGTTACCCAAGATTTAAAGTAGATCTGTCACCCTCCACCCCCCAAAAAATAATAATACAATCTTTATGAAATGCTCACAAAGACTGCGTTGGAATTTCATTAAAACTCCAATCCAGTCCAAAGATCTCATAAGACAAAGTAGGGACTACTTTCTGTTATACATTTTTCCTACACTTTATAAAAAAGGTAGAGCGAGTGTTGTCAAATTTTGTCAACCTTCAGCCTTAAAAGGTTGTGTCTAAGGAGGACCGTGAAGATGTGAAGGACAGGTTCAGGTAAGTAAAAACTACCACCCCGAACCACCATGCTGAAAGCAGAGCTTTCACTATCTGGGGTATTTGCAGAATATGCAAAGACCCCAGTAGGTGACAGAGCCACATTATAAGAATTAAAAGCTTAAGATTAAAATTATTTTTTTATTTTGTATATAATATATAAAGCAGTGTTAATCTGGGATGTTGTTGTAATTCTGTTTTGTCTTTTCTTACTCTTTAGACTCGAGCCAAAGTTGGTGGGAAAAGGCGCCCACCCACAAGAATGGGCAGAAAACTGGCATCCGAAGATTCTGGTGAGACAGAGGACCTCAGTAGGTCATCTGCAATTTCTGCGACATCTGATACAAAGCATCAAGATGGATCACTACATGCAAACCCTGAAATAAATAGAGAAGAACGTATTTCTTCTATCAAAGTGTCTCTGTCAGAGAATGACATACAGTCTAGTACCAAAACTAGAATTGTTCCAAAACCTCTGACACCTGATGTGAATGACCTTTTTGGTTCAGATTTGTTTGGAAAAAGTACAATTGCCAACGCCTCTGCCTCAAAAATGAACGAACCTTCCCCTAATCCAGAATTTACCAACAAACCTCTTGTGGAGGCTGGGAAGAAGTCCTCTTCTGCTTTGGTGTTGAATGAGAATGGCAGTGATGATGATCTCTTCCAACCAGTAAAACCGAAGACCACAAAAGCATTTAGGCCCACATCTCTGGCAGATTATGAACCTGAAGATGATCTCTTTGGAAGTCAGAAAGCGGATGTTCAACCCATTCCAACGAAAGATACCAAGTCTGTTACCAAAGATATATTTGAGGTATAACATTAAATTATAATCTTTCTTTTTTTTACTCCTGGCATTAATAGTTTTGTCGGTCTCTTCAAATCTCTTTTTTAGTTTTGAAGAAGGGGGTAAAAAATGTTTTGCCTCTTACTGCAACATAACCCTCCTCAATTAGCCACACCTACTCTTCACAAAATGTGAATTGAAGTACTAAATGTGGCTCAGCCAATGAAAAGTCACTTTGAGCAGAACTGCTGATTTAACTCTGCCCCACAAATAGTTGCTGTCTTCTTATATGTATAGTATTTAAAACATGCTAATGGGATAGGTGACAGATATTTAAAGGATAGTGATTGGCTGTAGGGCAGAGACATGTCAGCAGATTGGCTCACACCAGTCTCTCATTGGCTGAGCTATATACATACACTGCATACTTTCAGGATGGAGAATTTTGTGCAAATTGTGTGAAATGTATTGGTTAATATATTTATTTTGCATAAATGGCCACCTGCTTACTAGGCAATTTTTTAAGTGTGTTTTTCCTCCTCAAGTGCACACACTCCATTTCCATTTTAACCTATTGTGTTTTTTTTAGGGTAGTTTGCTTATTTTGTGGATTGATTTAGCATAGATACAAAAACACACATACCCCCCCATCCCCCCTTTCCTATTGGAACAGGGGCAAAAATTGTATTTTATTTTCTTTGAGCACTTTCACACATAAACTATATTACTGTGTTTCTAAAAGTCTTTATTTTTTATTTATTTTTTTAAACCCAGTGTTACTGGGTTTTTTTTGTTTGTTTTTTGTCTGTTTGTTTTTTTAGCATGAATTCACTAAATGTGGAGGAGACAGGTATTTAAACAGAATGAATATGTGGTCTAGGATCCACTAGTTTACAAACTTCCCATTCTATTCAAAATGATGTCATTAAAAAGAAGTATGTTTACTTGTAGACATCTAATTTATGTACTACAGATTTTTTTTTGTGTGTGTGTGCAATAGTATGTTTATTTTAAAATAAATATTTCCTTATCACATTATTTGATGCAGATAAACTTGGTTGTACATGTATGAATTAAGCATTAAATTATTATATATTTTGTGACAATTCGTGCTAGAGATATGTATTGAATAACCATTGTATATTTATTCAGGATGACATATTTGCAACTGAATCCACAAAACCAGGGAAAAAAACAAACGAGAAGAAAGCAACAGCAGAACCGAATCTTTTTGATGATAACTTGGATATTTTTGCTGACCTCACACAAAAATCTAAAGACAAAAAGATTAAGAAGAAGGTGGAACCCAAGTCTATATTTGATGATGACATGGGTATGTACAGTTTCAGTAATATTTAATATCCCCTCACTGGACATGATTAATTATGGATGCGTGTATTGGTACCGCAAAATTCTAAGCTTAAAGGAACATTCTAACGTTAGGAATACAAGCATGTATTCTCAATGTTAGAGTGTCTTACTAACTATTTTTAAACTGTAGTGATTATTTTGCTTAGAGTGTCCCTTTAATGTGTCCTGATTGAGATGCTGTACAAATTAATTTATCAATGTGCAGCCAATAAAATAAGAATTTCCTGTTGTGTCTTTGGCCTAAACTCCATTTAGAATAATAGGAAGTAGTTACTAGACATATTGGCTTCTTTTTTGTAATGTGCTCTCATGTCTGTAATCCCTCATAATGTAAAGCATTGCAAAAGTTGTTGGCATGTTTTAAATTGTTTTCCTTACCCCTGACATTTGAACAGAATTGAATGTAGAGCAAGTGTCATCTGTTGTATACTTATTTAAATGCTGGTTTTCTAGCTGTAACTCCCTGAAGACTATGTGCCGTCTCTGTGCACTAATTTGACTGGATGTTGATATAGTGACAAAGAATGTGATCCAGTACACACTATGCAGGGAACAAAAGGTGACTTATTTACACAGTCACGCATAAGACAATGGTTCAAGTGACATAGAACATTCTTATCCCTGACTAATTCTAGTGCCAATCTGTGCAAGTATGATTGTATTGATGTGGATTTGTGTTTAGCGGCCTTTGAGTATATATACATGTCTGTTTACTATAGATATAGAGTTTTGATAAATAATTTCACTAAGTTGGAGAAAGCATAGTACTAGCAGTAGTTGGAGAGCAATACTTGTTGAGTAAGTGTATTAATAGACTATATAAATGCATCTGAGAATCTGTGCACCTCTCAGCATGCTGCCTAGTATGTATTTGTTTTCTGTGCAAGAAATATAAAAATGAATGATCTCATAGTTAAATAGAACACAATCATCATACTTCGCAAGACCTATGAATGCAATTTAGCCCAGGCAGCTACTGATAGGCAAACGAATGAGTAACACTTATGGTTGATATATTTATTCATCTGATATTTCATTGATATCCATTTTAGAATGTTATTCATTAATATTCACTTTATATGAAACCAAATTATACCTTATATCTTTTTGACTTGAATGTAAAACCGTATCATATTTGTATTTTATGTTGCCTGATTTTTTTGTTTTATGAGTTTTTTTTTTTTTTTTTTTTAAAGCACATGTTAAAACTGAACTAAAAAATTGTATTTCTAATTTCGTAAAGGTAATAGGTTTTCATTATGACTTTAAGAAGAAGAAAAAAAAATATGTATGGTAAGAATAAATAATGTTTCCTCTTATTGCAGATGATATATTTTCATCTAGCAACGTGAAAAAGACCAAGCCAAAAGTAAAACAAAGTCAGCCATCAACAGAGCCGAAATCAGACTCCAAACCTTCCAGTGATTTTGAAGATCCTTTAAATGTTTTGGGCAATTGAACAAAAAATTTACAATTTTGTACACCTATTTCAATACTTTCCATTCAAAATGTTATCAGTAACTGCATTTTTTTTAAGAAAGGATGAACTACAAATTCTTATAACTTTATATGCCCTTAACAAGATGTTTGTGCCAAACTTTTTGGATTTGGTGTGTATATATATGTATTTACAAACCCTGGTGCACACGCTTTCTAGTCCATTGAATACCTAGACACTGGGCCAGTATCTATGTTAAAATTCTTATGGAGGAAAATGGTGTAATCTTTTAAAAATATTGGTAACTTCGAAGTAACTTACTGTTACGCAATTCTACATTACTTTTGGCAGTACTGAAATGTATCATGAGAATAAAATGGTTAAAGGGTGATTCCAGTTTTGAGTTGATCCCGTTTTAATGAAAAATAATTGCTTAAAATACTCACCTTTGTAGTTCCCGCATTTGACGCAAATCCCCAGGATTTGCTGATTTTGCAACTAGCATTCCTGAAAGCAAGTGACAGCTAAAACTTCTTAGAAAATCCCATCTTTCTCCCATTGTTCTAAATTGAGTCACTGAGATTATGCCAGAAACCCCTTGACAATTTTTGGAGATATGTAGTTAAGGAGTCAGCTGTTTTCATGATGGAAAAACAAGAATAAAACTTCTGTATATGATAAGAGGATGCGGTGCTAAATAGCTCAATTCATGTGTTTCATAGTCTTATAGAAGGTTATCATGGTCCCTTTCGGACTTAGTGGAGGCTTGTATTGTTCGTTCACATTGCACTGCATCCTCTTGAGATGCTAGTAAGTAAAGTTTTGGGACTAGAACTGAAGCACTTTTTTTTTTTTTTTCAAACTGTTAGGAGTTATAAACCGATATAAAGAAGTCGAGGACAGTGGAGCATTTATTGCACCATGACCTGTCCTATACAAAGAGTTAAGGTAAAGTTTTTGAAGTGTCCTCTAAATCATTTATCTGTAGAAACACTTTTGGAATTCCATCCAAGGTGTACCGTTTACATGGTTTTTGTTTGTTTGTTTGTTTGTTTTGTGTATTATGGCAATGAGAGACTGTAATAGAGTAAAACTCTACGTTTGTGAGAATTTATATGGAAATTGAAAATAAAGCCTTCCAAGTTACATAATGTATCAATATAAATAAAATCTAAACCATAGCTTCTATTTCTAACCCTAATAGAATATGTAAACTAATTAAATGTGTTGTCAACAAACAGTGTTTTGGTGTTGTATTATTGAAAATATTTCACATTTGTATTTCAAACAAGATACTAACTTTGTTTGCACCTGAACCAAATAGGTGTTTGGTATCTAAGTTGATCTTATAGCATAAGCAGGTTCATGATATTTTCATTGAAACCACATTTTGGTTAGTTTGTCCCTAAGTGTTTACAGAGAAAATATTTTCTGTATATCTACATAGGTGGTTTTATAAGAAATGTTTAGCTTCAACCCTGACCAACCAATAATTCATACAAGGAGTGATTAAAAAAAAGTTTTTATTTTAACCCTAAATGGTATATATTTAGAAAAATGTTTTATATGCTCCTTCAGTTACATGTACTGTAGTGTTTCAATTATCAAAGTTGCCTTTGGCGCCAATCTCAACTTCCCCCAGGCAGCATCTGGCTTCACTACCGGGCAGGGGTGCCACTGATTCGCTGAGAGTGGTCAGCTGACACTATCAGCCAATTAGTGAACCCCCAATTCATAAAACTGGCTTGGAAAAGGTATGTTTGTTTTTTTTTCTCATGTTTACCTGCTTCTTTTTTCCTAAGCTTTCCACACACACTGTGAAAAAGTGCATTAGGTATGCCTGACGGGTTTACAATTGTGTAGTTGAAAGATCTCTTCACCTTGCAACATTCTGGTGGGTGAAGAGAATGATTCTGATCAGTGTGATCATGCAGAACAGTCTATGGTGTCAGGTTCTCTATCCTGCTGCTGCACAATAATTCTATATTTCTGTATATTGTGGATAGGCCTAAAACTGAGCTGGTTGGGTTAGAGGGAGGAGTGGGGGAGGCTGAAAAAACTCCTCTAGCTGAGAGGTGTGCCCAATAATGCAATCTGACCAAGTTTTGTTGGGGTTTTTTTTTTGTTTTTTTGTTTTTTTTGCTTTATTTTGGTTTGTATATTTATTTAGAAGTGTTTGTCAAATAGTTGTCAAGTGGCTCATGTCCATTTAATGAATTATAGCAACTTGATCTAATTGAAGTTGTTATCGCACCTACAGGATTTCCCTTTAATCTGCCCTCCAAATATTAATATTTTAAAAGCCACAGCTCTAAGTTCTATGAATAGCAGAGACAGGTCTGTTACTTCCTGGCTCTCATACAGAGGTATACTGTGATGTCACACGTCCATGTGCAGTGCCATCACAGTTTTCAATAGAGAATCATTGCAATGCTTCTCTATGACAAGATTTTGATTGGCATATCGAGGTGAGGGCCATGCATGTGCCTACTGTTTGCAGTGCTCCTCTTTGAGGAGCATTGCATTAAACCGTTATCCTGGCGTCACACAAGGAAAATGCACGGCAGCACTGAGGGAGAATCAATGCTGGAGAAAAGGTAAGGTAATTTTATTTTCCAGTGAACACATGGGAGCCTGCAAATAGAGATAGTAATACTGTAGAGTTAGTAATACAGATTTGTATTCCTATCACTACAGTATACCTTTAAGAATTTCTGCGATCAGGCGTGGGCTAGTATTGGTGGGGCATGGCAGTGATACAATCAGCATCTCTGTAAAGCTGGCTAGCCATCTTTTGTTTATGCATGCTAAGATGCAAGGCTGCCCACACACAATGTTGATGCAGTTATGTGTGCAATGCCCTGTATTTCATCCCAAGTGCAGTGTGTGATTTGACACAAATTATCATTTAAAATCTATATTGAACCCTGTTAATGATGTGTGCGCGCATACACACACCTACACATCCACCATTAACAGGTTTATTTACTAAAGTGGGAATACAAAATGTTTTTCAGACCATAGTAGTTGGACTTTTTTTTTTTTTTTTTTCAGTTGGGCTATTGTAACCTTACAGACAGTCCAATGCCCAAATACAAAGGAAAAGGAGTCACTGTTTAGTAGCTATACCCTAATAAAAACATTCATGTAAATAACTTTATTTTATTGGGGGTATATCTAGACCATTATCTTGTCTGTAGCCTTTTTGCAAACCTTCCCCTTCCAATCATAGACTTCCCAATGCAACTCAATGAGACATCTATGCAAAGCAGGTGCTCTGAGCATTTGCTGCCTCTGGAGTTTGGCTCCATTGAACTGATCAAATTCGGACATAATCGGACCTGTTACCTGCTTGAAAGCCAGGCCCGTAATCAGGTTAGTTTATAAAATTGCCAATTTCTATTGAAATCAGCACTTTTTGTAAAATGGGAGAGAGAGAGAGAGAGAGAGAGAAAAAAAGAGGTTAAACTGCATTTCAGCAAGCTAAAGTGTTTTAGGGTTCTGGAGTGTCCCTTTACGCTTGAAATTCACTTTGAATTTTCACTTTATTGATTAAACCAGCCTGTTTCTTGGTTTCATTCGCTAATTTCATAATTTTACCAAATTCAATTGCGAATGGCAAAATGTAATCACAAATAGCTGCTTTGGAAAATGTTGTTTATAATGGGCTATATAATCACAGCTTGATGAATGCAGCCTACATTCTGCCAGTTGGATTGTAATACTGTGCAATATGGAGTTTACTGAATGATTCTATGATTCTGGGGCATGGAATGTTTCCTATTTAATAAGGGGAAGGAAAAAAAAAAAAAAAAAAAAAGAATCTCTTCCTATAGTGCTCTCATTGGCTGGGGGTCTAATCGAGTCACGTGACCAGCAATGTTCCTTCCGAGACGTGTCTGGAGAGCGAGTCACGTGATCGCCGTTGCTAGGGACTAAGGTTAACGTCCGGGATACCTGGTAACAACAACAAAAGGCAGTTAGACACGCCCACCTCCGATACTCTCGAGGGAAGGCTTTTTTTTTTCCTCTCTGTGTGTGCGCCGAAGCCACGCCCTTTCATTTTGATTGGTTCCCATGCTCGGCGTGTACGCCTACTTGTGAATTCCGATGATGATTGGCTGGCGCAGCTGTCACATTTAGTGCCTCCACAAAGGAGGGGCGTGGTCTCTGGTGCTAGGGTGGGGGGCGGGGTTGGGCTGGGAAGAGACAGGGTCTGCCCATCCGGGTTATTACACACACACGGGAGGGCGCGGGGTGATGAGCGGCCGGAGCGGCTCCCCATTACCTGTCTGCCAGGACGTGACAGAGCGCGAGCTGGGGGCGGGGCCTCGTTATATGGGAAGCCCAGCAGGTGTTCCTGATGCCCCTTCTATCTTGCCCCAGTGGGCCACACACCGCCCCCCCGGCTCCCCGCCCTGTGTCGGTTGAATTGATGGCTGGCATGAGGTAGGTCATGACCTGACTGGCAACCATGGTCCGTGCTGCTCACCCTGCACTGTGCCCCAGGGAGGGTCCCCAGCTACCCCATGGCTCATATCATCCTGGGGGAACAAAGTGCTGCCCAGCCTGCACTGTGCCCCAGGGAGGGTCCCCAGCTACCCCCATGGCTCACTGAGGGCACATTCATATCATCCTGGGGGGAACAAAGTGCTGCCCAGCCTGCACTGTGCCCCAGGGAGGGTCCCCAGCTACCCCCATGGCTCACTGAGGGCACATTCATATCATCCTGGGGGAACAAAGTGCTGCCCAGCCTGCACTGTGCCCCAGGGAGGGTCCCCAGCTACACCATGGCTCACTGAGGGCACATTCATATCATGCTGGGGGAACAAAGTGCTGCCCAGTGCCCAGCTGGGGGTCTGCTCTCCTGCATGAAACATTATTTATTATTATCGTTAGTCTTTATTATTATTACTATTTTATTTATTTTCATTATTGTTACTATTTATTATTATTATTTTTTATTATTATTAGTATTATTATTATTTATTTCTGCATACTCCAGCACTTTGGAAATGTGTGATGAAGTGATCTATGCTGAAAATGTGGTGGAGGTTGTAGCAAAATTGTGTCGTATGTGAAGCTGCATTGTGCTCTCAACGTGCCAGGTGTCTTATTTGTGTTTATGAATAATAAAAGGAGCCAAGATATTTTTTTGCATTATTTGCAATGGGTATCATAGCACTACCTTCACCACAATTAAAAAAAAAAAAAACTCTGAACGCATAAGTACCTTGCGATCTAGGTAAATTCACTAAAAAATAAACACCACAAAAAAAAAAAAAATCAAGTCCAAGATCCAATCTGTATCTGTAAAGGGGGGGGATGCAATGGAGTCTAGGAATACCCTAAGCGAGTTCATATTTACCCCAACGCTTTACCATAGTATCTTCCACTACAGTATATCAATTAAACAAAATCACAATTAACATAAATGTCCACCTTCCACAAGCATTTAAATAAAAATTTAGAACACTTTTGGAATTATTGAACATTCTTATAGTTAATACTTATCAGATTCAAAACACAAGTTAATGTTTACGAAGTTCCATTTGTTTTAACTTTTATGTGCCCTAGATAACAAAAGGTGTCTTATGTCAAGTCTGCTAATACAGTATTGCTTGATACAAATCGATTTCTTCTATTTTTATATAGGTGGCTTATAAAAGTGTTCTGAACAATTCTAATGAATGTTTCAGTAATATTGTAAGATATGCATGGGTGGGATAGGCATAAGGCTATCCTAACCATAAGATAAGGCTAGGGACTAATGAAAGTATTTAGAAAATTGGGCAGACAAGATGGGCCGAATGGTTCTTATCTGCCGTCACATTCTATGTTTCTATTTTTCGTTTCTTGCGAACTGTGGTTTGGCTTATTCTCATGCAATGAGCAATTGTGTCAATACATTTAAAGCCTGTTTGTGGTAGGCCACAACCCATATAGAGTTTTAGTGATGCTCTAATTCTACATGGTTTAAAAAAATAACCATGTACATTACTAACAGGGTTATTTACAAAGGTGTGAATTTCAAATTTATGGGCAAAATACTTGAGTTGGAAAAATTCTCACAAGTCCGCTATGCTTCCAATTTGGCTCTTAAACAAAGTGATTTAAAGGAAAACTATAGTGCCAGGAAAACAAACTCGTCTTCCGGGCACTATAGCTTCCCCCTATGTCAAGCCTAACCCATGGTGCAGAAGGTGTTAGTAACCCATTCTGTCGCTTACCTGCGTCCAGCGCCGATGTCCCTCAGTGCTGACTGTGCTCCACCCACACTTTTCCCCTGCCGACTAGGGAGACCTAATGAGCCTGCGCGGCAATGCTGAAGTGGTCTGGGTGCCTACAGTGTCCCTTTTAACTCCTAAATGGCAGAGAATTGAGCAGTTGAACTGCAGGGGCATGATCTATACTCCAAAATCAATCAATTAAGTTAACGTCTCTTTAATCTAAAGTTTGTAATTCACCTTTAATTCCTGACAATTTTCACTTTAGTGAATGCAGTCATTAAATGATGGATATGATTGCCTATTAACCTATACAACATTGCAGGGGGGTGCGTATGGATTTTTGGTACTTCTATTTAAAATAAATAATATTTTTTTTAAAAGCTTCATGTCCTCCCAAGAGGGTCCTAAGCAAGTAAGCAGGGCCGGCTCTCAGTGGGCCGGCAGGGGAGAGCAAAAGATCTCCCCTGTCGGCCAGGGCACATGGGCATCACACTGGGGCCCCCGGGCAAGTACTCAGCATACCCATGCAGAAAGACGTCCCTGGTGTTATGTGATTGTGGTGATCGCCTGTCAGCACAATCACTGATACAATATTAAAGGACCACTATAGTGCCAGGAAAACATACTCGTTTTCCTGGCACTATAGTGCCCTGAGGGTGCCCCCACCCTCAGGGACCCCCTCCCGCCCGGCTCTGGAAGGGGGAAAGGGGTTTAAACTTACCTTTTTCCAGCTGGTGAGAGCTCTCCTCCTCCTCTCCGCCTCCGTCAAGCCGCCCGTTGAATCGCGCCAGCGGCAAGAGCTTCTTGGCGCTTTCATCTCAGAAAGCATTTACAATGCTTTCCTATGGACGCTAGCGTGCTCTCACTGTGATTTTCACAGTGAGAAGCACGCAAGCGCCTCTAGTGGCTGTCAATGAGACAGCCACTAGAGGATTAGGGGGAAGGCTTAACCCATTCATAATTATAGCGGTTTCTCTGAAACTGCTATAATTATGAAAAAATGGGTTAACCCTAGAAGGACCTGGCACCCAGACCACTTCATTAAGCTGAAGTGGTCTGGGTGCCTAGAGTGGTCCTTTAATTCAAACACCACTGTGGCTTTGCTCCCATCATCTACACAGGGTCGTTTAGAATGTCCCACGGTGTCTGAGGTACCCCCAAACTTCACCTCCTATTAAATAACCCCATTTGTTTTCAATTGCTTGCGTCATAACCAGCATTGATGTTTGCAAGCCATTCAATTATTTTAAACTTTTTATGATGGATGGCATCTTTGAACATATGGTTGAACAAACTAATTTGTATTTCAGCCAATATCTCGCTGCCAATCCTGAATTTCACTATAGCAGGAAGAACACATGGTACCTCACTGAAATAAGGAGGCTTTTGCTTTGATGATGGCTATAGGGATTGTAAAAATACCCAGCCTTGTAAGTCAGGGCTTGAAAAATTTGCTTTGAATCTAGGAGCCAGCTAAAAAAGTTAGGAGACAGATTTTTAAAATACAATTCTTAAAGGGACACTATAGTCACCGGGACCACTCCAGCTTAATGTAGTGGTTCTGGTGTCTATAGCCTGTCTTTGCAGACTTTTCCGAGAAAAGGCAGTGTTTGCGTTGCTTCTTAGTGACACCTCTTGTGACCATCACTCAGACGGTCACTAGAGGTGCTTCTTGTGTCAGTGTTGCACAGTGTGCAGCACCTACATTCAGCGTCTCCACGCTCTGCATGGAGGCGCTGAACGTTCCCCATAGAGATGCATTGATTCAATGCCTCTCTATGAGGAGATGCTGATTGGTGCAGCGTTTGACCGGCACACGCAGCATCCCATCACACGCTCGCATCCCGTGACACAGACCCACACACACACCAAGACAGAGAGACCCACACATAATTGCTTGATGTAATGCCTTTGAAGGGTGCAGTGTGCAACCGGCTGGGGCACTATAGAGGCAGGCGGCATGCTTGCTACACGAATAGAAGGTGGGCAGCGAAGGAGCTGTGATGGCTCTGCTCCATCAAGCACCGCTTATTGAGACCGGGGCCGGAATATGATGTCAAATCTCTGCACTGGTCTCATTAAGCGACGCAAAGGGGAGCAGAGACATCACAGCTCCTTCGTTGCCCACCTTCTATTCGCGCAGTCAGCATGCCGCCTCCATAATCCTCCAGCTTGCCGCCAGCCGCCCACTCTGGAGGTAAGGGGCTCGCATATCCCAGGCACCAAGGCATAATTCCTAGGTGCCATGACAACCTGGCGCCGGGGATTTGTCGAGCCCTGTTGTACGTTATTGGTACAAGAGCTCCATCCTATCCAAGGGAAAGGAATGCCCTGTGTTGTCTACTTTTGAAAATAACGTGCCATCATCGGGTAATTTTTCTTTCCTTGAATGCCATATTGTCTCAAATGCAACATATAATGCATATCAGGATTATGAAATTTCATGTGAAAATGGAATTCATTTATATGAAAAAACACTAATGAAAGTATTACCATTATATGTGACTAGACCAAATATCCCAAAATGTGCATTTGAAATATCCTGGGTTACCTACTTTTGAAAATGTTATGCCATAATGGTGAAAATTTTATTCCCTTGGCTTCCATACTATCTCAGAGGTGACATATGCCCAGAAAATCACTTTGTCAGATTTTTAAGTTTGAAATGAGCATGTAATATATTTCACCTGTGACCTGTTCAGCCTAAAAACTGGAAATCTGCACTTGGGGCAGCATTATTTTCTTGAGACGGTGTTACATAAAATTATTGGGGGTTTATTGCACATCAGTGCAGAAAATTACTTTGTAAAATTTTCATGTATGAAGACTGGGGAGGGACTACTGTTGTACTCGTGAGACATAGCTGAACACAAGTATGAGTGTTTCCTCCGAGTAAAACTGATCAGCCACAACCTTAAAGGGATCCTATAGTGCCAGAAAAACAAACCCGTTTCCCTGGCACTATAGGCTCTTGGAGGGCCCCGTTCCCTCTGCGCTACTTACCTTAATCCAGCGCCGGGCTCCCTCAGCGCTGGTGACCTCTCCTCCCCCGGCGATGTCCGCTCCAAAGTGGAGCCGAATGCATGGCCAGAGGCGCGCACATTCAAACCCACCCGTATAAAAGCATCACTCAATGCTTTCCTACGGGGATCTGATGCTGAAATCCGTGTAAATCGCAAAAACAGCCTCTATTGGCTGTCAGGGAGACAGCCACTAGAGGCTAGATTAACCCTCAATGTCAACATCGCAGTGTCTCTGAAACTATGTATTCAGCTGCCGGGTTAAAACTAGGGGGACCTGGCACCCAGATAACTTCATTGAGCTGAAGTGGTCTGGGTGCCTATAGTGGTCCTTTAAGTCCACCAACAGGTGAAGGGAATGGGTGCCTATAGTGGTCATTTAAGTCCACCAACAGGTGAAGGGAATAATGTTGATTGTATCAATACAGTGGGATATATTAGGCAGCAAGTGAACAAACCGTTTTTGAATTTCATGTGTTAGAAGCAGGAAAAAGTTGGCAAGCAAAAAGATCTACGTGACTTTGACAAGGGAAAAATAGTGATGGCTAGATGACTGGATCAGGGTAACTTCAAAACGGCACGTTTTGTGGGGTGTTTCCGGTATGCAGTGGTTAGTACCTACCAAAAGTGATGCAAGTAAGGACAACCGGTGAACTGGTATAAGGGTCATGGGTGCCAAAGGCTCATTGATGCACGTGGAGAGCGAAGGCTTATCCATCTGATGCGATCACACAGAAGAACTGCTGTAGCTCAAATTGCTAAAAAAAAACAAAAAAAAACACAAATAAGTCCCTAATGCTGGCCATGATAGCTCTCCGAACACACAGTGATTCGCAGTTTAATGAGAAATCTTTGCAAGGCAGGCATTACCAGGAAATAGCAGGAAAGGCTATCTAATAGTCAGGGTGGTGTAACAAGGTAATTTTATAAATGTAATAATTTCTGTTGAATTCAGCACTTTTTGTAAAATTGGCTGGGTGGAGGGTGAAGCAGTCTTTTCACACATAGAAGTACTTTTGTCGAAGTGCTTTAGGGGTCTGGATAGTTTAAGGTTTCTCATGATACTCCTTAGTGGGGAGAGGGGGAGGAGGGGGGGGGGGAATACCTTTTTAATTTAAGACAAAGCTTCAAGGCACAGAAATGCATGTTATGTAAATCTATGCCAATGCCCTAATATCACATCACAACATATTGTTGCAAGTATATTGTTGCAACATATTGTTGCAAGTTGCACTTTTGATACTGACGTTCAGTCTCACACTCTGCATGGAGACACTCAACTTTCCTCATAGAGATGCATTGATTCAAGACATCTCTATGTGGAGATGCTGATTGGCCAGGGCTGTGTTTGGACACTGCTGGCTCAGCCCCTGGCCTGCCTCCTTGAATGTCTTGACCAATCCAATGCTTTCCTATGGAAAAGCATTGTGATTGGCGTTGATAAACATTTCTGATGATGTCAGGCAAGTAGACAGATCAAGGACAAAGCCAGCAGCAGCAGACTGAAATAAAGGTTAGATTTTGCTTTATTTATGGGGAGGGAAAGTGCTAGATGGTGGTTTTAACACTATAGGGTTAAGAATACATGTTTGTGTTACTTTTAAACAAATCTGAAGTTATTTTAAATATGAATTATTCATCTGATTGCAAATATCAAAGATTCAAACAACCAGCAGGAATCAGTCTTTTACATATGAAAATTATGATATAAATCGAATCTTACGGACTAGTGATTTAAAGCGAAAATTCAAATCAAGTCCAGGCTTGTATAGACCCTTGTGTATCTGACGCTAATGTTTAGTGAGCCAGTAGCCATATTCTACATACTACAATTTTCTATCTGATTCTTCTACAGTGTCTGTATTGGATACACAGGAAGAAGACAAATAGGACAGAATGAAGGGGTCATAATTTAAAGGAACAAACCCGTATTCCTAATACTATAGGACGCCTGATATATTGTCGGGCTTAAAAACCATTAAAATGTTTTTCCAGCACAAAGTGAGTCTCAGCTCCCCTCTCCGCCTCCCACATTGTTATCAAGGTCCAAGCCAATGTTCCTCGTAGAGAAGCTTGAGGAACCTGATGTTGTGCGCACATTCAGTGCTTCTCATAGGAAAGCATTGAATTCAATGCTTTCCTATAGGCTGCAATGTCACGTGAGTGGGTTTTACTTAATCAGTGCAGCGAAAGCACCTCTAGTGGCAGTAAACATTGCAGTTTCTATAAAAATGCAATGTTTTGCATTGTAGGGTTGAAATGACCGGACTCTTGCACCCAGGCCACTTCATTGAGATGACGTGTTCTTGGTGACTAAAGTGGTCCTATAAGCTGGCACTGTATACATTGATGTTAGCCTATCCCGCAGTGTTCCTCCCAATCTCCGAGGCTAATATGCAGCTAGGTCTTTACTGTAGTAATCAATAATAAAAAAGATCTCAGTGATGTTGTTTAAAGGGACACCCCACACGCCTTAGCAACTTTATTGTAATTTATGTTCGTATGATGCAAGGACTTGCCTCAAGGTTTTAAACTGTAAATTACTTAATTTCGATAAAATTGTTATGGTGTCTAGAGTGTTCCTTTTAAATGTGAGGTGTGCATTTAAATTTTTTTGTATTTTTATTTTTTGTGGTAGGAAAAACTCAACTACGCATCTGGGCAGGTCAAGTAGTTACAAAGTAGTACTTTTATCAGACGTTTGAAAAGTACACACTGCCTATGGGAGAGAATAAAATTTTGAATGTTTCATTTGTGCCTTTCCTATCTGAAGTGGCTTTATTTTTATCTTTCTAGATTTCTACATTTAAGAAATGAAGACATTCATTTGACATTTCTTTTGAGCACTGAGGTGGCCTTTTTTTAACTTTTGTACAAATTTTTTTTTTTTCTTCCCTCTAACTTTTTTATTTTGGCTATGGCAAACAAAAAGGAGCCACCTTTTTTTAACGGGGATAACATTGGATCATTCCTCAACAGCCTCACCTTTTACAGTACAATGGAACTCTTTATTGAAACACTCACAGGAACTTGCTTTGAGTTACGGGTGTCACCCTTTGAAAAAGTGGTATGTGTGAAGGCCAAGATTCAGCGGTTGGAAGGTAGGAACATTTATTTCTTGATCTTGTGTGTTTCACTAATTGTATTCTGGTGCTTGAACTGTCATGTTTAGTTCTATATTATGCTATATAATATTTTAGTTGTTTTGGGGGCAGGGGGTATTTTTTCTTGCGATGATGTGTTGGCATTGATAGTCCCTCTGACAAAAATCACTAGAGATTTACACTTATAAGTTTTTTGTTTGTTTGTTTATTTTTTTATGGTAAAACTCTCTCTTCAAATAATCAACAGTGAGCTGTTCGTTTTGTTAAAGTCACATTTCTAAATGGTTGTACTGTCCTAAGCAGTCACCTTTTTAAAAAAAAAAAAAAAAACTTTATTGCCTACACCAAGGGTAGGCAACCTATGGCACGTGTGTCATTCACAGCACTCAAGGTGTCTTTGCACAGCACTCAAGGCTGCTAGAGCCAAACAGGCTCAGGCCTATCAGGATTCCCAGTGAAACTTCAGATATCTGCTAATACGAAAAGGTGGTGAAGGACAATCCTCAATTTATGCATTGCAGCATGTAAAGGAAGTAATCTCAGATCAGTTCCTCCCAGCACTTGTGAATGGAAATCTGCTGCTGTTTCCTCCCTGTTGACCTGTACCTGGCCAGCCTGGAATCCATGGAAGCTACCCACACTGATAGATATTCACGGAAATGCAGAATAACCCGCCCCTCATACAAATAATACTCAAGCTCAACACCACTAACAATCCACATACATGCAGCATCTCACATGCAATACCCCAAACAGCCCCTCACATACACACGTTAACAAACACACAATGTGGCCTATCCTGGATCCAACCACACACTCCACAAGCAGCCCCCATACACCGTCCATATTCATAGGTATCATACACGATACCACAAACTACTTGTGAAAATATTCAATATAATGACTCTTATACGCCCAAATACAATGATACAAAGCAACTGCAGTATAAATAACACAAGCCGAATACGGCAGCATACACACCTTTAACTTAAAAAAAAAAAAATAAGTCCAGCACACTAGGGGACATCACAATCTTATTTTGGCACAGTGCTGCTAAAAGATTGACCACCCATGGCCTACACACTGAGGTACTGTGATCTGTGCGGGAGTTCAGGGATCCATGGCTGTGATGAGATTCTTAAGCAGGATTTAACCACATTTCTATCTATTTGGCAGGGGGGGGTGTCATTTAACCGCACTGCATGCTTTACAGTTTTGGATTTCAAGCTGATGGCTCAGTGTTGTGATCTTGACTCTAAACACCATGAACACTGCATATTGGTTATGCTGCAATGATTGTTTGGTTGCTTTCCATCCCATGCGTGTCAAACTGTGTTTTTTTTTTTGTGTGTGTTTTTTTTTTTTTAGCAGTATGACAAATTTAACGAGTCTCCCGGCACTTTACCTTTCACATACCTATTCCAACTTTGAGCAAAATAGAGTGTTGGTGGTAGGTTTGCCCTACACTGTCAACATATCATTGCCAAATTCATAACTCCCAACATTCCGCTTTCCAGCCTTGTGAATAAGTGCATTTCTGGAAAAGTTCCCACCCTACCTGAGTAGAATGCTGTTCCCACCTCCGATCCAGTACTAGCATGATATTTTGCATACCACAGTACAAAAATAAAGTGGCTTGATCCTCATTTTCCTATAGAGCACCGCAATTATGGAATAACCTCAGGGACACATTCAATCTAAAATCTTTTAAGAGATCTATGGCAGCACAGAATGCACCTGTCATGGTTGAATATATTTATCATTTGTTATGCATTAAATATATGTGTGTGTGTGTTTATTGTATCCTATTATAACAATACAATGTTTTGTGGACCCAGGACATGCTTGAAAACAAGAGAAATTTCAATGTATCCATCCTGGTTAAATATTTTTATAAACAAACTTTGGAAGATGTGAGATTGAGCTATAAAGCCATTTTTATCCAGATGTATTTTGGTACACCGATATCAGAATGTAATTAATAATCCTCCCAAGTAGGTTGAAAATAAAATATATTAAATCCATATCCAAACTTCACCTCCACTTATTTATGTATTTGCCTCTTTAAAAAAAAAATACTGTAAAGCATCATCCAAATATGATATAAATCACCTTAACCCCTTAAGGACTGGACTGTTTTTGCGATGTTGTACATTTGCGACCAGGCATATTTTTATACTTTTGTGGTGTTTGTGTTTGGCTGTAATTTTCCGCTCTCTCATTTACTGTTCCCATACAAATTATACATTTGTTTTTTTCAGGACAAAAGGGCTTTCTTTACATACCATTATTTATATAATCTCTTTTATTTAAATTTTTTTTTAAATATGATGAAAAATTGAAAAAAATACATGTTTTTTTACTTTTACTTGAAAAATCTTTTACTCGTCTACAAAAGCGAATTAAAAAAACAGCTAAATAGATTCAAAATTTTGTCCTGAGTTTAAAAATACCCAGTGTTTACGTGCTCTTTTGCTTTTTTTTGTGCATGTTATAGGGCTATAGGTACAAGTAGGATATTGCGGTTTCAAAACATACATTTTTTAAATTTATCAATAGTGACATTGTAACACTATTATCTGTCATAAATCTCTGAATAACACCCCACATGTACATATTTTTTTTTTAAAGTAGACAACCCAGGGTATTCAATATGGGGTATGTCCAGACTTTTTTAGTAGCCACTTAGTCGAAAACACTGGCCTAAGTAAGCATTCATATTTGTTTGTGTGGTTACTAGAAAAGACTGGACATAACCCATTTGCAATACCTTGGGTTGTCTTCTTTTGCAAATGGTATGCCATCATGGGGGTAATTCTCATTCCTGGGCTACCATACGCTCTCAAAGGCAACGTAACCAACCTGGCCATTTTCAATGTAAAAATATTTGACCCATATATTTGACCTTGTAACTTTCAAAAATGCTATAAAACCTGTACATGGGGGTACTGTTTTACTCTGGAGACTTTGCTGAACACAAATATTAGGGTTTAAAAACTGGAAAACGTATCACAACAATTATATCAGTAAAAGTGCTGTTTGCGTGTGAAAAATGCAAAAAAAGTCACTTTCACTGACTATCATCGCTGATATATGTTTTACTGTCAAATTAAATTCTCTGGACTTTCGGCCTGGGTTGGCAGGCAGGTCCCTCAAATTGCAATCAATAAAATTACTTAATTATGTAAAAATATTACATAACTACGCACGTAGAATTTAAATATATATGCATATTTATATATTTGAAGTCTACGTGTATATTTATATAATTATGTAATTTTGTATATGAATATATGTATATTTTGTATTTTTTTTTATATATATAATATATAAATTCATTCTAAGTGTATTTTGATATAAATATATATTAATTTTAAAATACAGTTAGAATAAAATTTCATTTAGATATATATTTTTTTCAATTTTTATTTAAATTTTTTTTAATTTAAATTACTTATTTATATTTTATTATATATATTTATATTTTAATATATATGTGTGTGAAATTTAATTGTAAGTGTATTTTTATATTAATATATGTACATATTAATATAAAAATACACTTGGTATGAATATATATATATATATATATATATATATATATATTTATAATAATAATAATCTCATTACAAAAATTAAAAATAATATATATATCATTATTTTTATTTTTTTATTTTACACTAGCGGGGAGACTGGCTGTCAGCACAGACAGTCCCCCTGCAGGCAGACACTAGGACACCTATTGTGACCATGTGATCGCTATGTTAAGCGATCACATGGCTACAGGGGTCCTAATTCAGTGTGGGGAGACTGTCTGGGCTGCAGGCAGTCTCCCCACAACGGGAGCAACGCTGATCGCCGCCGGGGGAACGACGGCGATCAGGTAAGTAACTAGGACGGTTCAGGACCGTCATTGGTCGGCAATGGGAAAATGCTGATGACTGTCCTGAACCGTCCTCGGTCCTTAAGGGGTTAATATTTGCTTTCATCCATATAATTGAAATATCTCCAAAAAAGTAACATAACCGTGCAACCTAAATAAAATATTTTAAAAGACTACATGGTTCTTCATTTCACTCACTCTTGAGAGCCTAAATCGGAATAGTCCACGTACATTAACTGATGCTAACACCAATTGTGCTTTTATTTTTAGTTTTCTAGTGCCCATTAAAGTCACCCATATCATTTCAGCTTAATGATGTGATCTGGATGCAGTAGTCCTGTCAATTTTAGAAACATTAGAGAAACTGCATTGTTTACGTTGCAGGGTTAAATGCACCTCTTGTGTTTGTCTCCTCCAAAACTAATTGAATCTGAGTCCTAGAATCAAATGTTGCTGACGGCAGCATTTGATTTGGAGGAGTGTATCTGACTGCGCATGCATGTATATACAATCCATTGCTTCTCCATGAGGAGGAATTGAGAAGACTGAAGAAGTCAACATGCTTCCGGACGTCTTCTGCAAAGACAGAGCGGGTGGCTGCAGCAGAGGAGTCCCGGCACCTGAAAATTGGTAAGTAATCATTCAAAAGGGTTTTATTTTTCTCTTCACATTAGAAGTTGGCATTCCATGTAAGAATGCCTATCCATTTGAGAATATTATCGGACACCAAAAATCATAATTTGTTACACATTTTGATGCTTGTGATAATCTGCTACACTATCTGGCTATTACTATAATTCCAATAGCCGTTCATATACGAATAGGAAGCATCTGGAAAGGTTTATTGGGTGTGGGGAGGCCCAAATGGAAGAAAGAACTCTGCGGAGTCATATCGTAATGAGAACCCAACAATTTCCCAATTACAGTTTCTAATTTAGGGGGTTAATTTAACACCATCCCACCATATGTGTATAAACGAGCAAATATCTTAATTACATCTCCAACAGGTATCTGGCGTGTTATTTTGACATTTAGCTACCATCTGATTTAATATTTATAGTTCTCATAAATATTTGTTGTGCATTGTACATTTTGTAAGTCCTTGCCCATTCTACCTCTGGGAACTCTACCCCTATTTTCTGTTCCCATTAAATAATGCTACTTAATTTCTCTTTTAGGTTTATAGTCCTATAGAATCTTTTTAATTTTTGTAATGAGATTATTATTATTTTATTAAAAGATGTTAAAAGGATACATTAAAAACAGGATTTTAAGAAGAGATATAACAAAAGAGAGAATTGGCAAAAATCTATATATAAACATGCCAACAATTTTTTTTTTCAACAATTCCAGAATAGAATATATTACATTTTAAATTTAAAAAAAAATAAAAAAAAATCTGACCACTTGGGAGCTGGGGTGCTTGATGGTCAGGGTGATTTAACAGCTACTGCGGGGTCTCTTCTGATTTAAAGGCATTTTGTTTTGGGGGTGACCAGCCACCTATTGATGGTCATTTACTACTTTTGAATACATATGTTGCTGAATCAACTGGCCTTTTTTGGCCCGATGGTATCTCGTCCTTCACATTCGTCGTCTGGTGGAACTGACTTCACTGCGCTGTGTAAATGAACAATAGTTTTTACACTGTAATCAATACACTTTATATAATGTACCTGTCTGACAAGTGTCAAATATCTATATAGCAGTAATGACGCACTCGTCCCAAATACACTTACCTTGCATAACTGCATGAGAAGCACACCTGGGAGCCCCAGAGGAGTCCAGTGATTGGTCAAATATCAGACACCACATCATCCTATACTATATGTGTTGCATATAAAATGCTATTCTAATTGTATATGACTCCCCAAAGACTGTTTAAAATGCAAAACTTCTTCCTACAAACACATGCTGGAATAACTGGTGGACATGCCCCAAAATTAAATCATTATAGCAGGAGATTGTAGCTATACTGTTCCATATCTTGCATAAGTCATATCACTTGGGCCCTTTTGCTGTCCTTTTCAATACATTCACAAGATCAGAAAATAAACTAGCAGCTAAATGTTTATTTTTTTGTTTTCAGCTGCAGGGTCTGGGTGCCATTAGAGGCCCTTTAAATTATATATTATTGTATTTGTTTGTTTTTTAAAATCTTCTTTCGAGACGATACCGATAATCTGAACTTTCAGGCCGATAATTTACAGATATTCTGTACATTTACCGTTTTGAAAAAAATAAACGATTTCTCCACAAATCTACTGTTAACTGAACATATTTATTTATTTTGCAAATCTTTTTATTTGTATTTTTTATTAAGTTAAATGCACAAAATATACATGCCAGTCAGAACTTTTTAAGTTTTTAAGAATGTGTGTAGTGGATCAGACTTATTCTCCCTCTTTAATACAAGCTGCACAGAGGGGATGGTCTGTTGAGGGCTACTTACTGTAGTGGTTATAATGTTAGGAGTACCCTAGCTCTTTTGTCCTGTAACGGTGTGACCTGCTACCTGATTTCTACCAGATGACGTTTCCCACAATGGTGGTTTAACCTTATCGATGCTAATCCTGCTGCTCACTTATTGACTGTGAGAATCCATTAAGTGCTCTCAGCCAGTGAATGAGTGTCTGTGGAAAGAAATATGCACAGAATGTACAGGTAATGACACCCTAACAATGTTGTTGGAGGTGAAGTTGCACCTCTTTCAGCAATAGAAGATATCTATTTATGTACAGAGTTTCAAACCTTGAACACATCAAAAATAAAAAAGCCCGAAGTGCTATGATTATCCCTTTAAGTGCTAGTAAGTAACTATATAAAAGTAGATCTAGTCCTCTTTATGTCCTATTTACACCAGTGGACGGTGATGATCTTCACTGACCTAGTACATTCAGTTATGGTTTGGCAGTCTGCAGTGAGGCTTTCTGTTTCTACTAACGTGACCTATACACCCATGTCTTATGGTTGTGTTTTCTCCATTGTTTCACAAGGGCTTTAATTATTGTCTGGTCACTATGGAACATGCTGTAAACATGTAATTCTCCCAGTAAAGTGTGCCATAGTTACCATCTAGATTTCAAACTCTAAAGGTACTAACTTCAGAAATGCACTAAATGACCTTTCGGAAACAAGTACCAAGTTTGATAGGAACAACCCAGGTTGTACTAAAAACAAACATAAGCTTATCTACATAATACTATTATACTGCAATTTTTCTTGGTAAGAATGGTTTGTGTTGAGCCACTTTTCTCCTCCTCCAAGAAGGATACCTACAGTACTCGTATAGTTGCTATGGTGCCAGATCTAGACAGATCTGTGTGTGTGTATGTCAAGTAATTTAATACTGATATTGCATTTTGTAGAAAATTTTAGTAGATGGTTTGTTGTAAAAGGTGACTTTGTTTAGTACTTTGCACATTATTGATTATTCAGATGTGGCACAGCAATTTAAAGTATAATGAAACCTTTCATAATCTATAAATGTTTCATTCATTTATTTTTTTCATTTTATTTATTATATTATGATTATTGCAGGTATTCCGGTTTCCCAGCAGCACTTAATTTGGAACAATGTAGAACTTGAGGATGAGCGCACTCTAAAAGATTACAAGTCAGTAAAAAGCACCAGCTTCATGAAGACCACTTGTATAAGTTATATATTTATGTATTTTATTTTTAATACTTTAATTCTTCTTCTCCTTCTTTCAAGCATTTCTAAAGGCTGCACTTTAAAACTGGTGTTGGCTATGAGAGGTGGTCCCATTAATACACGGCGGGGTGAGTACAATTAAAAAATATCACGTGCGCTATATGACTTAATGCATTGAATCTAGGTAAGAAACCCCATTCGTTTACGCCTCTGCTTTCAAAGGAAAAAACAAAACATTTTATTTTCTGCGCTTGTATATAAAAAACGTTATTGCAAACTATTGTATTAATGATTTTACATGGGACCTGTTGAAAAGTTCAATCAACTTATCCTGCTCCTCACTTTTTTGTTGGAGGTGCCAGGGGGCTGTCAGATCAGTGCTTCATATTTTCTGGGACTGTCCTTTTGTCTGCCGTTTTTTAAACCGAAGTTACGAGGTTATGACCTCAGTTGCTGATAAAGGGGTGATGTTTCACCCAGCTGACACGTTACTAAATCACACCAAGGGGGGGAGGGGGCGCACGCACGCGCACACACTTACTCCCCTATGTTTGTTTTGCTGGTGTTTGACTGCTTGGATGTATGCACATACATACATAGATACTTACAGATATTCATGCACATTAGTACACAGATACATATAAATACATCGACACATACACACTAATTCATATAGACACCAACATACACACATGCACCATGACACATACACCATAACATAGATACACACACTGACATAAAAACACACACCCTGACACATAGATGCACATACACAGATACGCAGTACCCCTATGTACACGGGCATACACTTAAAAATAAATATATATATATATGTGTATGTATATATGTATGTATATGTAAAAAACAGATAAAATTCTTATCTTGTAATACCTTTTTTATTGGACTAACAGAATTTTTTAATGACAAGCTTTCGGGAGAACCTCCCTTTCTCAAGTCTGAAGCATTTCTGAGCAAAACGACACATAGAATTCAAAGTTGAGTTGTGATACAGGGGATAAAGCGACATGAGTGTAGATAAGACACAGGTTTGTTAGAAAATACAGGGAGTGCAGAATTATTAGGCAAGTTGTATTTTTGAGGATTAATTTTATTATTGAACAACAACCATGTTCTCAATGAACCCAAAAAACTCATTAATATCGAAGCTGAATATTTTTGGAAGTAGTTTTTAGTTTGTTTTTAGTTTTAGCTATGTTAGGGGGATATCTGTGTGTGCAGGTGACTATTACTGTGCATAATTATTAGGCAACTTAGCAAAAAACAAATATATACCCATTTCAATTATTTATTATTACCAGTGAAACCACTATAACATCTCAACATTCACAAATATACATTTCTGACATTCAAAAACAAAACAAAAACAAATCAGTGACCAATATAGCCACCTTTCTTTGCAAGGACACTCAAAAGCCTGCCATCCATGGATTCTGTCAGTGTTTTGATCTGTTCACCATCAACATTGCGTGCAGCAGCAACCACAGCCTCCCAGACACTGTTCAGAGAGGTGTACTGTTTTCCCTCCTTGTAAATCTCACATTTGATGATGGACCACAGGTTCTCAATGGGGTTCAGATCAGGTGAACAAGGAGGCCATGTCATTAGATTTCCTTCTTTTATACCCTTTCTTGCCAGCCACGCTGTGGAGTACTTGGACGCGTGTGATGGAGCATTGTCCTGCATGAAAATCATGTTTTTCTTGAAGGATGCAGACTTCTTCCTGTACCACTGCTTGAAGAAGGTGTCTTCCAGGAACTGGCAGTAGGACTGGGAGTTGAGCTTGACTCCATCCTCAACCCGAAAAGGCCCCACAAACTCATCTTTGATGATACCAGCCCAAACCAGTACTCCACCTCCACCTTGCTGGCGCCTGAGTCGGACTGGAGCTCTCTGCCCTTTACCAATCCAGCCACGGGCCCATCCATCTGGCCCATCAAGACTCACTCTCATTCCATCAGTCCATAAAACCTTAGAAAAATCAGTCTTGAGATATTTCTTGGCCCAGTCTTGACGCTTCAGCTTGTGTGTCTTGTTCAGTGGTGGTCGTCTTTCAGCCTTTCTTACCTTGGCCATGTCTCTGAGTATTGCACACCTTGTGCTTTTGGGCACTCCAGTGATGTTGCAGCTCTGAAATATGGCCAAACTGGTGGCAAGTGGCAAGTGGCATCATGGCAGCTGCACGCTTGACTTTTCTCAGTTCATGGGCAGTTATTTTGCGCCTTGGTTTTTCTACACGCTTCTTGCGACCCTGTTGACTATTTTGAATGAAACGCTTGATTGTTCGATGATCACGCTTCAGAAGCTTTGCAATTTTAAGAGTGCTGCATCCCTCTGCAAGATATCTCACTATTTTTGACTTTTCTGAGCCTGTCAAGTCCTTCTTTGACCCATTTTGCCAAAGGAAAGGAAGTTGCCTAATAATTATGCACACCTGATATAGGGTGTTGATGTCATTAGACCACACCCCTTCTCATTACAGAGATGCACATCACCTAATATGCTTAATTGTTAGTAGGCTTTCGAGCTATACAGCTTGGAGTAAGACAACATGCATAAAGAGGATGATGTGGTCAAAATACTCATTTGCCTAATAATTCTGCACTCCCTGTAGACACCATCTTAGCAGAGGGTCATAAATATCTTGTTGAAGATATTTATTTATTTATTATGACCCTCTGCTAAGATGGTGTCTATTTTCTAACAAACCTGTGTCTTATCTACACTCATGTCGCTTTATCCCCTGTATCACAACTCAACTTTGAATTCTATGTGTCGTTTTGCTCAGAAATGCTTCAGACTTGAGAAAGGGAGGTTCTCCCAAAAGCTGGTCATTAAAAAATTCTGTTAGTCCAATAAAAAAGGTATTACAAGATAAGAATTTTATCTGTTTTTTACATCTACATCACTGGACTAATACGGCTACAATCTCTACTTGAACACTATCTATCTATCTCTATCTATCTCATAAAAAGCAAAGTCCACATAAAAATCCAAAACAAGGGGGGCGGGGCCTGGTTGCTGAGCTGAGTGGATGCCTGTAGACACAGCTCCTGCTCTCACGGGCAAATAAAGCAACAAAATCACCAAACTACAGCGAGTACTCAATTCACAAGGGCCACTGAGCTACTGGTGACACCCGGGCGAATCAACGGGTACTAAACATGCCACAATTGAAGCGAGAATCGTCCGAGTACAGAATGCGGCCTACAAGCATGGCCGGCGCGGAGGAGGCGGCTGCTCCTCCAATGACATTCTCGACTGGACACTCGATATTGGGACCGGCGGGGGTCATCCCGGTCCCCATCGATAAGCAGCAGGTTCTCGCTCACTGCCTGCAAAGACCCAGGCCCAACACAAAGCGGGCTTAGCACGCACGCCGCGACACAAATGGCACCTACAGATGCAGGCCACGGCGACGACATGATCAAGCACTCCCTCCGACGCATAGACAAGGCATTCCAGCGCTTCTGGCAGCAATTGGAGCAGCGTATGGCACTGCAAGCACCGAGGCCTATGCGGGAGGTGAGAGAAGCCAAGATGAAGGGGTCGAGCGAGCCCCGCTTGGGCAGACACCAGCCTGGAGCACACACCACCCAGGCTCCCTGCCTACCTGGGCCAAAGGCCAAGAGGGGTAAACCTCCACAGCATCGCCCACGACGCCGGAGAAACGCCCGCCGCTGGCGGCGTCGCAATATCGGGGTCCTCCGCAGCGCCCATAAAAGGAAAGACTTGGCTGCACTGCCTACCAGAGTCTATGGAATACAGATGCAGTCCTTCCATGAGGCTTGGGGCTGGAGCGGGAGCCGTCGCGGCCCACGAAACACCTACATGATCATCACGCAGGACCACAAAGTGGATTACCTCATACAGCACACCAGTGGCATAGGGTGAGAGATCGCAACCCAGCTACCAGCTTTGACACAGAACAGGACTTTGGACGCTCCCTCACTACTATAATAGACTGTAAGCCTAGAGTCATGAATGCCTCTTCATTTTAACTACCTAGGCCTGGTCATTTACTTAGTTTTATTGGCTGCCATGTCGACAACTCCATAAGCTTGCCCTAGCATTGTTGCAGGTTCCTATGAGGATCTCTTTTTGTTTTTACCATGCAAGCCTAAACCAACAGCCAGCCTAACCCGTTAGCTATGCCTATCTTATGCCCAGAGTGCACAGTATGTCTATGCCTTACTGCATAGTATCTTGCAAAACACTTCTGACATCCCTGTCACGCTTGTTTTACCATTTTGAATATACGCCGAATCTATGGAAAATGGCTCTGTTGGCAATAGCCCTACAAATGTCTCATATGTGATGTATTGCTAGCTTGTACTATTTCCTAGGGCAACACAAACCTGCTTATAGATCGCAGACACTGTTTATAAATACCTAACATGCTCTAAACATAATGCACTAAGCTTGTCTCTTCTCAATCTTGCTTTAGGATAGGAGCAGTCTGAGTAAGATTTCACTGTAGCACGCTACAGCTGAGTTTAGCCCGTGTGAATATGTTTAACGTTATGAATCTGTGGCAGAATCCTGTTACTTTAATCAGAGCGCTTAACCTGTTGTGCCGTAAGCTACCAATGCCATGTTGACATGTACTGAGCGAGAGCCTGAGCCTGAGCTGCTTAACACATAGCATGACTAACCTGTTATATTGTACACATGAAACATACCATTTGAGCAATTACTAAATGACTGTTGCACCCATTTCTTAAACAATTGCTTGTAATACTATGTTTACTTGACGTATCACAAACAAAAAATATATGGCAGTCCTTAGTATGAGTGTACTATGTACCATCTTGTTTTCATCAACTTGTATTATCCCATACTGCCTCCTCTCTTTATTTTTTTTTTTATAAACCTGATGTCATTATGATCATACCTCCAAAATTATGCTCAGCTAACTGTTCTGAGTACAATACCCCTAATGTGTGACTTTGCCACTACTATGTGATATGAGACCTGATTATTTTAGTTTTCAAAGTTCAAATTTTTAATGTCTAATTTTTGTGCCTTTTTGTTCCCCTGTCACATTTGTGTAAAAATAGAAGTTTTAATTGCTACCCTGTTTTATGCGTTTTAAAATACAATTATGTCAACGTGACGTTGGGTTTAAAGCACACTTTAGTAGCTTACACATTTAAATGACTACATAAATGCATTCCATTTACATGGGGACTCTCTCACATGACCTATTTTGAGCTTTACTGTGGTACTTTTTATTTATTTTTCACCATTTTCATTCAGTTTGTTGTATTAACACTTTATTTAAAAAAATATATATATATATATATATATATATATATATATATATATATATATATATTAAATTTAAATAAAAAATGCCCCCCTTCCCGCCCATTTTACACAAATTACATCCCTTCACAAACACATCATTCATTATAATAAAAAAATATATACACACACACACTCTGCATTATGTACACTCACTACACACACACTCTGCATTATATACACTCACTACACACACACTCTGCATTACATACACTCACTACACACACACTCTGCATTACATACACTCACTACACACACACTCTGCATTATATACACTCACTACACACACACACTCTGCATTATATACACTCACTACACACTCTATATAATGCAGAGTGTGTGTATATAATGCAGTGTGTGTAGTGAGTGTATATAATGCACACACACTACATAAACACATACTGCATTCACTATACGCACACTACATAAACACACACTGCATTCACTATACGCACACTACACACACTGCATTCACTATACGCACACTACACACACACTGCATTCACTATACGCACACTACACACACACACACTGCATTCACTATACGCACACTACACAAACACACACTGCATTCACTATACACACACACAGCTCCCTGGTCTAAACACATTGCATCCACTACATGTGGCATGTATATTTTGTGCATTTACCTTTAGAAATAGCTTATTTTTTTCAAAATGGTAAATGTACAGATTATCGGCAAGTTATTTGCTTTCGGCCTGAAAGTTCACAGATTATTGGTATCTGCTCTATAAAAACAATATCGGTCGATCCCTAGTTTGTGTTTCTTTGTCATTACAGTGAAGGGTAGGAAATTCCTGTTTTAATTTTTTGGGAAGTAGCATATACATAAGCCTAAAGCAGTCTTTACAACAAGTATTTGTGGTTTTTAGAAAGTGTAAAATTAGGTGAAGCAAATGAGAGGTCAAGAGAATTGTATGTTTTCAGTCTTGATCACTGAATGATTTGAGGTCATAATCTATTTAAATTTTTTTGCAGCATTCTAATGTGAATTTTTTGGAATGTGGTTAGTTAATATTTTTTTATTTTTTTTATTTTTTAGTGCCCCTTGAAGACCCAATCAGGGAAATAGCAGAGTACATTGACCCTGTTCAGGATGAAACATGGGACAGATCTCCTTCCAATAAGCAGGTTACATTTCTGGTTTATCGAGAAGGCGATCAATTAAAATTTTTCCGTGTTGTAGACAGAGGAGATGGCACTTTGACCCCATTATCTGAATCAGTCAGGTAGGTATTGAAAATTGTGTGTCATCCACATTAAATAGTCATCGTTGTAATGATATATTCTCTTAAGACAAGTCACCCAAAAAGTCCTTGATTATTAGCAAGTCAACAAATATTTGTAAAATATATCATGATTTAGAGTATATAATTAAACCTAAGCATTTTTTTTTTTTTTTTTTAAATCTTCATGCATTGCTCACAATGTTTTGTTAAAGGCCATAAATTCCTAACTGAAATAGAAATACATTTTGATATTGCTGCCACTGTGTCTTCTGTTAAGTAAAGTGAATATTTATGTCTTCTCTGTAGTGGAGGTTCGGTTTATAATTTAAACCATGAAGACGAAGATGAAGCTGAGGGTTCTCAATCTGGCCAACAAATCCTAGAGAATTCAATCACTATGAACAAAATGAAGTTTTTGAAATCCAAGATGGAGAGCATGAACCTCAATAAAAAGGTATTTATAGCCAGCTATACATTTATAAAAGTTTTCACTTTAATTAAAAATTCCTTTAAAAAAAAAAAGGATTTTACTATGGGTAATATAATCATTGGTGGGTTTCAAAGTTTCCTTACAGTGTTATTCGTTAAAGGTACACTCCAGTGCCAGGAAAACAATCTGTTTTCCTGGCACTGCAGGTCCCCTCTCCCTCCCACCTCCCAATCCCCGGTTGCTAAAGGGGTAAAAACCCCTTCAGTCACCTGAGACCCCCGTCGATGTCCCTGGGCGGTGGTTTCGGGTAGCCGCCGCTCCTCATTACGTCGGCCGGTGGGCGAGACTGATCCCGGCCGCGGAGACCTAATGCGCATGTGCGGCAATGTCACGCATGCGCATTAGAGCTCTCCATAAGAAAGCATTGAAAATGCTTTTTAATGTTTTCCTATGGGGACTTGAGCGATGCTGGAGGTCCTCACACAGCGTAAGGACGTCCAGTGACGCTCTAGCACAGGTTTTCTAGACAGCCACTAGAAGTGGAGTTAACCCTGCAAGGTAATTATTGCAGTTTATAAAAAAAATCTGCAGTAATTACACTTGCAGGGTTAAGGGTAGTGGGAGTTGGCACCCAGACCACTCCAATGGGCAGAAGTGGTCTGGGTGCCTGGAGTGTCCCTTTAACCCCTTAAGGACACATGACATGTGTGACATGTCATGATTCCCTTTTATTTCAGAAGTTTGGTCCTTAAGAGGTTAAACCTTGAAATTGTAGGCAATTGCCAAGTGAACTTTAAAGCTGTTTAAAATGGCCATGCATTAGTTGTCGAGGTCTACCATTCGCTACTAAATTTAGCAACTCTTCTTTCCTTACTATTCTCAGTTTACTTAATAACCCTGCTTTAGGTTTCTTGTTTTAGACAGCAATGTGAAGTGTTTTTTGTGTTTTTAGTTTTTGTTTTTTCTCCAGACTGTAAGGCACATATCTTTTTAATATGTCTGAGATAAATACAGGTATTAATGTTTGGTGTGGTGTGTTGCAAATTTCATGATTGTTTCTCCTTTCCAACAAGCCTTTCTAGGGTTTGACCAGTTGTAAAGCCTTACCCAAACATCTGACTGGACACCTACCTCCATTCTGAATTATCTTCGTGTGTTGAAGTTTGATTTTCCTAAACTACTAAATGTGCAGTTTGGTTTCCTCCTTGAATAATATGATTTTAAAAATGCACTGTTTAATTGCATGTTCATTGTACTAATTTGTTGTATTTTCTTTCAACAGCCTAAAAAAACATCAAAGTTTAAGCCTAGGCCCCCTATGGCACCACGTCCTTCAAGCACATTATTGGCCTCTGCTCGTCACAGGTTTTTAAAAGTTCTCCCTGACATTGGACAGTCTTGCCTACCTCCTAGAAATCCACTTTCTTCAGAGTCTTCCCAGATTGCACTTTCAAGCCTTACTACTGCTGCGAAGACAAACCCATCCATTACTGGTGACTATATAAATAGAGATGACACTTGGACCACCTCACTTTTGGCTCCCTCACCTAGTATTGTTGGTCTCCCACCTAAAATTTCCAGAGTAGAACTGGAAAGTTCCAGGCATTCCAAAAATACATATTTTTCTCCTGTGTCAACTTTGGCCAAGAAAGAGGAGCCTGCAACACAAAATGATTCCATCTTGCATCAAAATACAAACTTGTTTGCCACTGAGGAATCCTCAGTGGCTATTGGAGAGTCATTTTTGTTAACAGAGGTAGGACCTACTGAGCAATATGAGGAGCTGTACAACTTTGGGAAAGTGAAGCCTGAATTTGCAATCTCAGAAGGATGCAAAGAAACTCCAGCTACAGAAACTTCCCATAAAACTCTGTCTAAATCTTTGAATTCTGAAGCCATGGAAGCTGGACTCCTTAACGGAGAACGAAGTCCACCAAGGAACAAATTTCTCTCACCCATCCATTTTTCCAGCCAAATTACTCATAAGACCTTTCCTAAACCACAAAGGCAACACAATGTGTTTGAATTTGGAAGTTTAAGACCAACTGCTTCACATATGTGCCGTTCTGTAGACATTCACAATATGAGTGATGGCTCATTTTCCAGGTCTAGATTTCGAGGGGTTAAAGTGGATTCTCCAGGGAAAAGGTCAGATGTGATCTCTAAGATCGAAGCTAGGGATATGACTGAAATAGCTAATAAGGCTTCTAAAGAACCTGTGGGTTCATTAAACAACTTGGAATTTTTTGCATCGCTGGCTCGAAGCAGAAGTAGGGACAATTTGCAGAGTTCCAATAATCCAGTCAGACTACGAACGTCTAGTGTTGCTCAAACATCAAGCTTGCAGAACCCTCTTGAAGAACATTTTAAGAGGCTATCACCCTTAAAGGACAATGCAGAGTTTTTCATTGTGAGTATCAGTTGTTTCTGTGCTTCAACATAGTAAATTAAATTTATTCTAAGTTTTCTGTTTTTATCAAAACCATGAACCAGTTTTAAAAAACGTTTGTGTGTTTTTTTTTGGGAGGGGTAGGGGGAGAGGGATGAGGGTGATCTGTGGCTAAGAAAAAAAAATATAAGTAAAGCACTGACAATAAACTGACCAAAAATATGAAAGTGATACAAAATCTATAATATGGTATCTAGGAAAAAAACTTTTAAGGGGGAAAAAATCGTTATGATTGCCAACTAATAGACCATTTACAATTCTTAAAATGTCACAAATAATTGATTACACTTAAAACACAAAGTATACAGTAGTTGTTACATTTGAAAGCGCAATACTCCACTAAGGGATCCCCTTTAACAACACCTTGTAAGTAACATAAAAAAAAAACCACACCATGGGGTGGAGCTACAAAAAAATATAATACATACATTTCCCTTAATCATAAAATATAAAGAAAAGGAACATTAATGCAGTTAAATTACTACAACAACAACACAAGTATAGAGCTGGAATGTCACTTGGCTCTAGTGGGTAGCACCTTAGAATCTTAAGGGAGATCCAAGATCCTCTCTTCTAAGGTGTCCATGTTTTTAAAGTGCAACAGATGCCAAAACGGAGAAGCTTCCATAGTGTAATTTTGTTAAGCAGCTAGTAAAATATGTAACAGAACAGCTCTGCAGAATTACCCCAAGACATAGTATGGGGAAGTGCCTTCACTGGATATGTGTCGCTAGTGGATAGAGCGCGTCGTCAATCAAGAAACCCGGGAACACAAAGATATATAAACGTTTTAGGATGGATGAAGTTCATTCTGCAAATAATTGGCGAAACGCGTTTTGGGAGGACTTTATACAGAGTTGAGTTTGTTTGTTTTTTTTGTTTTTTTTTTAATATATATTAACTTGTTTTATTTTGTTTAATAAAATACTTTTTTATCATTAGACCTTTAATTTGTAGTAATGATCTACCCTTTTTGGGGTAATTCTACTAGATTACCTTCACGTGAGTGCAATCTGCACTTCATATTGTATTGACTGCTTAACAATATTATACTATGGATGCTTCCCATTTTTAGTATTTGTTTACTTGTGCACTTTAGCACAAGGACACCTTCGAAAAGGGTTTTGTATCTCACTTAAGATCCTAAGGCGCTACCCACTAGAGCTAAGTGATATTCTGGCTCTATACTTGTCGGTGCTACATACTAATCCAATACCATTCTTCTAATCCAATACTCTTCTATGTTGTTGTAATGTATCTGCACTATTGTTCCCTTTCTTACTATTTTAAAGAACAGTAGTGTTTTGAGATTAAGGGAAACATGTATTAAATTCTGTATAACTCCTCCCCATTGTGTGTTTAATTGATTACACTTTGTTCATTAAACCAGCAAAGGCATCCATAGCATTTGCTAGGGTGTGTATAAGACTGTCACCAGTAGTATGACGATAAAGGCAAAATACACAAATTTCTATTACTGGGTGGGAGGGGGTCCATTCTCCCAAAAAAGTAAACTTTTAGAAGTGTCCCACAATAGCAGTTCACATATTCGCCATGTCTCCTCTCTCAGCCCTTCTTTTTTTTGACTGAAAACATCAAAGTAAACTGATAGCTTAGCTACTAATTTCTGTAGAGCCTGCTTGGCAGGCAGGGTGTTGTACCTCTGCAACCGAAAAGGTACCTCTTAAAATTTACTAAATTCTCATTGCATGCTGGAAAATGAAGATGTCCTTTCCCTAGACTGAGCGGACATAGCCCAAACAAAGAAATTAGTCTTAGACCTTTTTTCCTTCTCCACCAAACTTTAGAGTAGGCACTTGAAGACTCAATCAAGTGGGAACCTTTTGATATCTGTCAAACTTTTTTATTTTTACTCTGTCAGTCCAAATGGCAAAGACTGGTGTTGTTTTGGGGGGTCTTTGTTACCTGTAATGGTTTCATACAATAATATGCTGCCATCTTTCACACTTTTCACTATTCGTACACAGAATAATCTGATAACCTGGTTTCGCGGCATACCAAAACTAAACCCTGTGTCATGGCAATGTGTGTTTTCTTCAAGTGTCTTTACATTGTTATTTGTGCTCAAATAATCTGACTTTGTTTTTGAGTTGTGATATTTTTACTTATTTATTTGCATGTATTTTAATTCTCATCCTGATATGTTAGCTTAGTAGAGTTAGTTTTTGGGTTTGTTTTTTGTTTTTCATTTTTTTTTTTATTGTAAATTGTAAAAAAATAAAATAAAAAAATCAGCCTTTTTAATCGATCTGATCCAAAAAGAAAGTGAAAACCCCAGTTTGAAGTAATATCCTGTTAAGCTCTGATGTCTTCTTGGATCAATAAATTGATCAAACAGTTCAAATGATTTGATATAGGGTGACTGTACTAAAACACTTTTTTTGCCCCATGACCACTGTAAGGTGTGTTTTTTTGTTTTGTTTTGTTTTTTTCTTACAGCGCACAAACTGTGGGAGCAGATATGTGAGAAATAGAACTTGGACTTGAGTCCCACCTCCCCACTCCTCCAATTTCTGGCTGTACTAGGTCATTAATACTAGACTTAGTTCAGGTCCAACATACTCCTCCACATTTTCAACTATAGCTTGAAGATTTACTCCAGGCTACAGTTGTCCCTGTTTTTAATACAATTCTATAAATAATGCATTAAAATGCATGCAAAATATAGTTATCTGATGTCTGGAACTGCTCAATATAATGCCCTCAATTGCTGTCCATTTATTCACAGCTTGTTAAGTTTCATTTGGATTTGAGCACATCACTCCCCCAAGCAGTCAACCCCGCATGAGCACAGCTGTGGCTGGGAGGGGCTAGGAGCCACCCACAAAGCACTAAACTTAGATGGATTTTTAACATAATAAGAGATTGTCAAATCAGAAGGGGCAGTCTTGTAGCTGCAGTAATTTAATGAGATTTCTTCCCTCCAAATTATGAAATTAGATATTTTAAATACATTGATACTCATTGAAGAAAACCATAAACCTGAGGTATTATGCAGATACAATATATAACCGCCTCCTCTTCTCCCCCCCCTTCCTTTTTGTATCTTGGTTTTTAGTCTCCTCATGGACCTGGTGAGAGTTTGCACAATACAGCTTCTGGAAAACACCTAGGTAAGGGAATTTATTTCTATATTATTTGCCCATGTAATGTGTTATTAAAGTTGAACTGGCAGCAAAAGACACATTCATTGTATTGCTAAACAAAGCATACCTTGTTATAACAGTATGTAACTGGCCATTTTAAAATATCAACAGTGACTTGCATGTTTTTTTTTTGTAAAGTCAGTTTCTCTCTTAACATGCCCAAACAGTTTTACCCCTGCAAGTGAAAGCTTTTGTAGTTCTGCAGAATGGCAATGTTTTTATTGTGGGAGCTAAATGTCTCTAGTGCAGCGCTTCCCCAATTGGTGTTCCACAGAACACAAATGGGGTTACGCCAAAATTTCGGAAAACTAAAGGGCCGCAGCGATAATTGAGGCGGTCGGTGAGGGAGCTGAGCAGGGGAGAGTGCTCCCTCGCCACCCGCCTCAATAATCGCGGCACGCACAGCAGTGATGCCGGAGCCGTAATTTGGACGTCACTCCGGCATCACAAAGAGGCGCGCGAGGGAGTGAAGCAGGAAGATCATTGACCCCTCGTCGCCCGCACGCCAGCCGCTCAGCCCAGCAGCCCCACTGAACCCCAGGGACTGCACACCAACCGTTCAGCCCCACTGGACCCCAGGGAAATAGACTCTCTATGCCAGCACTCCCAAAGGTGTGTATCAGTGTGTCAAGGTTTGTGTGTGTGTGTCACTGTGTGTGTTTGTATGTGCATATGTCAGTGTGTATCTGAGTGTGTGTATATTTCACTGTGAATCGGAGTGTGTGTATTTGTGAGTTAAGATGTGTCAGATACATTCTCACACACACAGATCTACAAACACAGATACACACACCTTGACACAGATATATGCAGATACACTGTGTGTGTATCTGTCTGCTACTATGTGCCTGTGTGTGTGTGTGTGTGTGCGTGCATCTGTGTGTCAGATTCATACACACAGGCACATACAAACACAGATACACTTACTTTGACACGCGGATACACACTGTGTATCTGTGGGCCACTATACATACATACACACACACACACACACAGGTACAAAAAACAGTGCAAATTTGTTTAAAAAAAAAAAAAATGTCACACAGACAGCCGCCAGTAGAGCCGATTCCAATGAAATGGCAGAGTAAAAACCAGCCCACAAAATGGCAGTGATTTTTACTTGGCCATCTCATTCCTCCCCACCCCCCCCGGTTAGTGGTTGACTTTGCTTAGAAGCGATTTGATGTATACCAGGTATCCTCAGTAGGGTCTATAGATAGGACAAGGGGCACATGGACATTGCCCACACCTTGCCTTCACCCCTATGGTCCAGCCACGACGATACAACCGGTGGGTCAAATTGGTCCTTTTACACTTTACAATATGCTTTATAGTCTATGCTGATCTCATTCCCTGCAGAGTCGTGCAAAACTACCGCTATCTATGCTATTAGTGGATTAACCCCTATTGTTTCCCTAGACCTTGATTCATACACCATCACAGGGCTTATCACTATCACTTACGATGACTAACGCGACTACAAAAAAAAAAGAAATTGGTGCAATATTACCTGACAATGTATTATTTTGTTACGACTTAATTTGCTTACTTGCGTTTCTCAAACCAGTCCTCAAGATCCACCAACAGTCCAGGTTTTGTTAGTATCTCCATTGGAATAGAACAGGGAAATACATAAATCTTGGACTGTTGGTGGGCCATGAGGACTCTGCCTTTGTCTGGTTAAGAATCACTTTGCCTGAAGAGACCAATTAGTATTTTGCAATTACATAGTTATTGTGCTAATGGATGTTTGGTGTTTTTTTTTTTTTAATTATTGATTTACCTGGGGGACCAAGGCACCCCATTTATAAATTGTCTTGGTGGTGGCAGCGTTAAAATAGTAATAGTTCTATTATTATGTTTAAGTGTGGGTTGTGTTAAGGGGGATTTTTGTCATTATTTCCATTCTAGTGCAGACAAATGGTGAACTATAACCCTTTCACCACCACAACTACGTCACGCAAACTCTTATATTAGGGTGCGTTCATAACATCCACCACTTGATTATTTTTTTATTATTATTATTTATTTATATTTTTTATTAACATACTCTCTTATTGTTAATCCTTTTTGGCCTGGTAAACAAACCCGATCATCAAAACTGGACCTCTTTGGTTTGAGGAAACAAAAATAGACTCCACTATTTAACTCTATCTGCGGACATGTTGGAAAAAATCATGGTTTTTTGTAAGTGCATATGGCCTTTCTAACTCTCTCTTTATATTACCGTTTACAGTTGAAGCCACACATCTCTTCCCTCCTGTCAAATCTACACTTCGTAACAAGAAGAAGCCCACAAAGCACTGTTTCTTTTGTAGAAAGAAAACCGGATTGGCAACAAGTTTTGATTGCAGGTAATTAACCATATAACAGCTTTTCTTTTTGTACTTAGTCAACAGCTCTAGCCATTGGCAAATTAAAATTTAGCCCTGGCAGATTGTGCCATACGCCCTACAGACTTGCAGTGGTTAGTAGCATTGGACTTAAAAATGTAAGCCCTGGTTTAGTCTATTCTGCAGGGTACTTATGTATTTATTTGTTTTTGGTCTATGCTTCAATGGTATGACTGGGTTCGTGTGTCAAGAGAAAGTTATTTCAGTTGTGATGATCAGCAGCACTATAATGTAAGAGACTGAGTAGAGACCAGGTAGAAACTATATAGCTGAACTACAAAATCTTACTTGTTACTGTTCTTGGCAGTGCTAAACAACAATAAACAAATTAATGATCAACCAGGAATGGTTTGTCTTGACATGGATGAAGTCTTTCTTTTATAAGACAAGACTCAAACTGAATTAAGTCTTATACACTGACCAGCCACAACCTTAAAACCACTGGCAGGTGAAGTAAATATCATTGATTAGATCAAAACAATGGCACCTGTCAAGGGGTGGGACATATTAGGCAGCAGGTGAACCGTCTGTTCTTGAATTTCATGCGTTGGAAGCAGGAAAAAGGGGCAAGCATACAATCTGAGTGAATTTGACAAGGGCCCAATTGTGATGGCTAGAACCCCTCAGATCATCTCCAAAATGGCAAACTGGTGCAAGGAAGGACAGCCAGTAAACCGGCATCAGGGTCATTGGCACTCAAGGCTCATTGATGCACATGCAGAGCAAAGGATACCCCGTCTGGTCCGCTCACACAGAACAGCTACTGTAGCTCAATCTCCTGAAAAATACAGGGAGTGCAGAATTATTAGGCAAATGAGTATTTTGACCACATCATCCTCTTTATGCATGTTGTCTTACTCCAAGCTGTATAGGCTCGAAAGCCTACTACCAATTAAGCATATTAGGTGATGTGCATCTCTGTAATGAGAAGGGGTGTGGTCTAATGACATCAACACCCTATATCAGGTGTGCATAATTATTAGGCAATTTCCTTTCCTTTGGCAAAATGGGTCAAAAGAAGGACTTGACAGGCTCAGAAAAGTCAAAAATAGTGAGATATCTTGCAGAGGGATGCAGCACTCTTAAAATTGCAAAGCTTCTGAAGCGTGATCATCGAACAATCAAGCGTTTCATTCAAAATAGTCAACAGGGTCGCAAGAAGCGTGTGGAAAAACCAAGGCGCAAAATAACTGCCCATGAACTGAGAAAAGTCAAGCGTGCAGCTGCCACGATGCCACTTGCCACCAGTTTGGCCATATTTCAGAGCTGCAACATCACTGGAGTGCCCAAAAGCACAAGGTGTGCAATACTCAGAGACATGGCCAAGGTAAGAAAGGCTGAAAGACGACCACCACTGAACAAGACACACAAGCTGAAACGTCAAGACTGGGCCAAGAAATATCTCAAGACTGATTTTTCTAAGGTTTTATGGACTGATGAAATGAGAGTGAGTCTTGATGGGACAGATGGATGGGCCCGTGGCTGGATTTGTAAAGGGCAGAGAGCTCCAGTCCGACTCAGACGCCAGCAAGGTGGAGGTGGAGTACTGGTTTGGGCTGGTATCATCAAAGATGAGCTTGTGGGGCCTTTTCGGGTTGAGGATGGAGTCAAGCTCAACTCCCAGTCCTACTGCCAGTTCCTGGAAGACACCTTCTTCAAGCAGTGGTACAGGAAGAAGTCTGCATCCTTCAAGAAAAACATGATTTTCATGCAGGACAATGCTCCATCACACGCGTCCAAGTACTCCACAGCGTGGCTGGCAAGAAAGGGTATAAAAGAAGAAAATCTAATGACATGGCCTCCTTGTTCACCTGATCTGAACCCCATTGAGAACCTGTGGTCCATCATCAAATGTGAGATTTACAAGGAGGGAAAACAGTACACCTCTCTGAACAGTGTCTGGGAGGCTGTGGTTGCTGCTGCACGCAATGTTGATGGTGAACAGATCAAAACACTGACAGAATCCATGGATGGCAGGCTTTTGAGTGTCCTTGCAAAGAAAGGTGGCTATATTGGTCACTGATTTGTTTTTGTTTTGTTTTTGAATGTCAGAAATGTATATTTGTGAATGTTGAGATGTTATATTGGTTTCACTGGTAATAATAAATAATTGAAATGGGTATATATTTGTTTTTTGTTAAGTTGCCTAATAATTATGCACAGTAATAGTCACCTGCACACACAGATATCCCCCTAACATAGCTATAACTAAAAACAAACTAAAAACTACTTCCAAAAATATTCAGCTTTGATATTAATGAGTTTTTTGGGTTCATTGAGAACATGGTTGTTGTTCAATAATAAAATTAATCCTCAAAAATACAACTTGCCTAATAAATCTGCACTCCCTGTATAATGCTGTCCGTGATAGAAATGTGTCAGAACACACAGTGCATTGCATTATTGGGTGTATGGGGCTTCATAGCTGCAGACTGGTCATAGTGCCTATAAAGACCCCTGTCCACTGCAAAAAGCGTCTTTAATGGGGACCTGAGAGGGAGAACTGCACTATAGAGCAATGGAAGAAGGGTGACTGGACTGACTTGCGTTGTCGTTTTGATCAGATTGATGGCAAGATGTTTGTGCGTTGTTTACCTGGCGAAGATAGCAGCAGGATGCACTATGGGAAGAAGGCAGTGTTATGTTCTGGACATTATTCTGCTGGGAAACCTGGGGTCCTGGCATTCACGCGGATGTTACTTTGACACGTACCTCCTATCTAGAGATTATTGGAGATTAAGTTCACCCCGTCATGGCAATGGTGTTCCCTAATGACAGTGGTCTCTTTCAGTGTAATAATGCACTCTGCCACACTGCAAAAAGTGATCAGGAATGGTTTAAGGGACATGACAAAGAGTTGAAGGCATGACCTTGGCCTCCAAATCCCCAATACAATTAAGTAGTTGTGGAAGGTGCTGGAAACAAGTCCTATCCATGGAAGCATTTAAAGGATCTCCTGGTAATGTCTTAAACCAGATTCCACAGGACTTGTTCAGAGGTCTTGTGGAGTTCATGCTTCGAAACATCAAAGCTGTTTTTGGCAGGACAAGGGAGTCCTACATGATGTTGGGCAGGTGGTTTTGATGAGGCTGCACAGTGTAGTCTTAAAGTGTATTACATGCAAGCAGACTTAATTGCAATACCCTACCAGATAAATGTGACATCAGTGGCAACATTTCAATTGGTACTAGACTTCTTGGTGGCTGTACTTGTAATTCAGTTGGTGCTAAAGCACATTACTGCAGTTATTGATGCAAAGAGTCTTTGGGTAATGTTCGGGGGTTTTTGTTTTTTTTGTGTAAATTTTTCTTAATCTCTTCCAGATGTGGGAATAACTTCTGTGCAACGCACCGCTATGCAGAAACTCACAACTGTTCATATGACTACAAGACTGCGGGAAGACAATATTTGCAAGAGGCATGTCCTGTTGTCACTGCACCAAAACTTCCCAAAATCTAACTCCAGTCAAGACCAAGAAAAGGATTTCCTTTTCATACATTATTTATTGTCTCACCCCCCCCACACACACACACAAATAAAGATTTGCCAAGTCACTTAACGTCTACTCGGCTATCATAATGTGAACATCATCTTACATGGTCAGTTGTTTGATCCTTTAATCAAAGTCTAACAAGGGTTTTTTAAAAAGAAAATATTTTCACTATGATGATTAACTTTTGTTACCTCACGTCTCGTGTTAAGTGTTTTATATTGGGGAGAAAATGCTATTTCACTAGACAAGTCTTTCAAAAGATGCACTTTACTGAATATTTACTGTATAAAGATACAGTGCTAAGGAGTCATTTATTCATATTTACTTGTGGTTGACTGGGGAGGGGGGGTTCTTGTTTTTAATTTAAATTGTCTGTCACTTTAATCATTTTTTTTTTTCTCCTAATTGGCATTATAAACATTCTAATTTCAATGTATATTGTGACCACAGTACCAAGCAACACTCTATGGTTTGTAATGAAATATATATTGGGCCACAAAGCCATTAAGTGAAATTCATTTTAAACTTTTGCAAACCTATATTTTAAATGTCTTTCCTTTAAATGATTTGTCCTCCTAAAATTATAATAAATATTGCCTTTTTATTACTTGTTTTTACTTTTTTTGTGTCAACATATTTATACATGTTTACATACATTTTTCTAATTTATTTAGAGCCTGCTCAGGCAATGTTATACAATGTACTGTAGATTGTCCAAAATAAACATTTTAAACTGTAAAAGCCAAACTGGCAGCATAGTCAACGTGGATTAAAATGTAAGATTCACTTTGATATAGCGCATATCCATCAATTTTCAAAAATACAAAGGAGAATTGATAAAAAAAATTCATGTAGAAATCCAGAAAGGGGGACAATCGGAGACTAGTGAAGGTAGAGTAGGTCGGTAACCAGCCTTATTAGTCTTTATAGAGAGAGAGACAGGCAGGGTTATGGACTAATGGAAGTGTTGCAGCCAAGAGTCCTGTGTCTTCATTAGAATTGTGCACAATTTGTGGTTTGTGGGGGGGGTTTTGTTTGTGTTTTAGCTGGTACGAATTGATCAAATTACATATAATCCTTGCATAAATGAATTGGTCTATTCTGGTCTTAGTCAAGAAATACGACTTCACAGGTAAATCCCATACAGATTGACTTGTTTGGGTGTATATTAAAAGGAATTTGATTAATTTGCACCAGCTGATATATTGTGTGCGTGTCTAAAAGTCTAGTATTCATAAATGACAATAGTCTTGTAAGTAAATTGTAACTTGTTCATTTCCTACAGCCCTGTTTTTTGTTTGCGTGCGTGCGCGCGCAGCACATGCAATCTATAAAAATTATTAGTACTCTGCTTTTCCAGTATTTAGCGATGAGTAATTATTGCATGGAATTGCAACTGAGGACATTTTTATGAGGAACCAACCTTTCTACATATTCTGCAACGTATGAAACATTTTGAATTAACTTTCTTAAAACACAGTATGCTAAATCATGCTTCCAGTAGAATTTCTCCTTTTCAATGTAAATAGGTTATTAGTATGACTTGCTAAGTAATGTTACACAATATCTCTGCATTATTTCCAAGAAAGAGAATCAATTGGGGAAAATGCCATACGGGTTGTGTACACTAGGTGGAGCACCAGGATCTCTGATTAAAGGACCACTATAGTGCCAGGAAAACTATAGTGTTAATAGATCATCCCCCCCCCACCCTAATGGCCCTCCTCCTGCCGGGCTCTAGAGGGAGGAAGGGGTTAAAGGCTTACCTTTCTCCAGCGCCGAGCTGCCTCGACGCTGGGGACTCTCCTCCCTCGCAAGAGCCATGCGCGCATTCAGTCAGTCCATAGGAAAGCATTCTCAATGCTTTCCCATGGACGCTGGCTTCTTCTCACTGTGAAAATCAATGAGACAGCCACTAAAGGCTGGATTAGCCCTAGTGTAAACATAGCAGTTTCTCTGAAACTGCTATGTTTACAGCTGCAGGGTTAACCCTAGATGGACCTGGCACCCAGACCACTTCATTAAGCTTAAGTCGTCTAGGAGCCTATAGTGGTCCTTTAAACAGTTTTTTTGGTTTTTCGGTATATGGCATAGTCATGGTTATCCTACCATGGGCAAATAATGTGGAACCTATCCTTAGAAATGTTTTATATGGTGAGACAAATGATGAGTAGAGATGTCGCGAACGGTTCGCCGCGAACTCCGGTCAGCTGACACATCCCGGCCAATCTCCGGCAGACCCTCCCACCTCCTGGACAGCATCCATGTTGAAGCTGCCTTCAGCATGGATGCTGTCCAGGAAGTAGGAGGGTCTGGGAGGGAGGGTCTGCCGGAGATTGGCCGGGATGTGTCAGCTGACCGGAGTTCGCCGCGAACGCTTCGCGGCAAGTTCGCGACATCTCTAATGATGAGTGGAACTAAACACAAACCGTGTAGTAAAGAAAATAAACCATCCCAAATTGAAGCAAAATAGGTCCTTCATACTTCTACTCTGTCATGAAAAATCCTAATAATAATAACGAAGTATTTAACCAGGAAAGGTACATTCAGCTTACTCTGGTTTGCAAGTACATCCTGGGGATGTTACCTTAGCCCAACATCCAGGGGTTGTTACTATTACCTAACTTACAAATCTGTTACTGTGCCGGGGGTGGTGAAATCCTTTGCATGAGCTGACCAATAAACACCTCTGTCTGTCTCTGAAGGACACATGGGCACTTGGTGATTTGAGAGTCCTTTAAAGATTTATGTATTATTGAAATACAACATCCATCCTACAGTTTTGGATGGGTAGGCATCTACATGTATTTTAGCTCTTTTTGAACACCCAGGGTTTGCCCCCTCAACCTACAGCACACTCGGTAAGGAAGAGACCACTGCTTATTTTACTACCTCCTAATTTCCTGCATATGGGATTAGGAAAGAGATGGGTACCTAACTGTAAATGACAACCCTCTAACACAAGCATGTCAAACTCGCGGCCCACAATGGACATCTTTGCAGCCCGGCGAGCTGCAAGTACATGCTTAATGTTATCGCAGAGTAGGCATCTGCTTTCCCCACATAAAACTTACCCGGCCGAGGAGGAGGGCTAGCGAGGGAGCTCATTGTTCCTGCTCCCTCGCATGCGTCATCTGAAGTGAAGCCAGGCACCAGAATATGACATCATATTCCAGGACTCTGCATCACTAAACCGCGCGAAGGAGCAGATAGAAGATCCCCACTGGACCCCAGGGAGAGGCCCCACATCGGCTCCCAATGGTAGGGAGCAATAATGAAAATGGTGTGTGTGTGTGTTGGTCAGTGTTGCATTGGCTGCGACTGGACAGTGGAGTACCTGGAGGTGCATGGAGGCACGCAACGCCACATCACATTCCGACGTGACATCGACATGCTCCACCTTCACAGGGTTTCAAGAAGTAGCGGGAGGATCAGATTTGGCACAGGGTGCGGATGGCGCCATTTGGGGTATACCAGAGGCTGGACTCCGGAGTCACATACTGGCAGCGGCAATGTGAGTCGAGTCTGCTTGTTGGGTAGAGGGGGGACTGGGTTTTTTTTTTTTTTATACTGTACTTTTCAAAATAAACCTACGTTTCTATGAAAATGTAAGTTGTTTGGGTTTTTTCTGCGGCCCACATAAATGTAAACCTTGTTTATGTGGCCCATGCTAGACTTTGAGTTTGACATGCTTGCTCTAACATTTTCACACTCAACACTAGTCTTCGGAGGCCAAACTTTATGGCTATAGTGACTGAAGTGATTTATTGAACCATGACAATCTGCAATGCCCAGTATTGACTGTACTTACAGTATGTGGTCATTGCATCCATTATTAGGCAATATTGTACATTCTGGTAGCATTTTTAGGAAACAATATTCCATAAATGCCCTTTGATTCCTTACAAATAACCATAATTGTATTTCTACTTCTATACTAATATTTCAGAACCTGTCTGAAATATTGCAAGATATGGAATACTATATAATTTATAAAGAATAAATAAATGAAAATGTAAACTTGTTTACATTAATAAAATTATTATTTATCCATGAACATTAACCGCTGTATGAAGTTGCATGTTTATCATATGTCCATGTCAAATGTTATACTAACTTTAAAAAACAACAACTCTGTAGTGAAGTTAATTGCCTGAAATGATGTGTAAATCACAATAATAAGCTACCAGTCTTCACTGCATTATAAGCTTAATTTCTGATGCTACAACTATAGATACAAATACAACCAAAAGCCTTTAAAAAAAAAAAAAAGTCCAGCATTTAACAAATAATCCTTAATGTTTAGTTTTCTTTTAGCATGTGTATCCTAAATTATATTCATTTTATTCAATATCAACAAAATTTATTATTAATATTAAAATATAGCACTAACCATGTAACTATGTTTTATTGCATATTTAAAAAAAAAAAAAGTTACATTGAATCAAAGGTCTTCAAAGGAACATAAACGCTTATAGCTGTGGCAAGCATGGCTGATATCTGATTTTTCCATTTAATTTTAAACCACAATATAAAAAACATTGTAGCCACAGGTAGTAATAGGAGCAAAGTGCTTATTTGTCTCCAATAACTATGATTATACGCTTGATGTACCCGGGTGTCTACTTCACAACATATTGCTCTTTAAAAAATTGCTATACTGCATTCCTTATAATTTGTTGAGTTACAGATCATTGTGCTGTCAGGTGCCAATTTCAATACACTGGAGATTCTGTTGTACTAGACTTCCATCTTAAGTGTCCGCTTTAGCTCTGCACTTCGTATTCTTTCTGTAGCATTGGCAAATGTATGTAGATACATGCAGGGTCAGTGTAAATACTCTGAGATTGCAGACCAAGGTTTCACATTAAAGAGAGTCTTATTCTGAATGTCTTCTTTTATGTTCATTACAAGTGAATCCTGAAGAAGACCAAATTCTGTATGATGGATGCATTTATTGAACAGT